TGACAAAATATACACCTCTCTCCTCATGAGCTTGCGCGACATAGCCCGCACGGAAGGCTACAGGGGCTTCTTCCGCGGCTCCACTGCCGCCATTGGTCAAATTATCCCGTACATGGGCCTGTTCTTCGCGACGTATGAATCTGTGCACGTGCCGTTTGCAGAACTGCAACTGCCGCTTGGCAGCGGCGATGCGGGCGCGGGAATCGTGGCGAGTATAATTGCGAAGACGGGCGTTTTTCCTTTGGATCTTGTTCGGAAACGGTTGCAGGTTCAGGGGCCAACGAGGGGGAGGTATATTCATACGAATATACCCGTGTATTATGGGGTTTGGAGGTCGATGAGGGATATTGTGGCTCAGCAGGGGGTTAGAGGGGTTTATAGGGGTTTGACGGTTAGTTTAATTAAAGCTGCGCCGGCGAGTGCGGTGACGATGTGGACGTATGAGCATGTTTTGGGGTTGTTGAAGGAGAAAGGATAAGTTTAGATTTTTATCTTGTCTCTCTCTCTCTCTCTTTTCCTTCTTTTTTTTTTTTTTTTTGAAGATTGGGTATTTGGGTTCTACTCGTTAATTACTTCTTTTCTAATTTCTAATGGGTAATTATTAATAATATGGTTTTATGTGTACAATGGGTGTTGGTGCTATCGTTTTTGCGCATATTATCCATATGGTTATGGAGGGCTCATGGGCAAGATATACTTGCAACTATACCCTTGGAGATGCATCTGGAGACCAAGTATTATATATATATATATATACTTTGTCTTCCAAATTTCACATTGCATTCATCCAATGGACGAGCCATAGCATTGTGCTAACCACATATCCCGGAAAAACAGAGTAAACTTTGTTGTTTTTCCTCCATCCAGGACCCCTATATCCCAAACCCTGTTACATGTACCATTTGCATCTAATCATCAATGGCAACTGTCCATCATATCCAATTACATCAATAAAGAACAACCCAGGTAAATATATGGTTCAAGAAAGGAATTTATTTCCTATGTATGTCCTATTATCCCCATAACTCTCGGGCTTTCAACTTCGACCATCACCAGACTCAACCCCCCACACACTCAACATAGCATAGAAAAGAAAGAAAATAGAATAGTCTCAAAAAAGCGAACTTGGATTACAAAATAACGTATCTCAAAAGGAGGGCAGCTGGCAACTTGCACTAGCAGAAAAGGACAAGAAAGGGAACAAGTGATGCAGGGCAAAAGTTATCAAACAGGTGGGGGGTGTATCATAGGCTCAGTTTTAAAACAAACCTAAGCTAAGGCTTCAATGTGTGACGCTGCTATAGACTATTCTGGTTTTTTTCTTTTCATACCGCGTTGGTGTGCATTAATAACTCTTCCTTCTAATACTCAAGTCCCTCATCACCCTCCGTATCCAAGCTATCACTAGCAACTTCCTCATAATCCTTCTCCAATGCAGCAAGATCTTCACGCGCCTCAGAGAATTCACCTTCCTCCATACCCTCACCAACATACCAGTGTACAAAGGCGCGTTTCGAGTACATAAGGTCGAATTTGTGGTCGAGACGGCTCCAGGCTTCAGCGATAGCGGTGGTGTTGGACAACATGCTGACAGAGCGGTCGACAGGGGCAAGTTCCCCACCTGGTACGCGCATTGGCTTCTGGTAGTTGATGCCGATCTTAAAGCCAGTTGGACACCATTCGACGAGGTTGAATGAGGTCTTGGCCTTGAGAGATGCAACAGCTGCGTTGCAGTCGCGGGGGACAACATCTCCGCGGTAGAGGAGGGCGACGGCCATGTATTTTCCATTACGGGGGTCACAGACGACCATTTGGTTGTTTGGCTCGAAACCTGAAAGTTAGTGTTAATATCTGCCTCACATAATGTTTCAGGGATCAATATTTACATTGGAAGGTAAGGTCGTGGACCTTGAAGCTTTCGTGGGAGCTTCTGTTGCTGGAAACAACGGGGGCGTAGCTGATGAGAGGATAGTGAATACGAGGGTAAGGGACCAAGTTGGTCTGGAACTCATTGAGATCAACGTTCAGGGCGCCATCGAAGCGCAAGCTGGAAGTGATGGAGCTGACAACTTGGGCGATGAGGCTATTGAGATGCTCATAACCTGGGCGGGGGATATCAAGGTTTCGGTGGCAGATGTCGTAGACGGCCTCGTTGTCGACAAGGAATGTGCAGTCGGAGTTCTCGATGGTGCTGTGGGTGGAGAGAACGGCGTTATACGGCTCAACAACGGCGGTCGAGACACGGGGGGCTGGGTACACAGCGAATTCGAGCTTGGACTTTTTGCCGTAGTCGGTGGAGAGACGTTCCAAGAGGAGGGCACCAAAACCAGAACCGGTACCACCACCAAACGAGTGGAAGATCAAAAATCCTTGGAGGGACGAGCAGTTATCTGTTGCAAGTTCGCCTTAGTACAAGTTTTCCTCACGCCAAAACTATACTATATAAAGAAATAGAATAGACCAAAGGACCAAAACAGAATATATCCATACCAGCAACACGACGAATGCGGTCAATGACACTGTCGACCAGTTCTTTTCCGATAGTGTAGTGACCGCGAGCATCTGTATTCTGAGAGTTAGCGCAAGCTTTTAAGCCCAGTTACAATGAGATACACATGTGTAATAAAATGCAGCCTGAAGAAGTGATCCGTACAATTATTGGCAGCATCCTCCTTTCCGCTAATCAACATCTCAGGGTGAAAGAGCTGGCGATAAGGTCCGGTGCGAATCTCATCTATTGGCTTTAGAACTTGTAAGCAACTACCATCCCATTCAATGTTTTATATGCTCTAGGGTATATAAAAACATATCGACATACTGAAGGGTCCAGATCAACGAAGATGGAACGGGGGACATATTTGCCACTGCCAGTCTCTGTGAAGAATGTCTCAAAGGAACCGGCTTCGCCAATATCAGTGGCTTCAGGGTTCAGACGACCATCAGCCTTCAAACCGTGCTCGAGGAGGTATCTGAATAAAGACAATGTTGCGTTGAGAGTTAGTTATTGGGGGATGATTTTTTTGACAGCCCGGGAGATAGGGTAGGAGGAGAAAGGCGGTGAGGAAAACCTACAGTTCCCAAGCACTGTTTCCAAGCTGGGTTCCAGCCTGGCCAATATGGAGATGGCAAACCTGATCGTGGGGAGTAAATTGTCAGCAGGAGTATTATGTATACTTTGGACGGAAAGGTTTTATGCACGGGTGATTGTATAAGGAAACATTTTGGGGAATGGATGAGGTTGTCGTGATTTTGTTGTGTGTGTGTCGGCAGAATAGCGAGCGGCACAGCAGGGCCAAACGCGGCTGACACGCCCAATGGCCAGGGGTAAACAAAGGGTTCATCAAGAACGTACCTCGCCTCTCATGGTGACAGATGTGGTTTAAAACGGACTGGATGGAGGGAGTACGAGAAGGAGAGAAGAAGCAGGGGTTAACAATCCCCACAGGACGGTCTCGGATTGGGATGAAGAGGAGAGGAGGAGAGCGAGTTGAGAAGTTGAAGAAGATGAAGAAATTCGGATGTTGATGTTGAGATGTTGGGGAGAAGAGCGAAAGGCCCGATCGGGTTAGCGTGAGAGAACGTCACGTGGAATCAGTTGGTTAGGTCAGCAGCAGTGTTGTGTGCTTCTTCTCCAAACAGTGCAAGTCTTTTTAACTCTCTGTATTTGAAAGACAGTTACAGTAACAAAAAGGCAAGTCAGCTAGTCAATACATTCCTTATATTTTAACTATAATATAAAAGAGAGTGACTGGTGGACTATACCTTGTGAGATATGTCTATTTCATTCTGGCATGCAGAATATTGTCAAACCCAACCCCGTGTTCATTTTAACTCCTTGTGTTAAGACCGAGGATGCTGGATTTACACCTGACCCGTTCCGTGTCTCCCAGCTGGCAAATGCGGGGTCCATAAAACTGTATTATCCGAAAATAACTAGCTTTGAAGATAGGGCAAATTAATGTTGTTGTTTGTTGAATGAATGGATTAACCTGTTATCGGATGCTGCTGTCGAATATCCTTGCCCTAGATACATCCCAAAATGTCCTCCATCGGGCAGACCGAGTTACCCCCTTTAAAACACCACACGACGTTGGATTGGACATCGAAAACCATGGAAGGACGAGTGCCATTTTGGCAGGAAAACGCATTCTACGACATCTTCTAGAATCGGATATCCATCCCAATCCCACGTCGGAAGTCTGATTCCATCCCGAGAAATGGATATTAGAATGGTATCATACAGCTGCGACCTTCGCTGATGAAATTCGTCTCCCCTCTTTTCTGTACGCAGCAGTGCCTCCTTGTCTTCTTATTTCTTGGAGATAGAGCTCCAAATTGACATCTTTGTCGTGCAGATAAAGATGGTGCTAATGTTTAGGGTGTAATAACTATGTCTGATACAGCATGACTTGTCTTCCAACTATTGGCTTCTTGAGAACCACCCCCTTCCAACACCGCCACCATCACCCAAGTTGGTCATTATTCTAGGTCCTGATTCTCTCCGTCATCATACTCTCCATTTCTTCCATTCCATTTAGCGCTTTATTATTAATGCCTGCGTATCGATAGAGTTTGTTTAATATCCATGTATCTAATAACCCCACCATCCTTATCCAGGTTACACTTTGCAACATGGTTCAAACGGAAAATTTGTTAAGTGTCACTGAATTTTTCATTGAACTGTACACCCATCTGATACCTCGGCAACGGTTTGGCTAAGAAGAAAGGATCTCCTTACCCCCGTTTTGTGATGGAAGGACAGTGGGCAATTGCTTGATTTTATACGCCTGATTATGGAGAGATATTAATATTCCTAGGAATCCAGGGTTAGGGACCACGCGAAGGGGTTGCACAATCGTTATTGGCCTACCGTGGGGATGGATGGTGGATCTCTACTTAGTTACTTGGGATGATGATGCCATTGGAAGCAAGGCAGGTTTGGTGAGGGCTCACATCACGGCAACACCTTAGGTGCTTGAGCTGCCCCGGTGGTTCATACCATGCAGCTAGTCAAAATATCAAGATGTGAACTTCCATACCTGATATCTCTGAAGAATATTGACATCGGATCACACGATAACCCCGCCCCCGCATCATGCAAGCTTTGCAAGCATTGCACCGAAAATCTCGATTACGTGTGCAAGGGTGCCGAAGCACTCTACAAGGAGGCCCAGTGGCGAAATGAACGCGTAGACCAGAAAAAGATCCCCGGTAATTATCGGGCGACAGCGGGAAGGTTAAAATTCAATTGAGAGTGATTGACCAAAGGATGGGTGGTTGGTGTGAAGAGATGGAGAGATGAAATAAAAAGTCCATTCGTGTAGTTAATTCTATAAATATCCGCCAAAAGGCGTTTAACTAGGGATGAGATTCAGAGATATGAGATGGATATAGGACATTCTTAGTTACATTCTCTCCAGTAACTATATAATTTGTTGTATCTATTACTCTCTCCCCCCCTTGTTGTTCATACCTTTTTTTCTAGGGCCCTTCTCCCTGGCACTCAACACCCGGTAAGCTCCAAGCCTTCGGGGCGGGTGGCGGCTTTAGCTGACGATGACGTCAGGGCCCCTACTGTAACCAGCCATGTGGGTAGTAACTCGAACATGCGTGGAGAATTTTGGAACAAATGTAATATGGGTGGGTTCTGTATAGACTAAAAGGTCCTTTATATCTCTTCCCTTTTCCTGCTCTTATAAATTGCTTGTTCGCATAGCAGAATAAACAGTAAGAGTAATACGTAATCATTAATAGAAAGCAATGACTCAAAACGGTTCATCAATCACTATTGGTTGCTCGAAGCTCAGCAATCCCCTGGCCCTGAAACTCCTTGCCGAGAAAGGATCAGCAGTCCCCAGCGCCTGGGCAGCATCCCGGGAAGCTCCACGAAAGCTCAAACGGTGCAGAATCAAGGAACGTATGCTAGCAATCCCACAGGTTATTGGGGGAGCTTCAACGAAGATGCCTGTGCTAAAGACGAATGACAGTGCTTCGCCGCGCCCCACTGCTCTCTTGTCACCCATGTATGCATATTTTCGTGTCGGAAATTGTGTTGGGGGGAAGGGAGGGGTAGTTGTGAGAAGATGGACGTGTACAAGACCCAAGGAGAAGTGGCATTTCAAAGTTGTAATTCTGTTATTTTTTATAAACTGTTCTATAACGATCTTGCTGTACTCTATAATTACTCCGTACCGAGTAGTTTAAACATCTGATGATCACTGATAGGCTAGAAGAGAAAACTTTCTCTTTTGACACAGCCATTGACAGGCATTTTAGCCACCACTCGTTTTCTTTTAACCAATTTCTCATCATCTCCTTGCTTTCTCTCTACCCACCTGCCTACATTCATTTGGTGTTGCCTGCAGCTGCATATTGTGTTTCTTGGTTAATAATAACCTACATCTTGCATAATCGCATATTCGTCATTCGATTATCGCTCCCCTCACCCACCATCGGTCAGGCTTCGATGCATCATTCTAGCAGCTTATTCAATTCTTCGCCAGCTTCACTCCTATTATTCCTAGATGCGTCTTACGTATAGTATCCAAATCACAAGCAAGGTTCGATCGTTTCTCTACCCTTCTTTCCGGCTATCTGCTGTTCCTCTAGGCTTGCGCCGAAGAAAGCGTGAACAAGAACGCGCGTTGTCGTTCCAAGTTTTAAAAGAGTTTCCGTCAGCGCAGCCTGATAACCCTTGCAGCGGTTGAAGTTGGCGAAGAAGAAAACCTAACAAAGGGAGAGCAATCAGAAAGAGAAGAGAAAAGAAAAAGAAAAGAAAAGAAAAAGAAAAAGAAGAGAGACAAAGGAAGGGGGACCACAAGGGACGAGCTTCTACCCCTTGCTCGCCATGTCCGCGCCAGTTGATGACTCCTCGGAACCGAAACCACTCAATGAGAAGACGGACAGATATAATTCCAGCTCCTCAGAGGACGGTACAGTGGTGAACGATGGATCATATCCTCCAAAACAAACGAACGCGGCAGTTAATGTAGCAATGGAGGAAGAGCCGCATTCTCCCTGCCGTTCCCCGTCGCAGCACAGGGAGATTGCTAGTCGTCTAGATGATGAATTGGCTATGATGGAGGCAGAGCGTGTCGTGTCGTCACTCGATAGAAAGTTATCTACGCATGAGAAAATTGGCCGTTCCATGTCCTTACCGCGCAGCCGCTCGAGGCGCTCTGAACCTGTCGACGAATTCGAAGCGGCAACAAACCCGCTGCATGAACAGGCTGCCATTTTCAACCCACCCGAGAACCCAACAACAAGCTTGGCCAAGTGCTTCAAAAAGATTCATGAATCCAGTTTCTTGGTTCGCTATTTCACTTATATTACTCCACTGGTTTTGATCCTTCTCATTCCACTATTGGCTGGCTTATTTGCCTTTCCAAATGCAAATGTTGGTGGTGTACAGCTACTATGGTTCTCCGTGTGGTTGGAGATTGTCTGGCTCACCCTCTGGGCTGGTCGCATCGTTGCCAAATGCCTCCCTATCCCCATGAGCCTGATAGCGAGTATACTCACCAACAATGCAAAGAAGTGGCGTGATTTGGGGAAGCAGCTTGAACTTCCCGCAACTCTTTTCTTCTGGTGGCTCGGAATTGAGGTATCCTTTTTGCCAACTATGACAAACCACCATATCGACGGGAATCGTGCTACCAGATCATGGGAGGTTGTCGTCAATAAAATCATTGTTTCCATTTTTGTGGGCGCAACTGTCAACTTTATTGAGAAGATTATCATCCAGCTGATAGCCATAAGCTTCCATCTTCGCACGTATGCGGATCGCATTGAGATTAACAAATTCCAGATCGGAAGCTTGGCCAAGTTATATGCCTATTCCAGGGAAAAAATTACATTGCAAGATCGCGACTTTGAAGAATCTCCGCCGCAGAGCTCTGGCACGCGGACTCCCATGCAATATGCTGGAGTCGCACAACGGGTTGCGCGATCAGCCTTAAACCGGGTCGGGGACGTCGCCGGAGCAGTTGCCGGCGATTTCATAGGGAAGAAGGTTGCTAAAAGTTACCATCCTCACCAAGTCGTGCTGAATCTCCTAAGCACAACATCCGGCAGCCAGGTTCTTGCCCGCCGCCTATACCGGACTTTTGTCCGCGAAGGATTTGAGACCATCTTCTCAGGGGATCTAAAGGCAGCATTTGAAAATGGAGACGAGGCAGAGGCCGCTTTTACCATGTTTGACAAGGATATGAATGGCGACATTTCCATGGAGGAACTGGAGGCTGTCTGTGTTGAAATCGGCAGGGAACGCAAGTCCATCACTGCCTCACTAAAGGATCTCGACTCCGTCGTTTCCAAGCTTGATAATGTCTTGGCCTTCATCGTTGTTGTTGTTACTATTCTTGTGTTTTTGTCTCTGATTTCTCCGTCCACTGCTGGTGTCTTGACTTCCGCTGGTTCTACGTTACTAGCACTCTCCTGGCTGTTTTCTGCTACAGCCCAGGAGTTCTTGCAGGCAAGTATTATTCCATCACAAGTCTTACCCCTATTCCCACTCCTGTGCTAACAAACTTCTGCAGTCAATCGTATTCGTCTTCATCAAGCATCCGTTTGACGTGGGAGATCGAGTCTCAATCTACGGAAATACCGGCGCAGCTTTAACCGGTGACGACTATTTCGTGAAAGAAATTGCTCTGCTTTATACGGAATTTAAGAAGATGGAAGGACATGTGGTGCAGGCACCTAACAGCTATCTCAACACGCTTTTTATATTAAACCAACGGCGAAGTGGGGCCCTGGCAGAGGCCGTCCCCATCGTCATCAAGTTCGGAACCACACTTGAGCAGATTGATGCCCTACGTCTACGGCTCACGGAGTTCGTCCGCTCTGAGAACCGCGAGTATCAGGGTAAAATTCTCACTGAGTTGCGACAGGTGACTGAGAACTTCTCCATCACCCTCAACGTTGTCTTCTTCTATAAATCGAACTGGCAAAACGAACTGCTTCGTCTGCAACGTCGCAACAAGTTCATCTGCACTCTTATGCTCGTTCTACAGGAAGTCGGCATTGAAGGACCGCGCATGAACATGATTGGCGCGAGGCAAGAACTGCCCTATCACATTTCCCACCAAGGCGCTCCACCCGCATATACAAACGGAAGAGGCCCCGATTCGTCCATGCCCGATGAACCGACCGACCCACAGCTAGTGGCCGAATCCCGCGACGCCTTAGGAGACCTGGGCCATGCTCATTCCACCGGCCTGAACAGACATGCATCCATCCTCCGCCGCCGTTCCTCCACAACCATGAATTCCCGCGCCAGACAAGGATCCCTTTCCAAACGCGTCGACTTCTCCTTAGGCATGAGCGAACTCAGTGCGGAAGACTCCATGTCAGACGTCCACACCGACCGCCGGCATCCAAAAGTCAACGACATAATCCGCAACGCGAACCGCGAATCTGCAGAGCGCCGCCGGAAAGAGCAAGAAGAAGCCGAAGCGCAACGCCGCGTTTCTGAGCTGGAAGAGTCCCGCTCCCGCAGTTCGGTGGATTCACATCCGTCACGTCTCGTTGCCTCCGCGGGCCTTCCACCCACGCACGGTAGCCTGTCGTCCCCTATCCACCGTGAACGTTTCTTCTCACGCCTGGGTTCACGTTCTTCCAGGAAAGGGAAGTCAAGTGTCCGTAACAAGGACCCTGTGACGGCCGACACGGAGCTGATGGAGCAAGGACGCTACACGGGACTGAGTTATTTCCCTTCGCATGATCCGCTAGATCCCCAATCGGGTAGCGATTCGACCCCCGCTGGACAGGATGATAATCTTTTAAATCACCCACCTTCGCCGGGTACAGGTGATAGGAGGTAGAATTCAGTCCTGTTGGTGATGTGAAGGACTGAAAGATGGGGGGCGTTTAGTTTGTTTGGTATTATTTAATATAGATCTTTTTTCTACTACCAGTTTATTATTCCTCCGATTGGGCGTTCAGCATTTTACTTTGTTTTTCCTATTTTCTTGAATCATGTTACCAACGGCATGACGTATCCACGCATGACCCTTGTTACCCTGGTTCTAACCGTCCTCACGATTTATGTCTTCCTTTCGTCAATTCTTTTCCATTATTTTTTCCCTTGTCTGTTTGCCTTTTAATGTCAGACATACTCAGGTTTTTTAGACTTATTTTTTCTGTTTTCCCTATTTCATTGTCGATATCACAGGGGTTTTTCTTGTCATGGTCAGAAGGGTCTTGACTACCATTATTTCTTTAGTTAGATTAGATGGTTTTTTTTTTTAGATCTCAAATTGGCCGGGTATATTGCATGGTATATGGTTTGGATTAACGGATACAGCTACTAGAATTGGGGGCATACATAATAATAAATTGGTAACATGGGTAACCAGCTCCAAAATGATGATAACCATATTTCTGTGTTTGAAGAGGAAAAGTTGACTTGTTCGAAAAATATAAGTCAATTCTCTCATCATGTCAATCTCATCTAATCATGATAGCCATCTGCTCATGCAATCCGCTGCAATAATATTACATTACACATGTATCTCAAATTTTAAGGCCGGTTTTTTAATCCTTGTTTAACAAGGGGTAAATTGCCCGTCGTTCCAAGGTTGGCGGCCAACCAGGGGGTGGTTGACTACGAAACAAACTTAGGGTTCTCCTTGGTGACTTTTAAGAGCTTGAAACCTCTTCCCCCCCTCCCCAATGATTCCTTTCCATGATGCTTGGGCCTCGTTGTATATGTTTGTTTGCTATGTGTGCGGTGTTTCCCAGTTCTTTTTTCTTTTCCCCCACTCCATTGCCTCCGTTAGTTGTTGCTGTTAGGTGTTCAATCACCGGAATACCGCGTTGTCGCGACTGAAAACATAGTGACCCATATCTACCTCAGTCCCTGGCAAACATTCAATCTGTCCCTCTGTGGGCTATATGGGTACAGTATAGAAACAAAGTATGCGTCAATATTTATTAGCGAAGAATTTTCCAAGCTTGTTATGAAATCTGCAGACATCAATTGTCCCTCAATTGCCCCCGCCTTCTGCGGGTCTGAGGATTCGATCTCCGCTGCTCCGTCGAGTGCAGTGTCTCCGCCTGTTTGCGCTTTGCACAACCAGAAAACATCTCAACCTGAATCTGGACCTCTATTTAAACCCTTGCCTCCAACGCCATGTCAAAGAGACTCCGAAATCGATATCACTGCGTTACCACAGATCACTGATGAAGATGAAGAATACCTTCGACATCCCCTCTTCCCCCCGCTTCCGGAATACAAACCTCCCTCCGCGCTCGCCAGCATCCAATGGTATGCTTTCCGTGCTATATCCTTCTCCTTGTCATTAACGTTTCTTGGGGGCATCGTTCTTGCGGCCGTCGTGAGCAGTGGCTTAGCTGCGACGAAGGGCCAATATATCCGCCTTTGCGGCCGTGATCCAGACAAGACCAGGCCATTCTGGAAGGAGGAACGCAAAAGGCAAGTTGCACGGGAGATTGCTGCGCATGAATGGATATATGAAAAACGGACTCGAATGGCTGTTGGCGCAGAGGCAGGTTCCAAAGCAGAGGATGAAGAGCGCAATGTTGGAATTACTGAAGCCAGCTACGAGCCAAAGGAGGGCGGTCCGGATCCCCTTGTTTGCGATATTGCTTATTATGCTCGACGAGTTGGGCTGGATTCGGAAACTTATAGGGTCCAAACGGAAGATGGTGCTATTATTACTCTATGGCATCTGTATAACCCGAAAGAATACTCTCCACTGTCCCCGACTGATAGGGATTGCATTGGTCCACCCAGTTCCCTACAGGTACCAAAAGTAGATCTACAAGGCCTCACCGCGAATGGGGATAGAAAGTACCCTATTCTCATGATCCCGGGCCTGCTCCAGAGTGCCGGAGCATTCTGCACAAATGACGATGACAGTCTCGCTTTCTTCCTCACCAAATCAGGCTACGACGTCTGGCTCGGTGGCAATCGTTATGGTTTCCATCCAGAGCATCTCTCCTTATCTCCGTCAGACCCCCGCTTCTGGTCCTGGACCGTCAGAGATATGGCCGCCCTCGATCTCCCAGCTCTAGTCAACCGCGTTCTCTACGAAACTGGCTTCGAAAAACTGGCCCTCCTCGGTCATTCACAGGGTACAACAGAGTCATTCCTCGCACTGTCGAAAAATATCCAACCCTCCCTCGGCTCTCGCATCAGTATCTTTTGCGCTCTCTCACCTGCCGCCTACGCTGGACCCCTCGTCAACACGCCCTATCTAAAATTCATGCGCATGATCCCTGCATCCTGCTTTCGTATTATCTTCGGAATCCACGCCTTTATCCCCTTTATGTTATCCATGCATACCCTCCTTCCCGCTTCCTTCTATGGAAGAATGGGCTACACAGTCTTCTCGTACCTGTTTAATTGGTCAGATTCCCGCTGGGATCGTGGGTTACGCTCACGCTTCTTCCAATTTAGTCCCGTCTATGTGAGTGCTGAGTGCATGCGCTGGTGGCTGGGTAAGGGCGGCTTTGCAACGCATGGTTGCATCTTGAGTACCAGAGAACAGATTGCGCGAGAGGATGCGGAGGATTCACGCGAAGACGCACAGGCTCCGGAGAAGGAACTGGAAGCTGGGGATGTTATACCCAATGTCTCGCCGTCCACAGGTGTTGATGCTGATGATGGCGCCGCTTGGTACGATGAACGTGTCCCGCCAATAGCACTGTGGATTGCTGGCTTAGACGACATGGTTGATGGCCGGCGGTTATTACGGCGACTGAAGAGCCGGCGCGAGCCTCATGTTCGTGTTGTACATGCAAAAGTTATTGAAGAGTATGAACATTTGGATGTGATCTGGGCGATAGATTCTGTGGAGAAGGTTGCTGTGGAGGTGAGAAGGGTTATTTGGGAATGTGTGGAGGACGATGTTCGACGTATTTGTCGAGTCCCTGTGATGTAGGGTCATGGATTGCTGTGGTTTTTGGTGAGAGGGATTGGCTGTCGAGCATTAGAGAGGTTTTCGGAGATATATGTGGTAGGGGGTGTAGATATACTCTATGTGTATGTGTTTTGGACTGACTATAGGGGCATTGGGTAGATATTATCATAATGATAGGTGCACAAATATAGCAGGGGGAATGAATATACATCAGTTTACAGAATATATATGCATATACATAAATCAACCACACGTCGTGATTTGAGTGCCAATATATGTATATAGAGCCCCGATTGGCACGCGCATTTTTATTACTCTACAAGGTCGGATCACTGCCTTCTTAAAGTGAAAATCGTTTGCAAAAGTAAAGATATATGATGTTGGCAGCCTGGGATCACTTCCAGCGCAGAAGTTTGCTTGCTTCCACCACGGCTTGCGCATGATTCATAGTAAGGGCCGACCAACGGTCAGTGACAGCTGAGACGCTTGGGTGGAGTGTGGATCCTCCCGGTCGGAATAATTCCGATCTTTTAGATCAAAAATATACTTGAAATTTCGCTCACAGCTCGTTTGCCGTGATATAAATAGTAGGTCGGTAAATGGGCTTTAGGGTCTCTCGCGTAGAATTTCCCTGCGTGAAATGCGTGAAAACTTCCATAGTTACTGTAAACACAGACTTTCAACGCAGCATTGGATTTTAAGACGTCATGTAATTAATTTTAATTCTATAATATCATTCTTTTTCTGTGAATTGACTGGCGGGCTTGTAATCTGGATCCATTCTCGTCTCGATTCGGCGAATAACTTTGGCGGGGTTCCCAGCAACGAAATGGAACGGCGGGACATCCTGATTAAAATAAGTAAAAAAATAAAAAATAAATTAATTAATTAAAAGTAAGGTTCGTTACTACAAACCGGCAGTTACAGGGAAAAAAAGTTAAAGTCAACAAATAGAGAGAGTATAAATATACCTTGGTCACAACCGAGCCAGCACCCACGGTGCTTCCTCTCCCAACTCTAACACCTGCTAAAATGATGGCACTCCCCCCTATCCAGACATCGTCTCCAATATGCACCTCCTTTCCGGCTTCTGGACCCTCAATCCCATTTCGTACTGCAGGATCTAAGGGATGGGTTGCCCCGTAGATGCAAACATTGGGACCAATCAATACCCGCTCCCCAATCGAGACAAGACATGTATCGAGAACAAGGATGTTAGAATTTAGAAATGATCCCTTTCCAACCTTGAAGTTGAGCCCGTGATCCACAGAGATTGGAGGATCGACCACCGGATCCGTTTCCTGAAACTGTTTTTCATCTTGTTCAGGATCTGGATTGACAGGCGGAAGGGCACGGGTGTCCCCAGTAATGCTGTTTCCCGATATCAACAAATCTGCTATCATAGCGAAAGAATATGGAGTGGGTCAACACTCACTCTCTCCACAGCTCCACTCTGCGTCGCCGAGAGACATTGCCGGCTTGATTGAAACTCTCGCAGGCCTGCTTGCAACGTTGACGATTTGCCTGTAGATCGGCATCCCATGCCCAGTAGAGCTCTCCGTTGAGCATTTTCTGCCATTCTTTCGATGCGGTCATGATATCCGCTGACGATGCATTCGAATGGCAATTCAAGCGTGCTTCTTTTTGCTTTGATATGTGTGCTCTGCTGGAGAGATACGCACATACAGGGATGTAGCTTAAGTGAAGTTGTTATTTTGTGGCTTAACTAGATAACTAGCTAATAGTTAACTAAGCAGATCACCCAATTTGAGAGCGGATGTTAAAACATTCAGTTTGAACTGTAATTATCAATTACAACAATAAAAAATATTCTATTAAAAATTAAAAATACTAAAACTAGAACATCTTATTCTTGTATATTCAATAATATCACAGTTACTACATCTGTAATACTTATTATTATGATAACGGAATAGAAACATGAGATTTATATAGCTAAGTAATTATACTTTTAACAAGACTCTAAGCAGCTAGCTTCTTTTCATTGAAATCTTCTTGTGTTGAATTAATCTCCTGAATCTTATACTTTTTTGCCTCTTCTCATTCAAAGTAAATATATTATAATATTATTTTTTTATAACTGAAGAATTGATTTTTACTCCATTTAACAATGTGACGGTTAGGCAACGGCCGAAAATGGCTGTATTTGGTGCTGTTTCTGGCCCCTGCTAACCACTGTCCCGCAATTGTCAAGTGAATCAGCTCCCTCCCCTGCGTTTCCCCTCCAGGCACCACCACAACATTTTGAGTGTTACGGTTTGGGCCGCTCTATCTGTGGATGAAGGTTGTTCCAATGCCCCAAGCCATAGTTATCACACCTTAGGCAGCGCCTTGCTGCATGCTTCCTCTCCCGTTCCTGAATTTTAGTATTTTGCTTTAATAGCAGATAGATTTGCGATAGATTGTTGATTTATTTGCACAATCAATGCTCATAACATCTGCAATGATTTTGGTGAGAACCTGGGTCTCATAGGCCGCTAAAGGGGGTTGCAGCTACGAAAGAGGTTTTTGGAGATTGTTGAGGCGGAGCGCCGATGATATAGTCGACCGCCAGTTGGACTTAACTTCCTCCAACTCAAATGCATACAGATGTGGGCAAGAATCAACGCATTTCTGCATACCCTCTGTCCGTTCCTGGTGTTCTTTCCAGGACTCGCCTTCGTACTCGACCGGCTTACGATGCTATCCTAAAAACTTTCACAAATTCGCTGTCGTTTGCTGGTGTCGCCTCTCCCGGAGCAGATCACGAGGACGGATCGGCACCATCACGGTTGGTATTTGCGGCCGAGATTGGTTGCGCGCATCAATCCAGTTATTGATCCCGCTACGCCACTCCTCGTCAGCGTCCTCTTCATCATGTCGTTCCTCACGCGTTTCATGGAGTCCTTCGTCGATAATGCCATCTTCCTCAATCTCAGAGCACCCGAAGCTCGCGGGATACTCGGACTCATCATCATCAAGACCCGCATCAAGTAGAGCTGCGGCTCCACTAAGTGTTGTCAGACGTTGTAGGACCCATTGGATCTCCATCAAATCCCAATTCGGCAAAGGCAGATTTTCCGGATCATGGGTCGACAGCTCGATGACATCACCGGAACGGATGATGCGTCCATCCCCACCGTTGCAGATCTTGATATCTTCCAACTTGAGTTCCTCGTCAACGATCTTTTCGTCATCAAGTACATCTCCAATGAGTCTATTGTCAATGAGCGAGAAATCCGTGATATCAGTCATGTTGGAGCTTGGGGTTGTACGTTGAGGAAGCCAGTGAATTTCGGTTTCAGAGATTTACCGTCTGAAGAGGCTTCGATTGGCTGGAGACCAATCAGCCCTGCGGCATGATGCCGCTGGATGTGAGGAGCAAAACATAGCATATTTTCAATGAACTCGGTACCGTTATCAAGGGGGCTTTGCCGCTTTCGGATTCGTGGGGCCCATAAAAGTGAAGAAGTGCTCCCGCTTGTCCTTGTTGTCCAAAGAAACTGGGACGACATGTGCAACATCAATTGGTCCAGCGCATTTGGTCACGATGCATCTGCAAGCATCTCGACTTTGACACTATGACCTATTTTCAGCATCAGCATCTAACCTTAGTTCACACTTAGAGAAGTTCAAAAAAAATACTAACACTTCGCTTGGCCTTTTCAGATCTGATCTGTGATTTGTATCAGAGGCTACAGTTGGGCTCTTGTTCTCAGGTTGGTTTTGCTCTCTGTGATAAATTTCAGACCGTATCTGGGTACTATCTCTCTTTCGCTTCCGCGAAGCCTGGGACGTGTTGTCTGATGCAGCTAGTTGGTGTAATTGGAATGATCGTTGGGGGAGGTTGAGTCGTATTCTCGGCGTGGTTTGGGAAGGGATGAGAGGGCAGAGCGAGGACGAGACCCCTGACACCCTATCAGCAGTAAAAAATGGAGCTGTCATCTCAATGTATGACGACTCAAGAGGGGCATTCCAGACTGACATTCTGTGACGATCTCCTTCAGAGCTACGCCATTAAAAAAAAATCCGGTCAGGTTGTATCACAGCGGGGATCAGCCGACTGATCGCACAACTTGGATACTCGAGATTAGAAAGTAGTAAACAAACCTGACCCATCTGAGAGACCTGACATCTAAGGGCTCTTGCAACTCTTCCAGCAGTTCCAGCCGCTCGAGAACGCGGAGTACTGGTCCGAATTGGCTGTTGTCGGACTTCTCCATCACATGCAAGCAGTGGGCCTAGCTAAGTAGAATCACGACGGGATTTGTTGTTCCATGCGGAGGCCGCACACGGGACGGTGACTGTTGCAGATTGGACCAGACATATCAGTTTTGCTTTCGTCGAGAAAAAGTTGTAATTTCCGGAAAGATAGGCATCAAGTTTTACTAAAACTGCGGATGCAGGTTATCTGTATGCTACCCGCATATAGGGAGATCTTATATGTATCTTAAACACATAGTCTTGGAATGAAACAATATGGATCAATAAATAATTAAGGTGCTTCATTTTGGACATCATAGCTGCTGGCGCGAAGCATCACTGAGATGGCGTCCAACCTGTGTCGTTTTTTTTTCATCCATATCCTCGATTTTGCTATTAATAACATTAGTCGGAACCATAAATTGGTTGGAGTCACCTGTAGCATAATTCCCGATATTGTTGATGTTTTCCCGTAAATGGCGATCTGTCTTGCAGTAGATATCCGCATTTTAACAAGCTGTTTCCCACTCTTTCTGCAGCCTTGCAAGGTCATTAATCCTCTTCTGCAGATGCCATCGCCGTCTTAGACTTTACCTCCAACCAGTTCATTATCTTCCTTATATGCCTTTCCAACCTCAAGGCTGTGAGAAATAGGCTATTCTGACGTTCCGATATTCTTCCAGCCTTCATTCATGAGGTCTTCGGACGCAGTCGTTTCGGGAGAGTTGCGCCGGTACTTCAGCATGACCTGAATCTGATCAATGTGATCGGACAACCGGGAACAAATTTGGAGGCATCTTTGCAGCTCATCCGCTAACTCTTTGATGAGTCAAAGTCCCATGGTGTCCATGTCAGACTCAGTTACTGCCTTTCAATATAGTATCATTCATCTCGTCAATGTTCTCGAGATGAACCTCAAGGTGCCCTGTTGCAGTCCGGACAAGGTGCTTAAAGCTTTTCAAGGCTTTCGGCAGTAGTGGAGGATCTGCGGCTGACCAATTTTAGCAAAGGAATGGCTGGGGTGGCGTTGTGCAATGGATATAGAGACTTAACAGGTTTGCATCAGTGGGAGCGCAGTGGATAGCCAATTTGTACCCCGACATTAGTCGTCTGAAACCATCAACATCATCGCCATATATCTTAATTTGGCCCAGTCTCAAAAGCTCATCCAACTACCAATCTTTTAGGGTACCCCGAGTCCCTCTTCATATCTTGTAAATAATTTCTTTCCATCTCCGGTCCTTGAATGTCACGGACCTTCCAGTGCCGAATGGAGACAGAGATCGACGCGATGCTAATTAGTGTACATGTGTTTTCACGAAGGCCGGGATCTTCAAATGAACTCCTATCTCCAAGTCCCAGAAGGTGCCTGCAAGCCGAACATGGACATCCCTGTGCCTCAGATAAATTTCGATGCATCGTGACGGGTTGGAATTGAACTATGCCCGTATTATACCGGGAACGTGCTACAGCAAGCACAAAGCGTCACATCTTGAGAGGGCCCAGTGCTGAGTCTTAAAACCTCGCACACATCTTTCTCTAGATTCCAGATTAGGCTGGTGCTTCTCAGCATTCCCAGGGGCGGCTGGCGGATTATCAGATCGAACTGTCATGAATCTACACCCTATTTGCAAATCCCTTGACAAAAAGCGGAAAAGCTGAAATGACACCCTAGCTAATTGGAGCAAAAGAGAACTGGATACTTTATTCAGTCCCTTGAGATCAACCCATTTTGACGCAGTAAACCGAAACCCCAACTAATTCGGCGCAGTTTAAGTGATTTTGAGCGTGGAGAAGTGGGGAATATAAAATTAGTAGGGTATTTGCTGTCCAAAACCTCTTCTTGAGGGTTCTTCAGAGAGCTACTTTCCATGTCAGCCCCGTTTAGAGAGATGAATGCTGAATGCGTCTAATAGGATTTGACTTGCAATGGGTATTTCTGTTTGTTGAACGGCAGATCTTTCTCTGTTGTTCTTTCTCACGCTCAGAGAGGCAACCGATAGTGCTCAGCAGCATCTTATTGAAATGCTCTTTTTGATAGAATTGACCAGCAAATTCAAACACTCTTGGATTAAATCCCGCTGACGCCAGTCCAAGAGGCAGATACGACCATCATCATCCATCCAGATTGATGTATCGGGGAGCAATATCTAAAAGACATAGCACACTAATGAATCTCCCGGTTCAGTTTGGACCTTAACTTGTCCTGGTAGAAGCCACCTGGTTGTACCACCCCTCCAGCTGTTCAATGCGTTGAAGATCAAACCGTTTGTATTACCCCAAAGCAATCCTGTCGACGGCCCGCCGCTAAGACTACCAGGGATATTGACGGTAATAGATTTCAAAAGCTCGAGAACACTGGCGAGATGCTGAGGGATGCTCGATGGTCTTTCCTCGAATAAAGTCCTAAACAATATATGGCCAACCCTCATCATATGAAAAATATTATGAATGTGACGAATCGTCACAATGTCTGGGTTAACTACTTCGCACTCTCTCTGTTGATTCTCTGCCTCGTGAATTTGGACCGATGGGCTGAACTTGACCACCACATCATACCCAGGCAACTTGACGACCATATTGCCTTGCCGCCGAGAAAATGATCCTCATGGCAAGAACCATAGTAGTTAATGATCCATTGTTGATCATATAATTGAGTGGCCACGGCCGTTGGGTACGAAGAATTAATCAATTATCCCCGTGTTCAAAAATATGAGTATCAAGGTTCGGATAATAGACAATCCCCAAAGATCTAATTCAATACACACAACGTTATCCTTCATGCGCTTCATCTCACTTTCAAGATGCCAAGAAATTGAAGAGTTTGGCAGCTCCATGCTTTAGAAAACTCGACCCTTGAATAAGCTAATCCCCTCAATCATGAGATTTAAAACTCATCTTCATATTCCTTCTGTTAATTGCTAATGGAACAAATCTTGTATTCTGTCTAGGAGAACACACAAAATTACTCGAAATGTTCTCCATTCCCACCCGTAAAAAATGTGGGATGTTCCTTTTTCTTTTTCTTTTTCTTTTTCTTTTTTTTTTGTTTTACTGGCAAATATAATATGATATGTGCTCTTCACCCAATCCGGTGTATTTCACTGAGTTCCTGTCCCTGTCTCGGAAGGCAAAGTTTCCGCAACCGAAATACGCAAACTGATAAGTTAATCCCGATATTTGGCGGACCGGAGCCTCGTCGATCTTGCCAGTGACATACGGACTTCGATTGACGTGCCATATGCGGAGTACATCTATTACTATCATCGCTTTCATCTTTTCCGACCGTGGAAATGGCGTCAAATAACACCCCGGTCAGCAAATGAGCTCTGTTCTGAAACAAATCATTTCCCAACCGAATAACTTCAAACTGCACAGCCATTGGGAGCCCTCAGGACGGCTTCGCAGTGAAGGCTATCTCGCATAACGTTAATAACTTAACCCCCCGTTGCTCTCGGGAGAGCGCGGACCGTCGATTCTTATCCTCAAGGTCTAAGAACAACAAAACTGATGATCAGCCTCGGAATCGGAATGATTGAAACGCGCTTCTATCTCTGGGTTTATGCTGGTGTAGATATTCTTGGATTTGTCAAAACGGCGGATTACGGAGGCCAGTGGGTTATCTGTACCGTTGTACTGTTCTCGCAACTGGAAGAAACAACGGCCTATTTGTTTAGGGTCTACTCGACTCTCGCAACTCGGACCCGGATGGCGTAGTGGTAAACGCCATCCACGGCAGAAGGCCTTCCAAGCAGACACTTGAGTGCCGGGGAGCATTCCTGCCGAGATACAACGTTTGTAGGTTCGAATCCCACCTTCAGAATAGCAAGAATTTGGGATCGGCAGGTTTATTAGAGCCCCCTTCGGCATGTGTTCTATTGATTCTTTGTGTGTTTAGATGATTCAACTACTGTCACGAGAGTTTTGGAGCTTTTTAGAGTTGGGTATAAATCGGTTGTTAGAAGAAAATGAAAATATTATAAAAGTCTAAGAACTCTTTTCGAATAAATTATAGTTAACTAACTGGAATTCTTCTTATCAAATGTATCTAAGGCATTAGGACCCAGTCATGCTATGGCTGCTGGACGTTGACCTGCACGTGATTCCTATACATAACTACCATCCCAACCATCCCACATTGAGCCAAGAAAATATGAAATAACAACGTGAATAATGATCCTGGGGTTCTCCCTTGGCCCATTTGCTTCTATTTGCCGCCTGGGCATTCATATGGAAAATGCTTCGGGACCGTCTTCGAAGGTCGAACAACTTTATGTTACTTTCTGTTGGCGGAAATGAACAAATTCCGTCCCGAATTCGTATGTTAATGCCAACCTCCAGTAAAACCACCACCTGGGGCTATTAGTGTCAACGTGCCGAAAAGCCAGAGCATATAGTCTCTGATTGAAAATGAAAGTATTTCAAATCCGGCGCTTGCGGCCTTCTGAATCTGAAACAAGTTCGAAAGGAATTGGAGAGCTCGCTAAAGTATCCGATGAATAACTCTCCGCGCAGTTGATTCTTTCCGCCCACCTGTCGCAATAAACCAACACAAAGAAGGTGGTTTATTAGTTCTGCGAGGTGACGTGGTTTTGGGATAAGCTTCCTGGGACCTGTGAAAATAGCGCCCCTTGGAAATGAGCACCAACCTGAGAATGACCCTGCTTTAACAAGACGCCAGGCATCATCTCATTGGTGTGCTTCAGGTTTGATACTGTTTTTCGTTTTGAAAGTCCAGAAAATGCAACCACTAAGAACACCATTTACGCAGGTATAGCTGAACAAGGTGAAGATGGATCCAGGGAATAGAGAAAATGCACCGGCATTGACGATCATCCAACTGCAATGCTGTCATAGAAAGTCAGATAACTATCCCTTCCCTGTATTTTACTCCATACAGTGCTAGTTTAACGGGTTTATCGGGAGTTTACTCCGCGAAATGCCCGGTTTGTCACTGAGACTTGGGTCTTCTGATGTTACCGAAACTGACCATACACCACTAGACTTAGGACGCGTTGAAATCGAGCGAGAATCATTTTCGCTCATTTTCATCTTTCCCCTCCTGTTCTCATCCGTTGACGAAAACAGGGTGATACATAAGTGATGTGAGAATTTAGCGAGACGACGACGTTCTTAGCGACCACGAAGTTCTTGAACCCCTCCCATCATTACAAGAATTCAACATTGGTTTCCGTTCTTGAAGAGTCCTCAAGAGCGTCAACAATTGGCTAAATTATAGCGAGATGTGGATTCAGTTTTTGACATTATGGACACATCCAGTATTTGGTCCTGTAGTGGGAGAAAAGGATGTTTCCCGCAGTACCAAAACCCCTGCTCCTCTTTTGGGTGATTGCAGGACAATGCAGCTTTCATAGCTAACAAGGCTAGGACAGCGGTATGCAAACACCCGCTATCTAATCGTAGATGATTATGGATGATTGTGAAAGGTAGGCATGATGCCCTGTGCATGTGCCAAAATGTTGGATTTTCATTTAACCGAACCGCAGCGGCCCGGAGTTGAATTGCCTTCCAATCATCTGTATGCGATGGTTGACATTTTCTCCAGCGTTTTCCGGATAAAATGGCTTCCGTGTCTTATAGGACAATTACCGGCTATCAGGCAGGTCAGGATCCGCAAGATGTTCATTATCCTGGAGGTATCATACGCATCTCGATACCACCCGGCAGTATTAGGAAGCCCGCGGAAAAAAAAATGTGAGATAGAGAGAGAAAAATATACACTCGTTATTACAAGAGTCGAGTCGCGTTTTTGTTTCTGCAATACGTCTCACTCTTCGTATATGCCCATTTATTTACGTTTAAATACATCTACCTCCTGCCGAGATTTTATCTTTGGGTCAGATCATATTCAGTGCTACATACACCTCTTTTGCTGCATCCTATTAAGCCCTTCCCCTTTTTCCCCATCTCATCTTTCTTCAGCACAATTTTCCGAGCGCTTCGAAGCCAAGCCCCTCGAACTCCAGTTCCTAGTACCCGGTTCCAATCTTGTCCCTTAGTGTTGATAAAGAGTAGTGAGGCAAGCTGTTTTGAATCCTATGACTCAAAAACACGATCAAAATAAAGCAGAGATAGAGAGAAAGAATGAGAAAGAAGGGGATACCGATCCTTTTGGCTATGCCCTACAGCCTAATCCCGCCACGATTACTGCAGGCGAGGCCTCTGCCTCCGAAGGGGATGGAGGCGGAATAAACACTTCCCAGCAGAATGATCTGACTGAGCTTGCCCGTCGCATTTCCAATATTTCAATACAAGGCAGTATTGGCACACAGCATGCTGCAGCCGATATCAACCCCTTTATAGACTCCGAATCCGACCCGGAATTAAACCCCAACAATAAAAAGTTTAATGTGCGCAAATGGATGAAATCCATTCTCCGTATTACATCGAGAGATCCGGAACGTTACCCCAGACGCACCGCGGGTGTTTCGTTCCGCAACTTGAACGTCCACGGCTACGGTTCAACAGCTGACTACCAAACAGATGTTGCTAATATTTGGTTGAAAGCGTTTGGGCAGCTGAAGCGTTTAGTTGGGTTTGGTGAGAAAGTCCACATCGACATTTTGCGTGATTTCGAAGGTTTAGTAATGAGTGGAGAGATGTTGATCGTGTTGGGTCGGCCAGGAAGGTAAGTCAAATTTTGTCCTATCGTTTGTCAGGCATGTTTCTGACCTCTTTTGCCAGCGGTTGCTCGACCTTTCTCAAGACCATAGCTGGTGAGACTCACGGTTTATACATGGACAAGGATAGTGATGTTCAATATCAGGGTATCTCCTGGAATCAAATGCATAACAATTTCCGCGGCGAAGTCATCTATCAGGCGGAAACTGAGACCCATTTCTCTGACTTGACTGCTGGTGATACCCTTTATTTTGCCTCGCGAGCTCGTACTCCAGCGAACCGGCTCCCTGGTGTTAGTCGAGATCAATACGCATTGCACATGCGCGATGTTGTTATGACCATGCTTAGTTTATCGCACACGATAAACACTAAGATTGGAAATGAATACATTCGAGGGGTCTCTGGTGGTGAAAGGAAACGTATTAGCATTGCTGAAACTATTCTTATCGGAAGCCCGCTACAATGCTGGGATAACAGCACCCGTGGCCTTGATAGCGCTACGGCGTTGGAGTTTGTGAAGTCACTACGTCTTTCCACCAGATATTCAGCCACAACGGCTATTGTAGCCATCTACCAAGCCAGCCAGGCAATTTACGACAATTTTGATAAAACGATTGTTTTATATGAGGGCCGACAGATCTATTTTGGAAACGCCGCTTATGCTAAACAATACTTTGTTGATATGGGATTCCACTGTCCAGATAGGCAGACCACAGGGGATTTTCTCACGTCCTTGACCAACCCAGAGGAGCGACGGGTCCGCGAGGGATTCGAATCTCTTGTTCCACGTACGCCCGACGAATTTGCAGCCAGGTGGAAGCAAAGCCCTACTCGGGAAGCTCTCCTCGCAGCAATAGATGTTTACCAGAGTCAATATCCGCTTGGAGGAGAACAATTGGATCGGTTCCACGCTTCTCTCAATGCTCAAAAATCAAAATCTAATCGATCCAACTCTCCCTACACTCTTTCATACTGGATGCAGATCAAATTATGCATATGGAGAGGATTCCGGCGCTTGAGGGGCGATATGTCGATGACCTTGACGTCTGTTATCGGAAACATCATGATGTCTCTTGTTGTCTCCTCGATGTTCTACAATCTCCCTAGTGATACCAGCAGCTTTTTTAGCCGTGGCTCGTTGCTCTTTTTTGGCATTCTTATGAATGGCTTTGCAAGCTCTTTAGAGGTTATGACCCTTTGGCGTCAACGACCCATTGTGGAAAAGCATGACAAATATGCCTTATATCGCCCGTCTGCCGAATCAATAAGTTCAATTATTGTTGATATACCTGCGAAGTTATTGTCATGTGTTGTCTTCAATCTCGTCCTATACTTCATGACAAATCTACGCCGCACCCCTAGTGCTTTTTTTGTTTTTATTCTCTTCTCATTTTTAACTACGTTGACTATGTCCAACATCTTTCATTCAACCGCAGCGATGTCAAGAACTCTTGCGCAAGCAATGGTCCCCTCGTCACTAGTTACGCTTGCCTTGATTATGTATACTGGGTTCGCAGTTCCCTTGCGCGATATGGTTGTCTGGTTCCGCTGGGTGAACTATATTAACCCAATTGCTTATGCCTTCGAATCGATAATGATTAATGAGTTCCATGATCGCTGGTATCCATGTGCCAGTTTTATTCCAATGGGACCTGGCTACGAGCAGTTCGGCAATGAATCGAAAATCTGTGTAGGTACCGGTGCTGTCGCAGGGCAGAACTACATTAGTGGGGACGCCTTTCTCAATTCATCTTATGAATATTACGCCGAGAATCTGTGGCGAAACTTTGGCATCATCTGTGCTATTCTGGTCTTCTTTTTTTTTGTATGCATCATCGCTTCGGAACTGGTCGTTGCTAAGCCTTCCAAGGGTGAGGTTCTCGTCTACCCCCGCGGAAAAATGCCCCCAGAGCTTACTCAAAAACACACAAAAAAAGCTACGAAAGATTTGGAGGCGGCTAGAGCTGCTTCGGACGAAAAGCAAATGATTGAGCAAAATCGTCTTGAGCAGGTTGCATCGATTGTCAAGCAAACTTCTGTTTTCCATTGGGAAAACGTCTGCTACGATATCAAAATAAAGGGTAAACAAAGACGGATCTTAGATCAGGTGGATGGCTGGGTTAAGCCTGGGACTTTGACGGTTTTAATGGGGATTTCTGGTGCTGGAAAAACTTCTCTTCTCGACGTCTTAGCCAATCGTGTCACAATGGGTGTGGTTACAGGCGAGATGTTAGTTGACGGCCAGCTTCGTGATGACTCGTTTCAGCGCAAAACCGGATATGTGCAGCAAAATGATTACCTGCATACAGAAACCAGCACTGTTCGTGAAGCTTTAATTTTCAGCGCACTCCTTCGGCAGCCGTCCACCATTTCACGTGCCGACAAAATTGCCTATGTCGAAGAAGTCATCAAGATGCTAGGCATGAACGAATATGCTGATGCGATCGTAGGGATCCTTGGCGAGGGCTTGAATGTTGAGCAACGAAAGCGGCTCAGTATCGGAGTTGAAATTGCCGCCAAGCCAGATCTGTTGCTCTTCTTCGACGAACCTACCTCCGGCCTTGACAGCCAGACGGCCTGGTCTATTTGCGCATTGATGCGAAAGCTTGCAGATCACGGACAAGCTATTTTGTGCACCATCCACCAACCGTCAGCCATTCTAATGGAGACATTTGATCGGCTGTTATTTTTGGCTGATGGCGGGAAACCAGTTTATTTTGGAGAACTTGGGGAGAACATGAATACCCTAATTAAATATTTCGAGAACAAGGGAGCCCCCAAGTGCCCTCCGGATGCAAATCCTGCTGAATGGATGCTGGAAGTTACTGGTGCTGTTCCTGGCTCACAAACTGATAAAGACTGGCCGGAAATTTGGAATTCAAGTGCCGAGCGGGTTAAAGTGCGGCAAGAGTTAGCTGTTATGAAGCAAGAATTACTTCAGATGTCCCAGCTAGTAACAGCAGAGGGATACTCGGAATTTGCAATGCCCCTCTGGTACCAGTATCTCATTTGCCAGCAGCGAATGTTTCAGCAGTATTGGCGTAGTCCAGGATATATTTATGCCAAAGCTTCTCTTGCTCTTGTTACAGTAAGTCTCTCTATTACCAGGTCGACGGAAACTTACGCAAAACCTCATACAGTTTCTTTTTTGACTATTACTGCTGCTATACATTCACTAATCGCGGACTGGACTGTTTCTAGCCACTATTCGTAGGATTCTCATTCTACAAAGCGGAGACAAGTCTTCAGGGCTTGCAGAATCAATTATTTGCAGTCTTTATGTTTCTGACTATGTTTCCCATGATTGCCCAACAGAGCATGCCCTATTTTGCGGCTATGAGATCGCTATATGAAGTAGGTCAGATATCCCGTTCTGGAATATGTCCGGCAATGTTAACCTGGCCTGTGTGAACCAGGTACGCGAACGACCGTCAAAGGCTTATTCATGGAAGGCCTTTATGCTTTCAAGTATCATGGTAGAACTTCCTTGGAACACCTTAATGGCTGTGCCGGCGTTCTTCGCCTGGTACTATCCAATTGGGTTTCAGCGAAATGCCGGCGACAACGTGACCGAACGCAGCGGGACAATGTTCCTCCTCATCTGGATTTTCCTTGTGTATGGTTCCACGTTAAGTTCCATGGTGATTGCGGGGATCGACCTAGCCGAAACGGCTGGAAATGTTCTGCAGTTTCTCTTCTCCATGACCCTCATTTTCTGCGGGTACGTATATATCTTTCCCATATTTGTCGATTATCAGCTAATGGTGTTAATTGACAGAGTTCTCGCTACATCTGATACCATGCCTCGTTTCTGGATCTTCATGTACCGAATCTCTCCCTTCACTTACTTTGTTTCTTCTGTGCTCTCCACCGGTGTGGCCGGTGCTGATGTCCAATGCTCCTCCATCGAGGTATTAAAAGTTCATCCTCCCCAAGGAAGGACATGTTTACAGTATTTTCAGCCATTTATGTCTCTTGCCGGCGGTCGTCTCATTAATCCAGACTCTACAGACGTGTGTGAATTCTGCCCGACTGCAACAACCGATGAATATCTTGCGCGGATAAACATACACTTCAACGATCGCTGGCGCAACATTGGTATTTTGTTTGTATATATTGCTGCAAATGTAGCCGGCGCTGTTTTGTTTTATTGGTTGGTGAGAGTGCCAAAGAAGGGACAAAAGAAAGAAAAGAAAGAATAGAGCGAAACAGTTCTTTTGTTATCTGTTTTGCATAAAGAGCACTTTCAACGCTTGGTAGGGAAGGGGGTTCACTGACCTTACCATTGATATCCATTGCTTTCCAGGTCTTATATATCTCATTTTCGTGCTCTTTCACCTCTAATATACCACCATCATACTAGGTGCGTTTCAGTACTCTTAAACACAAGTCACTAATTTTAATTGCATATACCGCTCATCCACGGATTGTGTTGATGTTACTCTTTGGTTGAGTCCTTTGAGATATACGTTCTTATCCTGTATCGTTTCTTTTATCAAGTGACCGGCAGGTCAGACAACTCCGGGTTGTGTCCTCGACTTTGTGTGTTGGAACTAGAGGTGATAGAGATCGAGTCCTTTCTCACCACACATAATATATACAAGACTGTGCCAACCTGATCCTTATCTCCTGGATAAGGAATTCCCACGTCCCACACATTAATTAGGCTCAGCAAATATCAGAGTTTAGTGACCTTTCAGGAGAGCCACAATTGCAACGAGTTGCAGGTCAGTGTTACGCATTACCAAGAACTTGTTGCACGATACCATATAGGGTTGTAGGGAGAAAAAGGAGCTATGAGAGACCTTGGATTACTCGTGGTTGAGAATGAAATGAGATGGGGTGTGTTGTCATCTTCCGACTGAAGCTCCTCTTTGAGAGAGCCGACGCTGTTAGAAGTCCAACACTTTCTTCAAACAAGCGATGTTAAGTATTGATCATTTCAGTAAGGTAATTTCAAACTTGTCAAACTCCCAAAATCTTAGCATTAGATATATATATATATATATATTGATATATTAACTACATAACTGAACCTTCAGAGACGATATAGCCCTTTTCTCGAGAAAATAAATTTTCACCACTACGGAACCGTGATCGATTAAAGGCATGCATCGGAAATTAAACACTGTCAAATTTTCACAGTCCATAACTAAGCGTTAATAACCAATGAAACCTTAAGAGTTTGTTGTTTGCAGCGTGTTTTGCAACTTTCGAATCCTAAGGCATTTGCTGTATCATCGCGCTCCAACCTCTGTTGTATGGCATTGGAGCAGTACAAGCAATCATGCATGATTATTTAGCTGCTGATATCGATTTAAGCCTGGAGATAATGAAATTCTTGCAATCAGAAGAGGAGACATCAATAAAGACACCCTATTGTGGGTGCTCTGGGAATATCTGATGTCATTGGAGAGCTTGTCAAGTTTACATTGGACGAATGATCTCCAAAAGTTATCTGGCAGATATAACTACAATGGTTATAGTTGCACCAACGTATTTTACTCCACGGCTCCTCCAGCCACAGAAGATATTCTTCCACGAGGAGGATCTGCGGCATGGAATCAAGAGTCTCCGAAATAGCGTGATGGAAAAATCGAACTTGAGGTTGAATCCCTTTAGATCACCGGATAAAAAACATTATGCCTTGTCACAGCAGATACCACTGAGTAGCTACGATTAAGTGGACATACACCAGGGCACGAGTTCAACAAGTCCCGGATATCCCACATATGCGAATTCTCTGAAGGGGCCCCTCTTTCATCATACTTTCGAAAAAATTCACACATTGGTTTTGTCCGTTAAAGGCAACCGGGGCCGCCTGCATATGTCACCCACGTTTCTCGTGGCACATTTACATGAAGAGGAGGCGTCTCAACCTGCGCAAATGGATACACGGTCCAGGAGAAGCTCTCGTCTGAATTCGAAAGATAATTGGGCCAAAATCGAGAATTTCTGAGCCGCACCCATCTCTGCCTTGTGCCGGGATGGTTTAGATACCGGACCTCGGTATATCCCCAGGGGGGAAGCATTGGTTCGGGGCCATCCGGTCACCAGGGGTGAGGGTGTTGAGGATGAACGGCACGATGGCCAATAAAATAGACAGCCTCGACAAGGCGAAGAGTGAGTTTATCCTAGGGTATGGTAGAAACATGTTAGGAACAGTGCTAATATCGAGATTCAGTTTAAGTGAACGCTAGGCTGAAATGCTTAATCGGACAAACCAAAAGCCATTCATGCCTTACGAACACCTGACAGGATTAAAGCATAACTAGTGCACTAATTTGCCGGTGAGCTGTGAGGAAAATGCTTGCTAACACCATGAGGGTAACCAGCCTTGATGTGGAACGAGGCTTGGGGCTTGAGCAAAGGATGTTTCTTCACTGATGTGCCAACAAGAAGAGACAAGCGGCCGAGTCTTGCCGAGCCGCTGAGCCTTGAGTAGGATAAGCTGCTTGCGAAACGAACAGTGGAACCTATGCGTCCCTGAGAGCCATGAATCAAGTCAAAGGTAACTTTGGTTGTAGAAGAAGACATCTGGCAAAAAAGATCGATATGGAATGTTCAACCCACATCCTCCCTGCACGGCCGTGATGTATGCCAGTCAACCTAATGTTCATGCATGGTCATGAAGTTAGCACCACGGACCCGCAAAAACAGTTGACATTGAAAATTTATAAGTTGGAGGCCGTCATTCCATTTCCATAGTTATACTACCAATAAGTGCTCTTTCTTCATAGTGATTGATGTCTTGACCTCATGCAGTTACCCACTCCCCTACCGAAAACGATTATCTAATTTCGCGACCAGGGATCAGTCGCACTGGCGTCTATCGCTCTCTACATACCAAGAAGGCAGAGTTTGTCATTTCTTGACCATCGAGGGTCCCTGTCAACATTGATTTGGGGGGCATGCCCATGAGGTTTTCGGAATGCTCCCAAAAGAGATTAGTTATGCCCTCCGAGCAGGCATACTCTCCATCAACGGATCTCTATCTGTCAATTCATCGGCGGCAGATGGATGTCTTTTCTGTTTGCTTACTCCAAATCATCTTCGAGATTCTCTCAGTGATCTCAAGGGTCCTCTTGCTGAACTTAAAAAGACTAGTAGAATTGTGGCAGAAATGTTTGATTTAAACTACCGGGCCTATTTCTTTTTGGCTGTAATTGCATATTATCGGATAGAATGATACTATGGATATATACAAGTTAAATGCTTTGGTATAATGAGATTGAAAAAAGCAGAGAGGATATGGAGGATACTGTTACAAAGTCGTTCTAGAACGCGCATATATACATACATCCAACCTTGATACTCGATTGTCTCTCCGCGCCCTGCCAAAATATCTTGCATCCAGCTTCCTATGGGAGTCGCAACACACTCTCGTAATAGCTGCCCAGCTGCCCAGCGATCCACTGGTTATTTAGTTGTAACCGCAACGTAGGGGTTGCAATGTTTCGATGGATACTGTTATGAGGCATTGGTATATCTTTCAGCTTACGATCGTTGACTTCGCGCAAACATGTCGGCAGCTAGGAGAGCAGTTGGTTCGCTACCGTCCATAAAATCATGGGTTTTCATAAATCTTCTCAGATATGTTTGGCAGCTAGCTGAAAGATATTGCTCTGTTGAGCATATAGTGTTTGAGATTCATAGGTCCTCGTTGGCAATTGACGTTTTTATCAGAGGCGTGCAATTTGTTCAGCGGGGAAAATTCGGAACTTTTGGATAGCTACAGATGTGGCCATTACGAACAAGCAAGTTTGTGCGCGATGACCCAGGCGATTGAACTTGATGGTATGAAGCCGCCGGTGCGTGCCTTGGGGATGTTTACTTGCAGAGAAAGATTAAAAATGGGACATGGTTGAAAGCCGTCGCTGGAAATGATCCCTCGGGTTACATTCATTTGATCGATGTCAAGAATATTAACAGAGTAATAAATTCCACATGGTTTACATTTTCCCAACAACATATGAGGGGTTCACCAAAACCAACCCAGTGTTTTGGAGTGTAGGATGAGGATGAGAAAAGAGCTGAGGAGGGTTCTGCGGGAATGGGGGAGGTTAATCATCGCTTGAGCCTCATCCGGCGCAGCACCTTGAGCCCCTTTTCTTTTTCCACCACGAGTGTCACCATTCTTCTTCCATCCACCAATAAGTGGAGATCAACTCAGAGATCCGTCCCCAGTCACCGATCGCTCTAACGGAGAATCTATTGGATGAGACTGCACGGACGATGGTTTTAAATTATTTGGACAGCTCATATTTTTTTTTTTTTTTTTTTTTTTTTTTTTTTTTTGTTTTGTTTTGTTTTGTTTTGTTTCTGTTTTGTTTTTGCTGGTGCGGCTGCTCTCATCCCTTTTTTCTTCTTCTACTTGCAGGTTCGTGATGACGTTAGACTTTCGAGCAAATATATCACTAATAAACTAAAGCCGGTACCAGTTATCTAACATATTTGGCGAGGTGATTTCCTAGTTACGATTAGCCTGGCGGAGAATACTCCGAAGGTACTCGACTGTTACTGTGCCTTTGTCGTGATTAAGTTCAGATCTCTTGATAAGAGAGGTCCTCTGGTTCATTGAACATTCTTATTAAACCGACCCTAGAATCGGCTTTAACACAGCCATCACGAACACAACACCATGACGATCACTGGCGCAGACGGCATGGTTTTCGACATCAAACATCAAAAATAGCAATACGAGATGCATCGGAAGCCACATTGCCCACACTGACGGAGGTGGAACGTGGGGGCAGCTTGGAACTTGGCACGACATGATTCTCCGTCGCTAATTTTTCTACAACCCAGGTTGACGACGGTATTTTCAATGCCTGACTAACTAACAGTTAGTTAACTTACTGGTGGTCTTTCCCTGCCAATCTGTGTCAGCTGGTTGATATGTGAATGTTGGGACTTGTTTGGAACTTTGGATCAAACTCTCGTCAAGGGCCCAGACAAAACAGTGTTGATGCGTGCTGCCAAGTGGAAAAAAAAAAAAAAAAAAAAAAAAAAAAAATCTTGACGCCACAAGACTAACTGAAAGGGACAAAACCGATAGCTGTCCAGGTTGTCACCAATGAGGAATGAGAGTTGGTTCAAACTACCGATGACCCCTCAAAACTTCTGCTCTCCGGGTGGTGCAATCTCAACTTATCCCTCAAAGAAAAGAAGACGAATAATCAACCAATCAGAAAAAACCCATGACTTTTTTTCTGGTGATCTTAGCGACGCGGAAAATAATACTATACTTTCTTCGAATCTCTTTTTATTCAAAGAGTGATGGTAAATTGGCAGAGTACGGCGTTGTCGTACGGTACCCATCTATGGCCATCTATGGATGGTGTGTTCGTCAGAGGGAACCAGCGACTATCATAATCATCATGAAACGAGCTACAACAGCCACAGGAAGGATTAACTCATCCAACTAATCTGATCTGGGATAGCTAATGTTCATAGTCTTTCGCTGTTCTATTTGAGCATCAGCAATCATGATACCATGAGTCCATGACAGAGCCGCTAGGATGATTAATATAATTTTTTCCCCCTTCTGTTCCACTTTCCTCTTGTCAAAGCAAACGCAGATACCAGGGATCAGCTATCCATCCTTGCCACACAAGCCCTTCATAGATCTTGCGTTGGGGAAGTGGGGAACGAGGGGCTGGAGAGCTAGCACAAGTAGTTGGCCCTTGGCGTCCAGGATGCACCCTGTTGAACACTCCTACCTGCGCATAGAATCGCGTAAAACGGTGCTCACCAGGTAGGCGGAGGAGGACTTGAAATCTTGGAGGCAAATCTCCCTGTATGTATTCATGCCAGCCTCTACGATAGCGAATGAAATCAGAAGTTTTCCAGTCCTTCTTGAAGAAGTAACCGCAAAATAGCTTTCGGTGAAAATTTTGACATCGGCCTTCAAAGGCGGAAAAAAGGCTCCTGTTCTAGGTGGCGCTAATCTCAGACATCGTACCAGTCTGCCCCGGCCACGCATATCCTGCTATGGGAACGAGGAGTAGCTGAGGGACTTCTAATGTCTTAAAAAAATAACCCCTTTTTTTTCGGGGGCGGGTAGGAGTAGTTCTTCAGGTTTGTCAGAATAGTATTAAAATGATAACTAACATCTAAATTGTTTTTCAACAAAATCCCCGTGGGGCTGGTTGCTCAACGATATTTGACAGCAGGCAAAATACGGGCGGCTGTCAAATCATCCAATCAACCCTGATCGCGAGTTTTTTTAACAGCGTTTCTTGGAACGAGCCCACGAAAAATTTTTGGGAACGCATGCGGGAACAAGAACCATGTGTTCCCCAAGCAGCTGAAGCAGCAGCTTCACTTCCGATCAGCCTGGATTTTGCTTTTATAAATCTAAATCCCTGGTCGATCCCGTCTTAACTCGTTTGCCTAAACCAGTTTAGGGCACCAGGGTTGCCTTGCATGAAAAAGTTATCACCGAGGAGGGCGGACGATGAGAGAGAGAATTCTATTCACTACTCACTCCGAGCGCGAGTCACTTGATAAAGGAATTGTGAACAAACGCGGGCGAATAATAATACCCACGCGTGCAGTCAGGGAAAGAGAGCGCGGAGCTTATTTTTGCTCTGCGCTTCAAAGTGAAGCAAAACACTGTGATGGAACTGCGTTCGTTTCCTGTCGTTCTGATTTTAGAATTTCGCCACTCCCAAAAAAAAAAACATTCTGGTAGACAAGTTCAACGGGTCGGAACGCCGTTTAGCGCAAAACATATTGGGTTCTTGTGGACACGACGCCAATAATTATGACCATAAGCAGCAGGGTTGTCAAATCTCCTCATCTTCCATCGCCTGCCCAGAGAGGGCCCCGCATGACGACGAGGGCAGCGCAGTATTTGTATTATTACTATCTGGGTATGGTGTGCGTTGTCTCATCCTGACGGCATCTGATGTGTTTGTTTTCTGCTCGGTTGTATACACCTCCTGGAGATTTGAAATAATGTTTATTATGTGGAAAATGCCTCTGGATGCGGGTGAGGTGTTTTAATCTTCACCCTTTTTTTTTTTTTTTTTTTTCCTTCATTTTTTTTTTTTTTTTTTTTTTTTGCTTTCTCTTTTCTTTTTTTAAATTGTTTTTATTTTTTATTTTTTTATAATTTTTGCTCCCAGCTTGCATAAAAACCGCTTTTATTCAAGCATCAGCAGCATAAAGTGATTCATTGAACCTAAGAATAGTCCACCCGGCCGATCGCGCAGAATTAAGTTCTTATAAACACGAGCGAGAGGACAGAAATAAAAACTCACCGGGGTCAAAACTCCGATGCCCCTTCGGGTCCCGTAAGACTTACCAAATCTGCAAGTCGTAACGAGGCAGAACAACTGGCTGCCTCCCAGCGACTCTCATGTGGGTTTGGGTGGCTTCGCTAGTTTTGAATGGCCGTCGTGATGCGCCCAAGAACATCCATTGCCCACGATTCATCATTTTCTTGGCCGCCAATTACAACTGGATACCAGCGTTGGCCGCTAAGCTATTTAACCTCCAGCCTTTTATCATTTGACCGGGCGAACCACCTTTGCTCGACTGGTATTGGACAGCGAAGCCCCTCGCCAGCTTTTGGTCATGCAGGGGCCGACCGGGGTTTGAGCATTCTCTGGTTCCCAGCTATCAGACTTCCAACACAGCTTTTTCAGCGCGGCCGCACTCCTTGGGCGATTTTGCGGCTCTGTTGAGATATTTCTCATGTGTTCCCCGTGCTGGTCGTGCAGATTTCTTGGAAACAGGCTCAGAGATTGGAGCCGATTCACTTATCAGAAACGCCCCCCTTGCCCGTGTCATCTTGGAGGCCAGAGGATAAGACGCACTGCGGGAAGCAGTTTCTTTATATTACCGAGTAATCTCCCTTTGAGAAGAGATTTCTTCTCCGCTCCCCTCTCCGGCACGATTTTTGGTTATGACATCACTGTCGATAAAAAGGGGGAACATCCAACCACGCCATTCTTGTTGTTTGAATGTTTGTTTATTTTGTTGTCATATTATCTATATAATACTTGTCTTGTCCCGTTGCGATTCAACAGTCCTTCTATAAATGCTCATCACTCTGGAGGTTGTTGACTGGAGCCAATTGTAATCTGTGGTACGACCATGGCAGACATAATGTTCTCGCACGGGATTGATGAGCTTCCTCAGATCCGAGTTTCTGAAGACGGGCCCCTGAGCGATCAGCACTCCATATCCCCAAACTCGACTGATTTGCCCCTTATGATAGACCCCGCTAGCTACTCCTACGACATAGATAGCGCGAACCTCCGGCACGATTCCATAGCGGCAAGGACGTCATACATGGAGGCCCGTTTGTCGTATCTGGGAAAGTCTATGAATGGCTACGCGCTATGCCCTCCAACGGTTGAGAATTCACAGGGAGGCTTCTACACCTTGAGCTCATCTACAGGTCAACATGGTGATGATGGGGAGCCGGAACTTTTCCATAGCCCAAGCTGGAGGTACGATTCTCCGAGCGGTTCATGTGGTGGCGATCAGACAGAAGCGGATTCTTCTTTGAGCGAACAATCCTGGAGCCATATTCATGTGTACCGCCAGTCTCAATGCGCCGCCAACTACAGCCCAGTTTCCTCCACGCTGAGCGAGTCGTTCCATCACGTGGAGCCATCGAACAGTCTCTCACAAAATGCGGACGGTTCGTACTGTGGGAGTGAATACTCTGTCAGCTTGCGAGAGGTGCAGCACTATCCGGACCCGGACCCAGACCCAGAAGCAGATCCAAACTTTGAAATGGAAATTGGTCTGCATGGGCGGTCGTTTACCTTCCACCAATATCTGTCTCAGGGAAACACGTTCCTGGAAGTCATGGAACCAGCCCATGCAGATACCAATGGCCAGGAACTTAGAGCGCTTGCAGGCGGTATCGATGGACAGATGGAGTCTCCTATGTCAAAAGTCGGCGCCAACCAAACTCCAACGGAAGCCCCAGGTGACTCCCAATTCCCCCGCAAAAAGATGAAGACTCCCATCGCTATTCCACCAAGCATGCCGCGGCCCCAAAAATCCACCACCAACAACCGCGACAAACCCGCCCGTCCCCGCGCCATCCCCAGCCGATCTTCAAAACGAGGCAGCAAGGTAAAGTCCACCCGTAGAAGTTCACTATCCCCCCACTTGCGCCAGAGCAACAACGACCGCCAATTCATTTGCGTTTTCACCCCGTACGGCTGTACAAGCACATTCTCTACCAAAAACGAATGGAAACGCCATGTTTCCTCCCAGCATCTCCGGCTTGGCTTTTACCGCTGCGACGTCGGCAGCTGTATGGTCTCCCATCCCCCCCTCCTGCCGCTGTCCTCGTCATCATCATCATCATCCACTCGCGACAGACCAGACCCTCCTCCCCAGTACCCACCGCGCAGCCCCAACGATTTCAACCGCAAAGACCTCTTTACGCAGCACCACCGCCGCATGCATTCTCCATGGGCTGTGCCAGAGGCAAAAGCCCCCACCAAGGAGGAGCAGGAGGCATTTGATAAGAGTCTGGAGAAAGTGCGCAAGAGGTGCTGGATTGAGAGGCGGAAACCACCGCAGCGGAGCCAGTGTAACTTTTGCGGTCTTGAGTTTTCGGGGATATACTGCTGGGACGAGCGGATGGAGCATGTTGGGAAGCATTACGAGAAAGGCGATAAGGAAATCGGGCAGGATGTGGCCTTGAGGGAGTGGGCAGTGAGTGAGGGTATCATTGTTGAAGGAGATGGGAGCGGGATATGGATCCTGGCATCTGTCAAGGAAACTGTTGAACGGCTTAAGAGTCAGGAGAAATTTGGTATACGAAACTCGTTTTAAAGTGTGTGAGTGGAGTTCCTGGGAATTCTAGGTGTCTGGAGTGATTCCTTTTTGTGATATACCCTTTTTTTTTTTTTTTTTTTTTTTTTTTAAATTTCTACTGTCCTACTATCTCCCATGTTTCCTTTTGCACCCCCTTCCCCTATGCTGCATGACTGACTGGGCTTCCAAAGCAGGGAAGGTAAGGGGAACGTATTACCCCCTTTCTATTCAATGATGATATATGGACATGATTGAATGACATTCTGTTATATAATTTTTAGTACATGCGAGACAATGTCCTACTTTCTCCGAATGTTATATGTCGTTCATTTTCTTATTCTCCAGGCTCTTGCACATTTGCTCACATTATATTTCAGCACACAACATATAATATTTAATAGAAATTGAAATGTTAGCTGTTGCATTCATTAGAGCTTTGGCCAAAAAAAAAAAAAAAAGACGCGCAATACAGTAGTAATGGTCTCAATAATTTATCATGTACACAGCGCATATTTAGGAGATATAGTGACTGTCATCTCATGCTTCATCTCATTCTCCATAATAATTATACGATTCTGCTACTTCGCGCAAACCAAAGGAGAGAGAAAATCACATTTGTTCCGCAACAAACATAGCATCTGAAGAAGTCATTGTATATACATGTAAAAGATTTAAAACAGGTTAGTAATTGAGTATAATGAAAACTCTTCACCCAACTTATCTTCTACCATATACAAATCGCAGCGAGCTTTAATGAGCTGAAATTGAAGATGGAAGGGAAATAAATGCAAGATGAAAAGAAAACAGAAAAGTGCATACACAGAGAATTGCATACTAATGTGGCAACGCAAATACATTTTAACCCTAAAGAAATCAAGCCGTCATCATCCAAACAAGAATATGTACCTACACACTCCGCATAGAGATATATTATGATGGCCACAAAAAAAAAAAAAAAAAAAAAAAAGGAAAAAAGAAAAAAGAAAAAAGAAAAAGGTTGTACACGTCCAACAAACAAGCAAGCAATCTAAGCTTGCATGTTCGCTCTTCATTCATCAATCCAGACACTACCACTCCGTATGACTAGCAAAAGCAAGTCAGACAGTCCACACAGCATTCGCATGCCTCGCCGCATAAGAAACAACAACATACAGTTGCCAGACTGAAATTGAAAGAAAGAAAAAAAAAAAAGAAAGAAAAGAGGGAGAGATTGGCGTATTAGCGGCGAACTGATCACTTTTTTTTTTTTTTTTTTTGAAAGGGAGGAGGCCACGTTTCTGGCCGGGCTGTACATACCATGCTGTCAAACAGTCACGACCCTTCTCCTGGGATGGCGAAACCTGCGGAGGCGGTTGCTGATATTGCATCTGTGGATATAAGAGGAGTTAGCCATGCCGGCGCGCCAGCTTGGCCACTGGGGAAGGAAGACGCACGGGAGGTGGAGGGCCCGGGGAGGGGTAATATCCACTCTGGGGAGGATAGCCAGCGTACCTAGACACGGGGAATAATAGTAAAGACTTTGTCAGTGAATGGTTGGCGAGAAGGTTGGGGGGAATGGGATGGACTAAAAGAAACGGAATCCAACGTACGCCTGAGGTGGGGGAGGGGGCTGGCTGTAATTCTGCTGAGAAGACATGGCAGGATTGGATGGTATATATGTTTGTTTGTATGGATGGATGGATGGATGGATGGATATATACACCTATCGGTACTCTGATATATACAAGGGAGCTGACAATCTTGAAAGATCAACAGAATCAGAAAAAGTTTTGACGGAAGAATGTTTCTTGCTGAGATAAACATATGGTTCTCGCACCCGGTCAGCCGACTTTTGCGGGAAGATTTGATTCAACCAGTTACCCACACATGCCCCGTACGATCTCACACACCCGGACACGGCAAAGTGGCGCAAAAGTTTGATGATTAACTAACTAACCCATCACAGCCAGTTCAGGATACAAGTGAACGATACAGCTCCACTCCGGACCTCACTGATGGGCTTGGTTGGGGAACCCCCATATTGTAGCGACCTGTTGCTCTCGATTTCACAAGGAATTGCAACGCGCTCCGCAAGTCCCCATCAGCCACTCGCTTTGAACTATTCAGCCTTAGGCCCCACCCAAGAAGCTTGAATCACTCTTTGATGATGTGGAGACTGTTGGACTAGTATGAAACGGGTAGGAAGTGGGGCCAGCTTGGGAGCTGGAGAGCCAATGTTTGCCGGTGTGGCCGCAGAAGCCCAGTCGGGTTTGGCCAATTGGAGCCCGGGAGACACCCGTGGACTTGCGCAAGCGATTCTTGCGTTCATCGAGTCAGGTTCGGCGACTGAATTACCGAGGATTTGGCAGCAGAGGAGTGATGAAATACGGTCCCAACATTCTCAATCGCTCTACAATGTACAATGGCAGTTTCAGGGGATTCAGGTTCAAATGATTTTCGTTCATTTGAGCATTACTTCTACTAACAAGTAAAGCAGAGGTTGAGGTTGTTGACTCACTGGTGGGGGGGGGGGGGGGGGGGGAGAGCAGGGTCCATCGGCCGAATACAAACCAAACTTCTAAGCCTTACAGAAGCTGAAGAGAAACTAAATGCGGGAGATATATATGGAAAGGAAGATGTGCAAAAGAAGAAATCTCGAATTCTGATCATGATGGAGAATGGAAGGTTTAAAATTTGATAAATCTGAATTCCAGATATTCCGTACATCATAATCATCATCACAAGCTGAATAAAGTCGCAGTCCGCTAACATCGTTAAACGTTGGACTGGACAAAAAATGAATAGTCAACAGAGAATTGTGGAGAGATAAATCTCCACGTTGAAGAGAGCAAAAGAGAAAATAGAGAAAAGCAGAGAGAGAAAGAAAAAAAAATTGAAGACAGTGAAACGAAGAAAGAAAATAAGAGAGAGAGAGAAAATAGAAGAGGGTGAAATTTCAAGAGAAAAAACAGGAAAGTAATACGGAAAGTAAAAAATTAGTTGAAACGAAGAGAGCGAAGGAGATACGTAGATCAAAAGTGTTCTACAACAACATAACAGGAACAAAGTTGTCGAGCTCATTCAGCTGCTGAGCATCGATAAGTGACGAACCATAATAAGATGAATCAAGAACATTCATCGACAATGACTCCATACCATCGACAAACCCACCAGCAGCAGGAAACACCTGCCCACATATATCCCAGTTCGACCCTGCGGCGTTGATGTCGTCAAAGTCAAGGGGTATCGTCGAATAGAGGTCTGTGGATTTTGGGTCGATGGAGATGGCAGTTTCGCCTGCAATTACTATCGGTATTGGGTTTTCGTGTAGAGTGGGCATATTGTTGGTGCTGCCGACACTACTCTCAATGATGTTGCTATCGGGGGTTTGAGAGAGAGATGCAGTAGTGGTAATAGCAGGAGTATCGAGGGCGTCCTCGACCATATTGTCATTGTCGATAACGCTGTCGATGACATATTCCTCTCGCTGCTCCATCCAGTGTTTCAGTACATCCATGGGAGGAAGAACACCACCACCTTTACCACCCCGTTTTTCACTGTCTTTCCCGCGCCCTCCACGCCCCCGCTGGCATGGGTTGAAGTGAGTGCGTCGAAGGTGAGCAGCAGCATTGTAGTTAGCCCCGTAGCGTTTGCCATTACGGCACGCCTTGCAGTTGGCGAGGAATTGCTTGTCGGGAGAAATGTCAACGCACACCCAAACCTTGCGCACAACAGAGTGGACACGCTCAATGTGTCTTCTGAGTTCATGATCACCGTGAAAACCATCTGGTTGTTCATTGCAGTAGCTACAGTGCGTCTTCTGTCTGGCAGGACGGTGAACTGAGGCTTTGGGGATAGCTGCTACTTCTCGCGAGGTGCCATCCTCCGATGAGATTCTGAGCATCTTGTGCTCTGCAACTTTGGATTGCGATACATCCTTCTTTTCTTGTTTTGGCGCAATCGGCCGTGTGCCTTGCACAATTTGCTCTTGAGTCCTCCGCACAGCCCTTGACTGGATCGAAAGCAACGAGCTATCACTCGCGCTTGACAGAGAATGCTTCATCTCTGAAGATGAAGGAGTTAAAGAAAGTGGGGAAGAAGAGGGGGGGGAACACGCAAGGGAAGTAGATGGAGATGGAGAAATGTGAGGGAAAGCAGGCCTGGATTCAGGCAAGGACTGAGAAAAGCGAACATTATTCATGTTACCAGAAGAGAAATTGGAAATAAGAGATGGGACAAGGCAGTACTTGGTGTCATCTTTGAATTTTAATGACTGATTAGAGAGATAAGGAGAAGAGTGATGATCTGGCGTGGCCAGATTGCTAGGAATTGATCCAGTCGAATCGACTTGGATCATGCCCATTCCTCCACACAAAGACTCAGTTGTTGTTGTTCGGCACATCTCAACCGCAGTGGTTGAGTTAGACGTCGTATAGTTTTGATTTCGAGGAGGAACCAATCCCTGCGAGTTGGTGGGATACTCCCATTTCTCGTCAATGAAGAGCGGGGAGCATTCGGGGTCGGGAGACTCAAACATGAATGGTGAATCGGGAAGGACATCCTGGGATTGTTGTCGTGAATACTCCATAGGTGAGAAATCGTGGATTTTGTTCATGTTGAGTTGTTGTGTCTGGAAGGTGGAATATTGTTGTTCGAGCGTTGAGGTTGGCTGGGAAACGGGGATTGCAACCGAAACTGCCTGAGAGACGGGTGATGTGGTGGTCGGAACCATCCCGGCTTTTTGGCGAGGAGAGGTTCCATTCCGTGATTTAGTCGATAGACAGCGGCTCATATGAAGGGGAGAAGGGGATATGCGTTGGGAGTCTGACCGAGTTACATCAACGACGGTGGATGATTCCGGAGTCTGTAGCCTCTGTTAATCCAGGAAACGGAAGACACAATAGGTATGGACAGGTGAGGGACACGAAACCAAAGGGTAGAGACCTACGGTGGCTCGTCGCTTGGATGGGGGTGATCCGTTGGGAATTGTGCGCGGTACATTTTCTCGGGACCTTTTGCCAAAAGCATCTGGAGTTCCATTCGCTCTGGGGGGTTCGAGGAAGTTGTTGCCATCAGTGGAATTCGGTTGTGGCATGAAAGAGGAGAGAAGTTGACTCCAGCGATGTTCCCGTTCCGACTCCGGGAGGTGTGCATTGTCGGCCCAAAAGACATTCCTGGAGGAGGTGAGCGCTGATGTGAACAGGTTGTCGTCGAAGGTGGGAGCCATTGGGGGTGTTGAGCGTTGTCACCAAATATTATCCCGGTGGTATTCTGTCCGACCTGGCCTTTGGACTTCCTCTCGAAGTACTGATATTGGAATTCTGGGGCGTAAATGTGAATCTGCTTGAATTAATATTAGATCTTTGACGCAGGATATGGATATGCACATACAATAGCGGTTGTAACAGGTATATGGATTTTGAGAACAAACCTTTGGGATGCTGAAGCGTTGGTGAAGTTTGACAGGAAACCGTTAAACTGGTATGTATCAAGGTGTTTCTGAGGGACATGTAAGAAGGAGGGAATGAGAGAAAGAATCGGTGGGGAGGAGAGAGGAATGTGAGATATAAGATGGGGAATATCTACCCTAACTCAATTGGGTGGGCAACTGACCACGAACAGCCTGCATCCAATACGAGATATGAACGATGGATGGGAGAGTGAGATCCCAAAGAGATTCGTGGATCACGTAAACTCGCAGGACCAATGGGGATGCCCGTGTCAAGTGTGTTGTTATCTCGAGCGAACCACTGTAGCCAGGGTTTGAACTAGTTTCTCGTATCAGTCGTATCGGGACTTGATTTGCTTAGAGCGTTGGATCCCGAGCAAGAGCACGGAGAAATACAACCTTGTCCGAGTTTTTTGCGTCTGCAAAGTTGACTCGTAACGATTGAACTAAACCAGGTAACGGATATGAGGGGTTTGGGGGGTACGTTAACCCTTGTTTGATCTTTCATTATTGAGTCTTTGTTGCCCAAGCCTGCTGGGAGCCTGGCGGTGAAAAAGCGCCTAGGATCCTGGGAAGTTTGAGGACACCTCTTTTGCCCTAACCAGAGTCGGAATAACTCAGGATTCATGCATGCCTGGCTGAGTGCTTGGGCCGTATCAAAATCTCTCATCATCCTGGTGATCAAGCCGGATACTTCTGAGAACTGCATTTTTGAAAGTGAGGCGACCAAACGGCATCAGCTCATTCTGATCCTTCTGCAAAATCGGGCAACACATGAAATGCAAATGAGACTTGGCGTTTTGACCGGTGGGTTTGGAATATCTGGATGGAATAAAAGTAAGTGTGCCTTACTCTCTCCATTTTGCTGCCGTCGAAGTCAAGTTCACTGCATTATCAAGAAGCTTCGCCTTCTGGATCATCACCCCGTGATCACGAGGATCTCTGAATTACATCCCTTTTTTATATCATTCAGAAAGCTGAAAGCCTCGGAGCCCGCTTTCTATCCGTCGTTTTTTCATTCCTTCCTCGTCACTCTCGCCCGTGTGCTGTCATCATTAAATTTAGCCCAGCTTCCCTTCGCCTATTGGACTTAAGTTGCAAAATAGCGAAGTCTGCTCCAACCTAACATATGTGGACTCCTTTGTTATCCACTCTTCTATCGATGGGCATATTTGTGGCAGCAAATCCGTCGCTGTAAGAGCTGGAGACACAACTTTGTGTCAGTCGCATAAAACGCATATTTCTCCTTAATCTCTTTCCGGTAACGTTCTCAGCTTTCCCGTGTCTTCTCACCTCATGGTGGCCTAGAGGCAGGCAGCTGGTCTCACCAAGGGAAGACGAGGAAACCTCTGGATCCGTGTCCTTGCATAAATGATTGCACCTCGTTTGTCGTGGGCACTGGGGTGCATGGAGTATCATGCGAGACTTAACGTTACTGGATCAGAGTCTGCCACGTAAGCTGGCCATGCAGTGTTTCGGTCACAGGCCAATCTTGGAAGAAAGCCAGTCGCAGCTCCAGGGAACATCAATAAATCCATTGAATGGAGTGTTCACAATAGGGGCAACAAATCATTCACCCATATCTCTCTTATTTTTGAGTGAAGATGAAAGAATAATAAGTCAGCGGGAGGACGACAAAATGAGTTGAAGAGTTGTAAGATTGACAAAGGTTTGTTAGCAGGTGGACAGGAAAGTTGCTGGTCATGTTTGAAAAAATCAGCAGTGGTTTTATGTGCAACATTCTTAACAAACAGTACATAATCCATGGACCTCCGTATAAATATATCCATATGTACTACACATAGAATGAAACCAGATAATAAGAAATATATCTATACATGAAGGAAATCAGAGAATACTAGAATTTTGGGACATTGTGGCATTTCTAGATGGACCTTTGAAGTTGCTGCTCAGTGACGGTGGTTGTTTTATCATTAAATACTGCTGTAACATCAAAACATTTTCCAAATGGGCTCTCTTAAATCTTCAATTTCATTCATCTACTAGAGCTCACCGAATCTCTAAAAATGCCAATCCCCTTCTGTATTTCTATATATACGGCAAGGGTTTTCTACGTACAAAACTCCTCAGCTGTCAAGATCAAAATTGAAGACAATCGAGAGAGATGATGTTCGTAGCGTCTAGGCAACTTGATCCGATCTCATTTATACAGAGTAGAAACAACCCCACATCCTTCATTTCTTGCTCCATCCGGAATACTCTTCTGCTTCTCAGGATGATGATATCCATTGATTGATGCTAACACCAATATGCCAGCGTATTTGAACACAATAACGAAAACAGGCCTTAAAAGGCCGAGCAGGCCGAGCAGGCATAACTAAATATGTTGTTGTTGTTACGCTGGAGGACAGCAAGGAGGTTGTCATTCAATCCCACCCGTTAGATCTTGCACGAGGCAGATTCTTGGTCAAATTGTTCCTGACATCGATCTATTACAGACGAAGAGTTAGTTAAGCATATCTGGACGGAGTGGATGAATCTCATCCCGGGAGAGTAATTTCTCAACGGCATTAACTAGCGGAGCCACAAGAGCCGTTGTCACCATCAACAAATCATTCAGCGGAATTCTATCTCAGGGCTATGCTCAAGGAATACGCAACAAAGTGAAGTCCAGCCATTTCAGGAGGTGAATGAGCTGGATCAATTTAAAAAGACTCTCCCTTTTTATATCCCACTTCAACATCTGTTCGACGAGAACTATCGGGTATCCTACGCTCGCCGGCGAATTCTCCGACGGCAAGTTCAACATGCCAGATGAATTTGAAGAACTCAAGAGGGGTGTCTGGGAAACGATCTTTAAGGGAGTCTCTACAGCCCTTGGGGATCTCAAGGCGAACATTCAGATGAGCGTTACCCGTAGCGGGTTCGGCCTTGCAGAAATCCTCTCCTATTGCAATCTTTTGCCAAGGGTTTCGGATCCACATCGTGCAGAGTAAGTGTACGGAGTAGAAGATCGGGATGTTTACATGTATGTCAAAGCTGCTCTCATCTGGATATAATAAATGTTATAAGAGGGTATAAGCCTAAGGGCGTCTAATGCCTTATACACTCAGGGGGTGCTTTTTAGGGTGAAGTTGCGTGCAGATTTAGATCTCAAACGCTGTCAAGATACTGAGTCTAGTTCAGCAGCGCGAATGCAATTAAAAGTTTATCTCTCCATACTCTTGTAATGGATCCTTGTTTCGATTGATTATCACTTTTCAAAACTAAAATTCTACAGTGAAATAACTAAGTGATTAAATTATATGTAAGTTGTTCTCTGGTTAATGTCATCATAGAGTTACTACTAATATACTTTGAGGGGTTGTAATTTATCAAGAAGGAACATTTTGTAATACACATCATATATCTCAAATTTTTAATCAACAAGTTATGATGAAAGTTTTAAGTATTATATTACATATATTGCAGATAATAAATTACCAAGCAGAATGGAATATTATTATTTATATTTTAAAATGTCAGGTTGTACAACTAAAATGAGTGAGTGTATACAGAGTTCACCAGTCAAAGTTCATTTAAGCCTCTCAACCTCACTCCTGACCCGCACTTCTCTGATATACAACTGTCACATAGGGCAACTGTGTTTGTGCCTGCAATATTGAATTCATTATTTAATGTCCAGTTTTACCAACATTTCCCCCACCACATATTTTACGTCCAACAGAATAAGTCTACATATACTAAGGTTACGGGTTCCCGCCCTGCCATGGCCGACTCTGATCCCAAATCCTACGACGATGACCCCACGACGCTCTACCTCTATACTTCCCTGACTGCGGGCTCCTCACACATAATCACAGCAACGTCGCGAGTGGAAACGATCCTGAATGCCAACAAGATCCCATTTCGGGGTATCGATGTTGCAACAGATGAACCAGCCCGCAACCTCTGGGGCAGACGTTCAAAAGGGAAGAAACTCCCTGCATTGGTCAGGGATGGGATGGTTATCGCTGTGAGCAGATGAACCTACATACGCGTGCCAAACGTGTCCATTTATGGGCTTGGGAATATTCTGGCTAACAATTACTTAGGATTTAGATCAGATTGAAGAGTGGAATGAATATGGGGAGATAAAGATGCAGCTTGGGAGCGTGCCCTCAAAATCAACATCTTCTCATCTTACAGCCCCAACGACAACGAACACAAGCATGGCAATTTCGCCACGCACAGAACCACAGGGCCCTATTCCAACGGAGTCGTCCGCAAACAAGGACGATCAGATAAACCTTACGTCAAGGCAGGCTGCAGGAGAGACCGCCTCTAAAGGGATAGAGAATACGCGAGCGAATCTAAGCGCAACACCTTTGACCGGCAACAAAGCCGAGGAGACCACTGCCCAAAACGTCCCAAATGCACCAGAAGAGAATACAGGAAATGCGGAACCGGCAACAAAAGGGGACTGGCAACCTATAGACTTGCCCAAATTTGCGCCAGAACGAATAAGAGAGATCCGCCAAAGCATATTGGCCCTTAGGCCATCCCTCTCCGGCGTGCCCGCTGAGTTATCGGCTGACGTGAAGGTGGACAGTCCTGAGGCACAGTTAATGCCAAGACATCATCGTGGGTCTGTGGTGTCTGCCACCTCGCCGAGGGGCCAAAACCAACTCGTCAAGGATCTCAGCGCATTTGATGATGATTGTGCCATCTTGGAGGAGGAAGATGTAGAAGAATCAGAGACAAAAACCGGAGGATGATAGGGGGGGGGGGGTTGAAGGAAGGTGAAACTGGAGATGATATCAAGGAGCACGATGGACAGGTGTCATCTGCGGGCAAGGATGAAGGGTGTGCAGACGAGAAACAGGGCGGAGAAGCCCCAGCTGCAGACTCTGCAAAGAACTAATTACAATAAGATGGACTTGTAGGTTGCTTATCTATGTTCAGTGGAATAGATATGAGATATATATCTCTGATAACCAATTATTTGGTCGAGCCTTCTCTGTATAATTTAATTGATATGCGATATTTGAAGAACAAAACCCTGGGTCTATTCTCCATCCTCGTGGGAGAGATGTGCTGACAAATTCTAAAGGCCTTCTCCATCCTGTCTTTATTTTACCTCAAGAAAAATCAACCCATGGGTGCCAATTTCTTTTTGGTCAACTTCTTTCAATGCACTAGCTTTGCAGTGCGGTCATATCTCTAATTGAGTTTTTTTTCCCTCACCATGGCACATGAACCCCAATCATAACCACACAAGCCTCTCCATTTCAGAACACATCCATTTTTTATAGTCTCCGCTTATCAACCGCATCTCTCAGCATTGCAATCACTTTAGCCGGATCTTGCGCGCTAAACACAGCTGATCCAGCAACAATCACGTTAGCACCAGCTTCCGCTGCGAGATCCACCGTGCCCTCTCCAAGACCTCCGTCAACTTCGATGTTGAGATCGGGGTATCTCGTCCGGAGCGCATTCACTTTGGGCAATTCTGATGCCATGAACTTTTGCCCGCCGAATCCAGGGTACACAGTCATGACGAGGACCATCTGTGTGTGGTGTCAGTTTTGATATATCAGTAACGTATTTGTGGCAACCCAATCGGTTGTAGTTGACGTAAAATGGGCGAAACAGTATGCAACAGGCAATCTGTCCATAACCATTTGTTCAAGGGCGTGATGTGCTGTAGGAATATAGAATTGTAGCTGTTACTCACATCAGGTCGATCCATTGGGTCTTTTTGTTCCAGAATATCCCACAGAACATCAACGGAAGTGTCCGGCTTGATAGCAATGCCGGCCTGCATCTCTTGTTCATGGATGTACCGAATGAGTTCTGTGGGACTCGTTCGGCCTGTTGTCGACTCATCAGCGGGCCCCTTTGCGGCGGTTGACGTTATGGCCGCTTCGTAATGGAAACAGTACAGGTCGCATCCTGCATCTTTGAAATCTTTCACCCATTTCTGTGGCTATAGGATTGATTTGGCATGGGCAGCAATGGGAGGGTGAGGCAGGAGCTTTATTGCTAGATTTTCACGCTGCACTCACTAACCCGTCCCCGCCGTGCAATCCCGCCGCCATAGCGGTTGATCACGCGGCTGGGAGGGGTTGTGAGGCACAGCGCATCACTCCCCCTCTCTCACAGAAAAGTGCGTCAGCAACATATCCTCCTTTACCAGCTAATGGAGTTAATCATATATTGTGGAGCTGTTCCTTATTTAAAAAAAAAAAAAAAAAAAAAAAAAAAAAAGGAAAAGGAAATTAAACAATTGAATCGCAAGTCACGAGCAAATCTGATGCCGCCAGCAGACTCCATTGAAGCAGCACCACCGGAACATGCATATCACCAAAAATAAAAAATAAATAAATAAATAAATAAATAAACAAAGCAGAAATAACCCAAACTGGGGTGTTCGTAACTAATTGACCTCCTGCAATGTTGGTAGAGCAAACACGATCCAACTAGGAGTGCAACGAAATGAAACAAACCGCCATCATGAAGTGCATGAATGAATGAAAGAAACTCACCTCTGAAATCATCATATGACAATCAAAGGTGCCCTTGCCAAGACGCCTTGAGGGACGTTCAACATGCAGGCGGATTTTGGATACAACGGGAGCGCCAAATGTGATATTGGGGACGAAATGGCCGTCCATGATATCCACATGGATCCAATCACTGTTTGACTTCATCAGATGGGAACATGCCGAACCGAGAGCGGCAAAGTCGGCGGAGAGAATGGATGGAGCAATGATGGTGGGCGGAGTCATGGTGACGAGAAGCGGTGATTGGAATTGGTTTTCTTTCTGTATCGAATGGAATGCTGGCAGATAAATAGATGGGCTTTCTAAATTGACAGGTGATATCATGCAGTAGCAACAGTGGTTCTAGCGGCCACAGCGGTAGGAGAATCTTTTCCACTCTCTTCTTCTCGTCGTTTTTCCGCTTGCGTTTCTTTCGTGATCAATCGAGCTACGAGGGTGAATAGGAATCGGGCATGGAAATATCTGCTACTGGCATGGATGTTAAGCCAGAGAGAGATCTGGTGCAGCCAAAGGAACTACTAAATGAGATAATGAGAGAGCCACCCCACAGGTTAGCATGAATAGTAATTTAAAGCCATGCAACAGTGTAGTATAGCTATGAAGTAATTTCTGCCCCCCATATCATGTTCGATCGATGTTGCAGGCAATGAATGGTATATCGATCGATGCCGAGGCTGCTGCCAGCGCTGATTAGTCATTCGCCCCAACCAACTAACTAACTAGTTTGTTATCTTCAAAGCCCCCTGATGATTCAAGTTATGGGCTGCTATGGTGGTTGTGAAGACAAAATAGACGTTCTTTTTGAGTAATTAACGCCCCACTTCTACACAGGTATCCAGCTACATGTATGTATGCAGATACGAAGTGCCTATGCTGTTCCCTGATACCCTCCCTTCACCCGTGTCATCATGGTTAACTCCTGACTCTCTTGTGTATGGGCCTCAGCGCGCCGAAAGATAACACTCCCCAGCGCCTTTTGAGTGAAACTCCCCCTCCATCATCATCCCCTCAAACTGATAAGAAAGGAACTGGAACGTAGATAGATGCCTTTGCTCGTCAGCATGTTCCTTGCATGACGCCCATAATGATCGACGCTAGCACTAACTACACACTATTCTACTTTTAGAGATTTTCAAGCATATGAGACTATACTGTCCCGCAGGGTCGCTGATGACCGACCTCTTCTCCACTTGAGTCGGCGGCTAAAGGACTGCCCTCAGGGCCTTCCACGGACCAATCAGCCTGTATATCCATGACCTGCACGGGGCCTTTCACAGCAGCTTCCTCTCATTGGCCACTGTAATAGGCGTCTCGCCCATCAGGGTGTTGTGGGTACACCCTGGAAGCTCACTGATTGGCACTGTCTGGAGCAACCTCATCCCACTCTTCATGTTGTATTTATGCAGGCAACTCCATTGTTTGCCATGCCTATCCAATCATGGGCTTCTGCAACCCTCACTCTTCAGGCGCTGGCTACTAATCTTGACATCGATCTCAGTTCTCAGATCTCTCTGCTGATGTTGGGTAACATACTAATACCACCCAATGCCTTTGGAACTAATGTTCTCTCTCTCTCTCTCTCTCTCTCCCCCTCGACTTTTGTCGTTCTATGCGTGCATATTGATTGTGCACCTTTTTACCTCTTTTCTTTTCTTCGTTGTCCATTTTGCCTGTTACTATTTCATTTCTTTTTTGCCTAGTCCATCCATTGATTCATTATACGCCATTCATTCCTGTGCACCCGTTGATCGGGTCATAGTCCTTTTTATTTATCCCTGTGCCCAAGGTGGATTGCCGGGGAGAGTAATATTGATCTTAATTCGCATAGTCGATAACATTTCTTCAACGGGCAACGGATTAGTCGTTCGTTCGGTAATTGACAGAACCTTTTATCTCTATATATCACGGAATTTGGATTCTGCCTGGTCACTGATCTGGTATCTGCCATGGCGGACTATTTCGTTCAAAAGAAGCCACAAATTCGGCTTGGCCGGAGTGGACACCTTAATACAATAGTCGAAGATAAACAAGAGGCAAAGTTTGATGCAAAAAAACATAGAGACTGTATACTTGCAACCGCTGGCCGGCCCGCGGTGGCGAACCAGACTCCACGGACGAATTCCCCATACAAAAGGCTTCCACACCGCGTTGTATCCCCTGGGTCTACAAATTCGTCTTGTTCTAGCAATCCATGGCCGAAACAAAAGCTCGACTTCGACGATCTCTACGATGCAACGGATGACGACGATGAAGGACACCTTAGCGACAGTTGCCCGTCCCTTTGCAGCCAAGGGAACAGTGAATCTGCCGAGTCGTCAAAGCTATCCACGATTTCGTCAGGCAGTCGAAACAATTATCCAGGAATCGTAACCCCGTCCTCGACAGCACAATGGGTGAAGCTAAACTCTTATCACAAGAATTACCATGTTCCTCCAACCCCGCCATCAACAATACCTGTGTCTCCAGAACTTCTTTCTCGCCTGCCGAGATTTGTTCCTGAAGCTCATGCTCCCCCGTCCTTGGATGGTAGCGCAATTTCGGACCAACCTTCTACGCTGAGTGCACCACGAACTCCTGAGTTGGAAATGGCATCCGATGTGGATTGGGACGCACAGTATTTGCGTGTTCATTTGGAATGCGATACAAATGTGGGCGCCGAATCCCCTATCAGTGGGACGATGAGTCCGCAGGTCGAGATTGAAATGGACGACCCAGAAGATTGGAGTCACGTCCTGAGTCATTTCCCGCGCATTCCACGAAATGAAAGCGAAAACAATTTACAAATGGTTGAAGACTCTCCCGGAATAGAGAGGCCTTCGTCCACTGGGAGCTCAAACAAAGGCGTGGAACTGCCTCTAAACGCCCTCGCCACACTCCAATCCATCGAATTAGATGATGAGAGTGATCGCGACTCTGATATTTCCGGAGTCAACGAAATTGGTGAAATGCAAGAAGTCAAGATTTTCTCGATTCGGCCCAAAAGCATGGATGCTACTATTCCCTCTTCAGCTGGTTCGATTCCGTTTACACCCCTTACCATTCCATCTCCAGGCGGCTTTTTTTCAACACTTGGAGGCGACGCACGCCATACATGGTGTTTCACAACCGTCCCTCCGCCCTCATCTGCTACAGCTGAGAATTTCTACAATTGCCCTTGGAAAATGCCCGCCACTTTACAAGGTTCTGTTGCTAAGACCCGTGAGATGTCCTACAAAAAGTCAACTCCGCACAGGTCCGGCAACCACGGGCTTCTGAATACTACCCGACTCACACCTGGCTTATCGGAAGCCGAGTGGAAATCCGGTAACAATTCTATTGTGGACGAGTACGACGAACTTTACGATCAAGAGTTAAAATTCCAAGCCACCGCCAACCTCGATCGCACAAGTATTTGGCTCGCGGCCCAGAACACTTACATGTCCGCCTTGCGCGAGACTAACCCCGTCAACAAGGTCGAAGGTCCACCAACAACAATCGTGGCAGAAAGCCCACAAGATATTTCTCCAGGCACGTCAAAGAAGTCTGTTAGATTCCTCACTACTATTTTGGAAAGCGGGGCCCCTCTGAAGTCTCCTCGTCTTGTGGAGAATAACACTTTGTTCTATCGGGGATTCCAACGTCTAGTACGCCAGTCTAATTCGCGAGCTGCCTTCCTCCACAGCAATTTCCGCTTTGAATGTACACAGGCTATGAGGCTTAGCTTTATGGACAAGCATATCGATCACCTTGTCGGCAAATATGCATTGAATGACCCTGTCCGCCCCCCTTACCGTGGGCCATTCTCACAAGCTCCTCGAAACTCTACCGTTCCCCAGATTCTCGCCGACCAGGCTAAATTCTTCAAGATAGAAAAGGAACAGGATGCGGCACACCAATTACGCAGCTCAGTGTGGGTTGTTGAAGCCCTCAAATTTTTGAAGGGCGGATCCCTTTTCTCTGCCCCAGCTGCAAAGCGGCTTGCTCGAGCAAAAGCTCCGTTAGGAACTCCTGAGAGCGCTGGATCCCGACGAGTCAGAGTGCTTGACCTTGCCGACCATCCTTCTTGTGGTTGGGCGTGGCACGTTTCTAATGAACACCGCAACGTGAAGGTCTACACAGTGATCACGAAGCAACAGGTTGTCAATCCGGGGATGAAGGGGCCTTCGAACCATCGACAGGTGTCAGTTCCACAGGTTTGGCGTCTTCCATTCCGAAACAATCAGTTTGATGTCATTTCGTCTCGCACATTCCATGCTTTGTTAAAGACGGACCGCCCGAACGGGGAGGATCAGGACGAGTTCGACTTGTGTTTGAAGGAATGCTATCGTTGCCTAAAACCTGGTGGTATTCTTGAGTTTTTCGTCATGGACTCGGAAATCACTCGTGCCGGGCCATACGGCGCCGCAGTTTCCGTTGAATTTGGATTCAATCTTAAGACACGTGGGTACGACCCGGCCCCTACTAGGTCCTTTTTGTCTCGGTTGCAAAAGTCCGGTTTCACCTCAACCAAGAGAACGTGGATGTTCCTACCACTAGGTGTTGGCCCTTCTGCTCCGCAAACACCTCAGGCACTACCGAGCGAGGTTGGCGAGGTTGCCGAAGTTATAGGGACCACTGGCAACATTGCGAATACTACTGCTTTACTTGGTGGATGGATGTGGGAGCAATGGATGCTGAAGCTCCAGATGGAGATGGGTCGTGAAAGGGGAAGGCTGCTGGAGGAGGTTGCTAGTGTTTATGCAGAAGGACAGAAGTCTGGGGCGGGATGGAGATGTTTAACTGGATATGCCATGAAGCCGAAGAAGCGCCGTGGCGCTCTCTAGCCACTCCCTTTTTCTATGTCACTTTCCTTCTTTGTGTCAATCCTTACCTGTTTTCCCCCGTCTGTTGAATTGAAAATGCACTGTATAGTGCCCTCACCCTCGCCCTAACTAGTTTACTTGCCCCTTGGCCTCTTCGTTGCATATACCGTTTATTCCTACAATATTTCCGTCACTTAGGAGTTACCCGTATATCTGATTGGCTTGGGTCCTGCTGCTTGACTTAACAAATTTTTAGTGGGACCTACAATAACATGGGTCAATGTGAATTCTCTGTGAAGAAGTGCGAGAAACATGTGTTGTGGTTGTGAATAGTTTATATATGAAAGAATTTGTTAGTGATTAATCCATCAATATTAGAAAATTGAGGAGGGCGACAATTTACCTTCTTAACCAAAATTTGAAGAGAGTTGGCGTAAGAAATTTAATGAAAAATATAAATCAAGAAGTAATTCTGAAGATAAATAGATTTCAGAATTGATATCAACGAGTGGGGAATGCCATATTCTAGATATCACGTGACAACCTCCAGTGATGCAAATTGACCTTTGTTTAAGCCCATCCTTCACACTTGTGTTAAAGGAAGTTGAAACAAGCAGCTTCAACTTACTCCCTCGAACACCAATTTTCCTAGCGTGGATATAATCTCCTATCCTTGCCATAGAGAAGGGAAATGTTATAGCGGATCTGCTCTCCATTCTTCCTGGCTTATTGTGGAGCCACTGTTGCCTCATTTCTAACAAGCAACTGCAGCAATGCTCTTCTTCAGGTTAGATAGACTCCCGGAAACCCTCTCCACGCGGCTCGCAACTCGCCTAGACTGACTGTGTCATTGCACGCTTAGTTTTTTCAAGACGCTCACGAATCACACGGTCACCATTGAGCTTAAGAACGATATCCGTATCCGTGGCACTCTCAAAAGCGTCGACCAATACCTTAATATAAAGCTAGATGATATTGAGGTTCTAGACCTAGACCAATATCCGCATCTCTCTAGCGTGAAGAATATATTTGTCAGAGGCAGTGTTGTCCGCTATGTTGTTTTGCCGCAGGCAGAGGTGGATCGGGGTTTACTGGAAGATGCCACCAGGAGAGGTTTGTACCTTTTTTTTTTTTTTTTTTTTTTTTATTTTTCTTTATTTTTTTTTTTTCAGTATCAAGCAGGGCGGTGTCGTTTCTGAGCCTTGTGTTTAATCCGCCGGGATTCAAGGGATCTCTGCATACTCGTATCATCTGCGAGTGCATCGATCCAACCGGTCTCCCTCCTCGTCTTGTGAGACAGCCCTGTAACTAACTTTCATTCTCTTTTTTAGAAGCAGCAAATCAAGCAAACAAGGCTCGATAAATCTATCAAATGACTGACATGCATACCGTGCCCCCCATGTACCGCCTCGAGATGACGTTACGTCTAAGATTACGTTGATTAACGATATCACTTTTCCCTCACGAGAGCCTGGTTTCCTGCGTCGATGGACTTTCCCTGAACTTAATCCTACTATGAAAAGTCCACCGACGAGTCATACAGGCTTTCCAAATCGGGATTTTTGGAATTTCGCGCCTGCGTGCAGTGGAGGAAAAATAAATTTATGATTCTTTTTGCTGTTTGGTTGACTGTACTTGTACCCGTACTTCATTGATAGGGGTTGGCAAAATCTCCGAGATACTCCATATTTATGGGTGCCGCTGGAGGCAGCGATGGATTAAATTGAACATTTCATGGCCATTACTGGAGTTGAATTGCTTTCCACAAATTATCTTCGATCGTCTAGGCATTTCTGTACATGTCTCTCGAGGACTGATTTGCTCTGTAGAACCCCTAGATGTCCAATTGTAAACGGGTGTCCATATCCCTACACCACGAATCGAAATACCCTTTGGGCTGATTCTCACGCCTTGTACGCTTTATCCGCAGTGCTCCTTGCAGATGAGATACAATTTTGAACATTGAACCTTTTAAAGGTTAGTTTGGAAGTTGGCGAAGAGTCACGTGTGCTCATGTCGTCACTGCGTCACGTGAAAGATCCAACACGAACCTTCGTCCATGATTTTCTGGTGTGGTTACGATGTCAGTGTTCCATGATAATCCCAACGTCAATTCTTCAACGTATGCTCGATTGATGGATTATGATATGGACGGTATTTCTTACGTCACCTAGTCCTTATTTTAACTGGCCATTCTCATTTGAGCCCGGTCACAAAAATGAAGTGGTTCGTTCTCTAATACCTTCAAGTTCATCATCGCTATACCCTCAGTATCACGCCTGTTGTTACCTCCAGTCCCAGAGATGGTTTCCTCTTCCCCTTACTTCAGCGGTAATAAAAGGGGTAACCACAAATCGCCTAGGCGTAAACAACCAGTCTCCGGACGAAGTGGCGGAAAACAGAATACCAGCATACTGAATTTTTTCAAAAAATCGGACGGCCCCCCGAAATCGTCACAGAATCGGATAACTGATTACACCATCAAAGTACAAAATAACTGGGAGAAGGATTTCAATACCAGAGGGGTAGATGGCTCTGATAGTCTCTTTTTTGAGGAGGAGGAAGGGAAACGGAATGATAGTAACCACAACGAAAAAGGACCTCCAAGCCTGACCAGGGCGAGGTCGGCGACGCCCTTTGATCTGTGGGGGAATCCTGAAGTTGAGGAAGCTTCTGGACATGCCAGCGATGAACCAATGTATAACGAAAATGGCAACAGTGGCCAAAAAAGACGAAAAGTCGATCACACTGGCTCTGAAAGAACAACTGCACTAGTCTCGGGGGTCTCGGAGACATGTTCAGAAGACGTACCTAAAACGATTCCAACTACATCGAAAGGTTCATACTCAACGGCTAGATTGTCGAGTATGAAACGTATTGGACCCTTCTTAGATGAATCTGATAGCGAAGAAGGATCTAATTGTTCAAGCAACAAGGATTTTTCCCTCAGATCCAGGACTCATACACCGGTGCAGGATCTCGGATACGAGAGAGATTTACTAACGGATTCATCGAATGAGTTCCCTACCAGACCTATGAGGAGTAGCCTTACCATGACAACTGTCGATGATCCTTTCATTAGTGAAGATATCGATTCTTACGAACAGCGAAAGGGAAGGGATTACGATGATAGAACTTCGAGAAAATGTAATGAACCTCAGGAGCTATTTGATAAGGAGTGCTCCATAGAGCCAAACGGTCTTAGCAAGAGCGACATGCTTCCTGGAAATGATACTGCCGTTTGTCCGATTTGCGGCGAGAGTCTCGCTGGTATTACTGACTACGTAGGTGATTTACAAGTTTGCAAATTTTCCGAGCTGATTAATTACGTAGGAAGCATCTCTGCATGTGAACAATTGTTTGGATGGGGACCCCACACCCACACCTACCGATGAACCAGTTGTAGTCGTTGAATCAAAACGAGGTAACTCTATTGCGGCGTTAAAGAAAGCCGCGATTCCTCGCCCGGGACAACGAAATCCGTTTACTATGGAACTTATTGAGAAGGAAACCTCAGCGTTCTCGAAAATAATGTCTGGCAATGCTGAAGATTCCGCATGGGCCGCGGCCGCCGCCAAGGAGGATGCCTCTAGAGGTAAACAGGCGTATGAACGCACGTGTCCATTTTACAAAATCCTTCCCGGTCTTTCGGTCTGCGTGGATGCCTTTAGATATGGCGCTGTTGAGGGATGCAGTGCGTATTTTCTTAGTCATTTCCACAGTGACCATTATATGGGGCTTACGTCTTCTTGGTGTCACGGGCAAATTTATTGCAGTAAAATCACGGGGAATCTAGTTCGCCATCAACTCAAGGTTGACCCTGAATGGATTACAGACATCGAATGGGATGAAGTCTTTGAAATTCCCGAGACGGGTGGTGTCCAGGTCACCATGCTTCCTGCTAATCACTGCCCTGGAAGCTCGTTATTTTTGTTTGAAAAGGAAGTTGGCAAGGGCCCTAAACGAAAAATTCATCGCATACTTCATTGCGGTGACTTCAGGGCAAGCCCGGCGCATGTACGACATCCTCTGCTCCGGCCTGATGTTGTCGATTCCTTGACTGGGAAAACTAAGCAACAAACGATCGATGTTTGCTACCTCGATACGACATATCTTAACCCCAAATATGCATTTCCAAATCAGGAGGATGTTATTACTGCTTGTGCAAATGTATGTGCAAACCTGGATAGCAACGAGAATAAAGATGTTGGCCAGGCGACACACGGTCCAAAGACCACTGTCATGAGAACTATGGCGGATTTTCTCTCCAAAAACCCAGAATCACAAACCCAACCTGGCCACCTACGGTCCAAATCCGCCGACCGCTTACTTGTCGTCGTTGGAACCTATAGTATTGGCAAAGAGCGCCTCTGCATTGCTATTGCGCGTGCTTTGAATTGCAAAATATATGCACCAGCGGCAAAACAAGGGATATGTGCTTGTTTGGAGGATGAGGAACTCTCTGGTCTACTTACGTCCAACCCTATTGAAGCCCAAATTCACATGCAGGCTTTAATGGAAGTCCGGGCTGAAACGCTTCGAGACTATCTTCTTTCGTTTAGACCACATTTTTCACGGGTTGTTGGATTCCAGCCAACAGGATGGAACTATCGGCCGCCGGCAGGAAGAATTACAGATAGTCCCCCAGTCTCCTCAGTGTTATACTCTGATTCTTGGCAATCTCGGTTTAATGCAAGGGACCTAATCCCGCAACGTGGAAGCAATCCAGAGAGCACCTGCTACATGGTGCCTTACAGCGAGCATAGTTCTTTTCGGGAGTTGACCATGTTTTGCTGTGCTCTAAGGATTGGAAGAGTGATCCCTACTGTCAATGTCGGTAGTAAAAAGAGTCGGGATAGAATGAAGCGATGGGTAGAGAAGTGGGAAGCAGAGAAACGGAAAAACGGATTGTATAAGGTGGATGATGAAGCAACTCGATGGTAGGTTTTGATCGGAGGTTGTTTCAGTTTGGAGGGCTGAATTTTGACTGGATTTTGGATTCTTAGTAAATATTATTTGGCATTGGATAATGAGCCTTCTTTTGTTTTATTTTATTTTTTATATTTCCTTAGAAGTATATCGAATCTGCGGCATTGTTGCATCCCCCTCAACAACCCTTCTTACAGTGCTCCAGATTCCCATTTACAGGTCTCCCGCCGCTGCAAGCATCTCCGTCTCTTGCACCCGAGGCCAGCTCTAAGTCACGTGTCGGCCCCATTCGGTTTGACGGCTACATCGACCACATTACCACCCATGGATATCGGCATGGGCAAATAATTCGGGGAAATATATGTCGGGGTCGTCATCGGCAGATAAGAAATGCATGTCGAGGAACTTCTTCTATTCAACGCTGCTGGTTTCCGAAAAGTCCCTTTTGCCGACTCTTTCTCCTTTGGAGGCAGTGCCAACGGAGAGTGCGCTATATGGCAAGCAGAAGGGGTGGTCTTCTGCAACCAACCTATGACATGGTTGTTTTTATTAAAAAGAGCTTCGTAGTCTCTTATTATCCCCTCTCTAACTTGCCAATTGTTACTGGAATGCTTTTCACTCAGAACTGATTTGGGGACAAGACACATAGCATGACCCTCATTGCCATTAATTGCTGATTATTTATCCTATCTGTGAAACGATACCCCATTCTTTTTGTCATTTTAGGCTCCCCAACCTTCAGACTTTCTCGGGGTAAAAATGATTCTCTCACTTCTTTTGACTCCCTACTCCCTCCTTTTGTTTCCCATACTCTATTAACTCTATCCATATTTGCAGCAGTGGTATCTTCATGATATACCAGCTCCCTTTACGGCTTCACTCTCTCATTTATGGCTTATGTACCAATGCTGACGAGGTCGGCGGTACCAAGCTGTGGACAGTGCGCATAAGAAATATGGACCCTTGTGAGGATACAGCCGCACCATGTTTCTGTAGCAGACCCGGATGCTATACCGATTATTTATGGGCATGGAAACGAGTTCTAAAATCGTGAGTGGTGTCATAGTATTACCTCTTTTGTAAACATCTACATAGATGATATGCCGTGCCCATGCATATCATCCTATTTAGGTTTCAGTGGTTAACCTATGCGGTACTAGGGAGTATTATGATGCGTTTGTGTCTATTCTCCGGGGCCTTTTTAATACCCGTGACCGTGCAGAGCACACGCAGAAACGCAAGACAGTGTCTCATACATTTAGTGCTAGGTCAATTGGACAATTTGAACAGTACATCCATGCAAACCTAGAGGAATTTGTACGGCAGTAGGCTCTCTAACTTGCAGCGTAACCCCAAAGCTGGATATGCGTCAATTGATACGCTGCACTGGTTTAACTATCTTGCTTTTGATATCATTGGCGACTTGGCATTCGGCGCCCCTTTTGGCATGTTATAAAAGGGTCGAGACGTTGCAGAGGTTCGAAAGTCTTCTGATTGCCCTCCTACGTATGCTCCAGCAATTCAGGTTCTTAACAGACGTGGAGAAGTTTCTGCGACTTTAGGCATCTTTCCTGATCTTAAGCCTTGGGCAAAGTTTCTTCCGGATCGATTTTTCCGAGGTGGTCTAGAGGCAGTGGAAGAACTTGCGGGAATTGCTGTTGCACGTGTGTCTGAGCGTCTTCAACCCGAAGTCATGGCAAATAATACTCCCGTAGATCTCCTTGCTCGCCTAATGGAAGGGCGGGATGAAAATGGTGCCAAGCTTGGCCAAGAAGAGCTCACTGCAGAGGCACTCACCCAACTAATCGCTGGATCCGATACTACCTCTAACACAGCTTGCGCAATACTATATTGGGTTCTGAAAACCCGGGGCGTAAAAGAGAAACTCCAACAAATTCTGGCTGAGGTAATTCCAGCAGATGTGGAGGTCCCGTCATATGCCGTGGTCAAAGATATCGAATAGTAAGTATTTACATATGTTACTCGTTATCGTGGAGTTACTGGGTTTCCCCCCCTTTTGATCCCCTTCATCATGGCTAATGGATATCATTAGTCTGTCATGGGTGATCTCTGAAACGATGCGCATTTACAGAACCTCATCTCTTGGCCTTCCTACCACCAGTGAAAATTCACAACCACGTTTTCTATCCAGGAACCGTCCTTTCCGTCCCGGCCTACACGATACATCACTCAACCAGCATATGGGGACCCGATGTAGATCAATTTGTTCTGACACGGTGGGGTCCCTCTCGCTTGACCAGCCGACAAAAAGCTGCATTTATTCCCTTCAGCACAGGACCACGTGCCTGCGTTGGTCGAAACGTAGCAGAGATGGAACTGCAATGTATGGCCGTGACAGTTTTCAAGAACTTCGACTTTGAGGTTCGACAAGATGGCCCGTTGGAGACAAGGGAAGGATTTTTGAGGAAGCCCCTTGAGCTACATGTCGGTCTGAAAAGGCGACAGCCCTGAGGCTTATGTGTATTTGCTGGAATCTTGATCGCGAATTCCCAGGTGTTTTAATCCCTGCCTAGTTAAGTTTTAAAAATAGTAATGAAAGACGGCCCCCCGCCTCCCCTCCTCCCCGATTATTGTCGGCGTCACAACCACGCCGAATGCCTCGCCGCCTTGTCTCGGGTTTACCTATCATTGACACGGAGGATTTCCTCTCAGCACCTATTAATAATAATCCTCTCCCAGCTTGCAAGACGTCTGGAGTTCATTATTACACAACGCTAGCTAACTTTTCGTTCTCTCCACCGCCCCCCTAGTTAGTCTTTGGCGTAGGCCTCCTGGGTAGTTACCAATACTACTGCTAATTTAGTATTATCTCACAGGCTCCTTTGCAGACTCAAATAGCCCATCTAGAAATATTTTCTTGTGAAGCTGTCAAGATGAATCATCTAGAGAGATCGAGGTTTTGCGAGTACATTATATAAATGGACAAAAGGGACTTCCTTCAGACCATCTCACTTCTCGTTCCACGTCTCATAAACCTCAGATACAAAGTTAACAAGCCTTCGTACGCTGGGAATTTTGCTTCCAGCATTTCTCGCTAATTTTAAAACCTCTTTCCTTTCTCCTTTTTCAGTGTATTATTCACACCAAACACCAAGGCGAGATGTTGTTCCCGTATGCTAAATTATTGACGCTGGCGCTGGCGTTTATCAGTGCTACTTCCGCCATTCCAGTTGAAAATCAAGAGCCGGAAAATCAACGGCTTGAAACTGGAGCCAAAAAGAGGCAGTCGGAAAAAATGATCATTGGATATATGACTGTTTCTAAAGTGCGTTTGTCCCCCTCCCAATCTATATATCACATACAAATGTGGGTCATGATACAAAAGTCATGTGTGTTTAGAGCAGAGCTAGAGATTATAATAAGCATGGAACCATTACTTGGGATGAAAAGCACGACCGCAAGTCCGATGATCGGCAGCAGACAGGGCCCGGCATATATACCACACCTGTAAGAGGACAACAGGAAGGTGATAAAAACTCTTGGTTAGTTTCCGTTTCATACCACCTTCAAGGTCTCATATAAATCCATATACATATATCTTCGCAAAACTTCGTACATATCTAACATGGTATACATATTTCCTTTCTACAGGTACTGTGTGATCGAAGCCGATCGAGCCGCCATGAAACGTGTTTCAAAGATCTGGGTGCCTAGAGAAAATAACCAGAGACATTTGCAATCCCTAATTACTTACAATCCAACCCTGTGGTGGCGAAGTGAGGGCATCCTCCATAATTATATTACATGGATGGATGGTTCATGGAATTCTGAAAAGACACTGCGCATGTCCATCGTTTATAAGCACCCTGAACAGGTCCAGATGTCCATCCCCGAAAACCTGGTCAATGCGAAAAATGGCCACATGGGCTTCACTGCGTTATGCGATACTGACCAAAAGAACCTGCCGGATGAGAAGGTTAATTATGATGATTGGCATGAAAATATTCTGGGGAGTCGGACATAAGAGGCCTTTTGCTCTCCTTCTCCCTTTTTGCTTCTTGGGGGTTTTGGGATAGATGAGATGAAGAGTTAGTTACCAAGGCAGTGGAGTGGACCTGGGCAGTTCTGTATTTTTATCATCGCGAAGTTTTCATGTTTGTCCTGCTGCCCATTTTTCTTTTTCTTTTCTTTCTTTTTTTTTTTTTTTTTTTCAGCAACATTTCCCTGTCGGGTTAGGAGTTATGTTGGTTACATTTCAAGTGATTTTCTATTTGTATTTATGATTTCACTTTCCAAATCACAAGCCAAAATTGGAAAATGTATTAAAGTCTCAGAGTGCCATCTCTGCGGGTATCAAGAAATTGGTATTCATTTCTGAGGATCAAGGCTCATGTAATTCTAGCCACTGGAATTGATAGTACGTATATATGTACATATGGATGTTGCATGTCATCGCCGGAGAGGAGGCGCAGTTGTCATCGCTTAGCATAAACTCGAAACGTTCTTCAATGAATATTGAAGAAATTCGATCCCTTCCGGGTTAAACATGAGGTTGAGCGAGACGGGCGCCAAAAGGGTAGACTTCTTATAGTCTAACCCAATATATAAGCTGTTCTCGTCTTAGACTAACCAGGATATTTAGCACAGCCAAACTCTCTTGGGATAGTGGCTATCGGGTTAATCTCCGCACAGCGGTCTCCATCAAAAGCTTGGTGTAGATATGATGAAGCCACACGATAGGGCGAGGGATCGGTTCTTTATCAGTTTTTCCCAATCCCTGATAAAAGAGAGATTTCAGCCCGAACTCAGCGACCGCTTCCTCTTGGTTGATATTGGCTGATACCTCGAAGAGACCATCGGTCGTCCTTACGTCACGTTTTAAGGGGGAGTCGCCACACCGCAAGATAATCCTCGAGGGTGCATGTTCGACCACATTGAAGTGGTCTGTAATCTCAGTGCCTACGGGGTACGTGGATTCGCGGAGTTGAGATTTCGACCACAGTTGGTGGGAGGTTTCTGGCCCCTTATGCGTGCGCGTAAGGTAGAAGCGTTGGATTGCATAACCTAGATGATACAGTAAGAAATTAGCAAATGCGTGACCAAATCTATTACTATATAATAATAGAATAAGACATCGAATTCGGAGATAAGTGAAGGGAAGATATACCGAGACCACTCCACACGCTGGCACAGAAAGCTTCAACTAGCTTTCCGTCCTGGGCCAAAAGTTGGGGATTAAGTTTGGATAAGGGCACTCTCTTCAAGCACATGTCATGATAGGCGGGGTTACTATGAGGATTGTATTTGCTAAAATATGGTGAGGTGAAGAGATAATCCGACATGGAACAGGGGACAACGTTGGAGCCCCTGGTCAGATAGAGGTACGATCCTGTAGTAACTGCGCCTCCGAAGGCAGAAGCTTTGAAAAGGGCCTTGATGAAACCCATAACTACCGAGACGAAACACTGTCAACAGTCAATAGAATATTTGACATGAGAGAATGGATCATGGATTGAATATCGAAAGCTGGTCGCCAGCTCTACTGAAGAACACCAGTAAATGCTCCGGAGAGTGGCGAGGCGAAGGTTTTGAATCAAGGGGCTTCCAAGCAACGAGTTTAACTAGATTTGATCACGTGGAGATAATGAAAGATTGATTAGGGCAAGGTCCATTTATATCGTGGGATGACTGTAGTTACACCCAACCAAGCGGCCACCATCTCAGGTTTCAACATCATGCATTGTTTGCAATGGAAGATGGAATTTATAATTTTACCATATTATGTATGCTCCCCGCAATTGAGCGCTGTTTTCCATTCACCATCATGTTAATCAGAAAGCTACTTTTGCACATCTCAGCCCCAACACTAATGGTGTGAATGTCATCTGAACATCGGGCTGAACTTTGCTCTCCCACGCCATGCAAATAAGGTGCTGCATAAACATCCGTGGATATGTGGCTTCGAACTTGAGTTCTAGCCAATCCTTCCCACGGAGGTTGGCCCAATACTAGAGCTTTTTCTTTGGATGGTCAATCCTTGTAATCTCCATTATTGGTTAGTGTGAACTGTCTTTCCCGCTGAAAACTGCATGGCTTTCATGCATTGCCTAACTGAAAATAACAATGGGAGCGCGTTAATTATTGTCTAGGGTTTATGCCTGCTCATTTGGAGCGGATTAGGTCGCTCACTCTTACGTACGTATGTTCCACCGATATGTTCAGCTTTGCAGGAAACGACGAAGTCAAAAAGCCTCTGAAGTCTCTCTTAATCAGAATATACGAGATAGTTATGCCTGAAGCTTGCTGTGCATATAAGTCGCCATTGTCTCTCCTTAATGCTGAGCAGCAGTTATTCGTTCTCAATTCCATTTTCTTCTACCTTAACCACTAAACCACGATAAGATATCAATGCCAAGATCCAAAATAACAGCTGATTTGGTTTCGACCCTGGGGTCACGGCTTGAGAACACAAAAGTTGTTACCGAAACATCGCCTGACTATGGGGAATGTATTGCCCGTTGGTCTGATACTGCGGTAAAGCGAGCAGTATGGCCTATCACAACCCATCGGCTAATCTCTCATTTGTTTTTCCCATGAAAGCTGACCCGGTTTTATATAACAGGGCGTCGTACTTTTTCCATCTACTGCGCAAGATATATCTATCGTCGTCAAGTTTGTCCAGGAGCATAATATTGATCTTGCAGTCAAATGCGGGGGTCACTCGGTATCTGGAACTAGTTCGAGCGATGGCGGGATAGTTATAGACTTGGGCCGTATGCGAGGAGTTACTGTTGATGCTGCTACGAAAGTTATTACTGCCCAAGGCGGCGCCCTCTGGGCGGATGTTGATAACGCGGCAGCAGAATACGGTCTCGCGACTGTTGGCGGCACTGTGAATCATACCGGCATTGGAGGGCTTACCCTTGGTGGTGGCTATGGCTGGCTCAGTGGGAGATACGGAATGGTGGTCGACAATCTTTTGTCAGCCACTTTGGTACTTGCCGATGGCTCAGTTGTAACGGCCTCGTCTACCGAAAACCCTGATCTCTTTTGGGCCGTCCGTGGCGCCGGACATGGCTTCGGAATAGCTGTAGAATTTCAATACCGTTGCTATGAACAGAAAGGCGAAGTATTTTCAGGCCTGCTTACCTTTACTCCTGACAAGCTAGAGCTGGTACTTGACTTCCTGAATTCTCTTCTTGAGGAACTCGATGCGAACACTGCTGCAGTTTGCATGCTTGGGCAGCCTCCCGGAGCCTTGGTTCCAGTGGTCGCTGTCTCTCCAATCTACATTGGACCTGAGGAAGAGGCAAGAAATAAATTTAAACCTCTATTTGCTCTTGGACCGGAGCTGGGCAAGACCTACATGATGCCTTACGTTAAGTTAAATGCCCTTTTCACTGACATGACGGCTCACGGGGGCAGAAAAACTTTCAAAGGCACATTTTTCCTTAAGCCAGTGAGACCAGCATTTGTACGCTCGATTCTCGACAATTTCACGACAAAACTGCAATCTGACTCTGATTTATTGGGATCGGCAATTGCTCTAGAGTTTATGGACATGCGCAAGGTGTGCGAGGTACCTCTTTCATCAACCGCCGTCGCCAATCGCAGTATGAACACTCTTAACGGGATAGTTGGCTTGCGGTGGAAGGAGAGCTCAAACGATGCCCAGCATCGTGAATATGGACGTCAGCTCCAAGCACTGTTCAAGGAAGAACTCGATTCACAACTGCTGGAGAGAAACATAACTCCAGACGGTGTCCCACAATACCTGAATTATGCTGAACGTAAGCGTTTCTGTTTCTCATTCCTGTCTTTCACTTCGTAATGAAAGGGTTGGTTGCTGACTGTAGTTACCATGTGAATATCCAGCTGGTGACATTGCTGTTCCTGAGATATTCGGAGAAAATACCACGAGGCTACAAAAGCTCAAGGCACAATATGACCCTGGCTGCCTCTTTAGCAAGATGCTCTCAATTACCCCTGTTGCATGATGCATACGTGAGATGTTTGTTTGCTTGTGCTGGATTCACTGGAGCGGGTTTGAGTTGAATACCTTCAAGAAAAAGGTTCCGGTAGTTCAATTTCCAAAACGGGCCTGAAGGACAGGAGAATTCTTGTTTTCTTTTCCTCTGGGCAGCTCCAAGTCATCTGAGGTCAATATAAAATATCGAGTGAGCTGAATGTTCATATCATTTGCAAATGAGTATGTGACTCTCTTTCGGAAATGAGACAGGCAATCGAACTTTTTAACGAACCAGAGATATTTAGTTGTCTTTGACATCTCCCATGCTGAGCTCTAGTAATGCACATGTACGTAAAGTACAAAATAAATTTTGAGAACAAATCCGCCCGTCCACCAGGCCACTATGGCGACTTCTTTGGAACCCGCTTCCTTTCTTCCTGCTTGGCCTTTTGTGTCTTTATAATCTTCCGTTGCTTATGTACGCGCTGATTCGCCTTTTGCTTTGCTTCAGCTACAGCCTGTTCCTGAGCACGTTTATCACGATCCTTCTCCTTTATGTCCGCAACACGTGCCTCTTCCAGGCGCATTTCGATACGGTCCCGTGCCTCTTTCTCCTCTTTCAGCTGTTTAACGCGCAGGCTAAGCTCCGCCTCCGACCGACTTGGCAAACCAGCGGCTTTGAGACGATTTTGTTCGAAGAGACGTTGTCTAGCAAGTCGCTGCCGCGTTTGGTGGCTATTGGGGAGCCCGTAGAATATCACCGATACAACGCGATTGTTGTGGCCAATAGTAATTGTCCGCTTGTTGCTGTTATCTCTTAGACTGGGAGGGAGGTGATGGGGTAGTGGGGCCCCCAAGGGCCGAATCATATTGTTAATGTTAGTGGAGATGGAATTGACCAAGTCTCTGAAAGAGCGACAGAAATTGTGGAATTCGGTATGTTCTTCAATATCGAGTGGCATATCCACTGGAATTTTGACATAGATGAGCTGAGGATCTCTGAGACATGGCTGTGACTCAAGATAGAACCCCTGAACGCGAACGAGTGTTAAGCGCTTCAGATGTGGGAGCGCTGTTCGAAGCTTTAAATACTGTGTCTGGTACTGTTGAACTGTGTCGATTTCAAGCTCTAAGGTTCGGAGGTTCTTGCACGTCAAAAGAATGTTCCACATGCTCTGTTCGGCGTCCGTTTTATTACTCTGAGAAAAAGCGCTACCGTGATGAGCAATGTGACAGGTGGAAACGATACCTATATGGTGGAGAAAGCCACGGTATTGCTCGCGTAGGGCGTTGGAGACATTTTGGGCAAACAAGTTGGTCGATTCAAAGTAATGCATATTATGGCTCCAGAAAATTGGGGCTGCCTCGGAGTGAATTTGACGACAGGTGAGCAGGATAGCAAGAAATTGGCGGCGGCGGCAGATACACTTGTGATCGTAGACAACTTTAAAGGGAGGACGCTCGATATCTCGAGAGCTGCGGTCTGCATAAGCACAAAAGGCACTGTGGCGTCTGGATAGTCTATCGGGTCCAATTAAAAGGTAGTTGTATATGTGGTTTCGTAGCTCTGGAGGGATGCGCAGAAAAGGAGTTGTGATTGTCCTGGAGATGCGGAGGTTGGTTAAGTCGAGAACAACCGCCATCTGGCAAAGTGAGCTGGTGGTTGCTCGGGGTTTGATCTGAGATGGATTTTTGAGGACGAAAAACAGCACAGTTTAAAAAAATGCGGATTGGCAGAAGTTATTTGAAGATGAGGATTTGTGAAATGGTTCAACGTAGTATAGAAGATAGTTATTCCAGGGCAGGATGAGTCAGTAGTTAATACTCAGTGCTGACAGACAGAGAGCTAGAAAACACTTCATTAATCAAAGATCATTCCTCGATAAAACTGCCAGCAAGTTCCCCGCTCGAAATTCCTCTCCATATTTGGCGAGTTCAGGCATGGTGGTCAGAATACGAACGGGGCTTGATCCAGTCGCCAGCCACTAAAGAGCACCCTGATAGCTTATTGGTTTGGGGTGTGTGCCTGTCACCGCCGAACTCCTTCTCTGCTCCGTTTCATGCGTATATAACACAACCAGATCTGGGAGGAGGAAGAACCACTATCCATTTCTATGTCGTTTTATCGCAATGAAGACGACAATGGGTGAGTGGATGGGGATGAAAGCAGGAAGAGAGTCCTAAGCTGCTCTTCTGCCAAGGTGTAACCCGACCACTCGGGCGGGTCAGCGCTGGTCAGCTTTAATAATCCGACAGCAAACGAGGAATTTACCTAGTTAACTAGCAAATAAAAAATAAAATATAAATAAAAAAAATAAAAAAAATAAAAAAAAAAAAAATCAGTGACAGCAGCCCTCATCTTGGGGGCGTGCGGGTTCGCCGATGCCAGATGGTTCCTACTGGAAAGCGAGTTATTGACGGTAAATAATCAGACCGATTTTGTGCATGAAAATCATGAGGGGGGATGGGATTCATTTATATATCCTTGGGGCATGCAGGTTATATATTCAGACTCCCTCGTATATCCACGGATGTTGCCTGGATTAGCCATATGAAGGATCCATTCATTATATCTAGACTTTGTAGGCGTGTTTTCTCGGGACTCGAGACCTAACCATAACTAAAACTTAGGTAAGAGTGTCTTAAGCCTGGGCTCAGGGTTTAACTATGAAATGGGGGACGGAAGCCAAAGGTTTAGTTAAGCCAGTAAGTGGCTTTGTAGTGCTTTGTAGTGTCTTGGTGAGCCAAACCTCAGTTTCATAACATCCATAGAACTGTTAGTTATCTGCATATGATGTTTAAAATTTGATTTGATAGCGACCTTGGTACAGTAGTTATCTAACTTACTTATTTACCTACCTAGGGGCTTGGTCCAGGCCTCAGGGGATATTCATATGGAGAAAGCCAAGGACATAATTGCTTATTTCCCGCCCCCCTAAAATATACGTCCCCCAGTCACTTTTGGCGCCCAATCAAGAGGATATGTTATTGCACGGGAAGCTGGGGCTCCACACCACTTTTGATCCATAGCTGTATGGATTATTGTCGTTGAGAGCCTTCTTGAGTTGCTGGTATAGAGTGGAAGCCACCAAGTCTAAGAAAGTTGTCATGACCCAATGGATATTACACGTTTTCCGCCGAGACTCGAATTTAAACACAGTTGGAAAGATAGATGAACTTTCGTAGATTCAGAAGTATATCTTCTTGAGATATCGATAGGGTAATATTAAGGAAAAAATAACCGTATTGGGTATGGTGTTCTTTAAACATGCAAATTTCCCCCCTCCCCCCTCTCACCCCCTGCCCCCGTCCCCTTGCCTCGAATAATATAACAAATTATCGAAAAATACAACCATATAAAAGAGAAATGGAAGCGCCTACAACAAACTAATAATAAAAGAGATGAGATCCTCTAACGAAAGTGTGGGGAGTTGAGAAATAAGCCCATAAGGACTCCTCCAAGAGTTCCCGCTATCGGAATGGTAGCAATCCACGAGAGCATCAGGAGACCCACCCGATGCCAGTTGACGGCCTTGAGAGTGCCGTTGCAGAGCCCGACGCCAACTGTGGCCCCGGTGATGCACATGGATGTAGAGACGGGAAGGGAGTATTGAGAGAAAACGAGGACAGTAATGGCGGCACCCATTTCCATGGAGCAACCTGCAAAAATGGGAAGAGAGAGATGTTAGAGGATGTTCATGGTTGAGGGTTGGATTCAATCAATTATCGAGTGGATGGATGGGTGGTTGGTTTAACATACCTCGACTGGGCGAATGATACGTGATCTTGTTACCCATGACTGATTGTTCAAAAAGTTAGCATCAAATAATGATGTATTTTTTTTTTCTTTTCTGGAATAAAGCAGGGTTAGAAGAATCCACCTACCTTTCATGATGTTGTAGCCATAGGTAAGAAGGCCGAGAGAAATGGTAAGCGACAGCACTGCGAGTTGCCAGACGTCAACCGGAGCCTTAGATGCAGCAGCATTCCCAGTTTTCCAGGCACCGTAGATCACAGCCCAGGGTCCAACCGAATTGCCAATGTCGTTAGCTCCGTGTGCGAAGGAAGCCGTGCACGCAGTAAGGATCTGGACAAAGGAGTACGTATGTTCCACTTCATTAGTGTATTTGTGGGCATGTGAATACACCCGCTGCATACGTTGGCCGTCAGGGGTACCCATGACACCTGTTTGTGCGGCGTGGATGTCGTAGTGAAGACCATATAGCGCTCCCACAACGACCATGGCGGGGAGCCGTACTGCAAAAGTCTTGATATTGTGCCATTCGTATATCTGGCCGATGCCCATGGGGTTTGCGTGAAGATGACGCATTGCCCATCCAATGGGACTGCGCTTCTTCCTGAGTTTGGCATGCAATTTTTCCCGACCCTGGATGAGGAGCTCTTTATGGGAAAGCTGATTGGCTTCTACAGCGGCAAGGGATTTCTCGTGTTGGTCAGATGAAACAATAGTGGTTGAAGGGGCGGTGCCTGTTTCAGTCTTGATGGCGTCGTTGGATCCATTGGCAGATTGGATTGAGTCATTGGAAGACTCTTCACCCTCGTCATTCTGAACAACGGCATAGTTGGGAACATTGGCCTTGGTTGCATCAACAGGAGCTGGACGATTGTAGAGAGAAGGACCTAGAACGAACATCCACCACTTGATAGTGTGATCCTTTTTAACAACCTTTGCGTGCACGAAGGGAACAAAAAAAATGGCCGCAAGAATGCAGAGGCCAGCTCCAGTGCCCAAAGAGACAGCAGCAATGTACCACGCCGGCTTTTTGTTCAAGCCCAACTTCGGGGATCCCTTGTAGACAATGGATAGGGTACAAATGGTGCCAGCGATGAGGAAAAAGGCAGGGGAACTATAGATAGCCCAGGGCACCGGGTTCTTGCGGATGTGCACGACCAGTTTGATGAGCATAAAGATGGCGGCACCGAAGCCACCGGAAATGGCAGGGGCCATTGCAAGGCCGGCAAAGATGGCACCGAGACCTTTGCCTTTATTCCAGCCCCACTGGACCTTAGGTGCTCCTACAGTCGCAACACCAACGCCAGCGACAGCGGAAACGAGGGAGTAAGTTGACGAGACGTGGGCAGAGTGTCGTGTACACCACATGACCCAGGAAGACGCAGCTGCAAGTGCACAAGTAAAAGCAAGCATCTGCACACCAGCGTTGTTTTGGAAGGCGGAGTTAGGGATAATGCCGTTTTTTATGGTGTCTGCGGTACGTGCGCCCACGGTGATTGCACCAAGCAGTTCAAATATAGTGCCGAAGATCATTGCCTGTCTGTACGAGATGGAGCGCGACGAGACACTGGTTGCCCAAGCATTTGCCACATCGTCTAATCAGAGAACGTGTTAGCTATGAGATGTGCGGGGTCATTGACCTGGTTGCCGCAGGTTTTCTCAACTTTTTATTGTCATTCTTCTGATGAACACTTACTTGCACCGTTATTATAGGCATCGAGCATGGCAAAAAAGGTGCCGATCACAAAAACGTAGGTATGTTCGTGCACCGCCATACTGGGCTAGATTGACAAAGGGCAATGGTGCAACGGGCAAGACTCAACAGGCAAGAGGGAAAAGGGCCACTGCTGGTAAATTTCGAGAAGAACTAGATCTTCACGCAGGGTCAACAGCGTGGATCGGATGTTTTATATATGTTCGGATGGGGGTTGCTAGAGTTTCTATTCTTTTTTTTTTTTTCCCTTTTTTTTTTTGTTCTGCCCGCCATTCCATGATTGTTCTGTTCTGCACATGGATGATCAGGGAGGGGGATAGGATACCCACCGCGTTCGGGCTTTCTTGACATTTTCCAAGCCGTGCTAGCGTGGGATTGAAAGGCCATGTTTTCCCATCTCGGGAGGTGATTTGTGACAGCAGGAGACAGCAAGAGGCGGCAGGGTCATTTTAGTCATTTTGGCCATTTTGCGCTGTTCAGCCATGGATATCGAAGATTACTCTCGATGCTTGAGAAGGTGGGGCTTGCCGGCCTCGGGGAGTTGGAATAGAAAGGGGGAATAAAACAAAAAAAGAAATAAAAAATACCGCAGCAGAAAAGGAGCGAATCAATCCGCAGTGTTTCTGAGTGCTGGAGACGTAAAGGGTGTAAATGATGTATGCACTTCAGTAGGTGACTGCGGTAAAATGATGCTGGGATATTTCTGGGGGTTTCTGGTGGGTTTTGGTGGTTTTTGGGGAGGGCTGAGGGTAGGGGGTTCGACGAAGGCCTGTCACTGTCTGTCAGCTCGGAGCGGTTGTGTCCCCAATGAAATACTCGGGAATCCCCACGTGTGGTCTTGAGAGATGGTGTAGTTCGTTACTTAGTTAGGGGTTGCTAGGTTAATTCACTAGGCAAGTGGCGGTTAAGCTTTTAAATCGTGCGTCTTCAGGTTAAACGGGCGCATTTCGTTGGTTGGATCAGCTAAACGATAGACGGGGATAGCCTAGAGTTCGGGGAGTCAGTGGCAGGACCAGTCAACTGCAAAAATCTGTAGAAGAGTCAACTTTCAAACCTCAACAGCGAAACAAACCCCCTGCTCTGTTCTTTTTTTCTTCTTTCTTTCCAACTGATAAAAGGCTGCAGCGTTTCTTTCTCGTAATTCATCATGAACTACGGAGTGCGGAACAATTGATGAGGAACGACAAAAAAGGTGCCAATTCAACTCTTTTACGCAACAGGAGGGAGCCGGCAAATTGTCACAAGAGGAATGGGTAGCGAAAAAGGAGAAGAAGAACAAGCAGAAGTGATGGGCGAAGATACAGACACAGCGGGCAATTCGTGTCAAGTATCCAAAATGTATGCCGAGACACCATTATAGTATTTCCGCGATATCCACCATGACGCCCCATCGTATGGCAAGCCCGGTCGACCCGTTTCAAAGCATTTTTTTTATATCTCCAGTTATTCTGACGATTTAGCGCAGCCCTCCTTGACATCATAAAACATTATTGTTAACCACACCTCGTCCATCAATCATACCATCATCCCCAATCATCTTCAGCTCGTTTGGAGCCGTCTTTTCCGTTCCCTCGCTTCTTCGAGTGGGGGGGATGAAAAACATTATAATATCTTGGCATAATAAGCCAAGAAGAATTGCCACTAAGCACAGATGCGCAAAAATAAAACCAGCAGTCATAATAGGGCCACAGCGAAGCACGTGGTACCCCCGGATACGCAAAACTGAATGAATGTAATGGCAGGAATCGGAGGGTTTACGTACCGGAGCAGCAGGGGGCAGAAGCGTGGGATGTTCCAGTTTCCCTTGCGACCGTCGACTGCAAAGTTGAAGGTCTTTTCGGAGTTGGTTTTCTTTTGATTTTTGGTTAGCCAACTAAGAAACTTAACCACTAGTTACTTGACTCGGCGCATGAAGAATGAATTAATTTACAGAAAGATTTTTGGGGGGATGCTTACAGAGTAAAAAGCCACATATCAAAAATATCTGCCCAGGAAGGTATTGCCGTGCCAAAAGCTAGAAGCTTTAATATCAGACGATTTGGCAACCAGAACGGAAGTGATAAAACAGACAATAAAGAGGATGAAACCGGCAATTGCACCCGCTGAAGGGTTCTCCGTGCTGTGAGCGACACTGTTACCAACGATTTGGCCGCCAAAGTATTCGACATTGGATACGATGAAAGCTGGCAAGCCCGTTTAACTGGTCACATCGCTCCAGCGACATACAACAGTTGCGCTGACAACTTCGAACCACACAACGAAAATCTCTTGGAACCACGCTGTTATCCATTTGTCGATTCAGCCGAGGAGATAGAAGTCGAACTCGGTGCTATATGAAGACACTTAAGATACGATAGCAGCGCTAAGAACGTATCAATGGCAGCGCGGGAGAATTTGCACCCCTCCATCGACGAGGAGAGTTGCACATGCATCCAACATTACAAAAGCAGAAAAACTCAAGACAACAAGAGTGAAAAACAGGGGAAATGCCCATAAATTGGTGCCAGGCAATGGCAGAGCAGCTTCAGGTAGCGTGAGGAAGTCCACGACAATGGCTCCTAGTTCCACACCCTGCTCAGGCCGCCGGCGGAGATAACTGATAACCCCAAAAACGGCGAAGACAGCCAAATTCTCGAAGAGGACGTTGCTGCCACAAATAAGAATCGCGTTCATCACGGCATTGGAGTGCTTTGCATTGTATGATGCGCACGGAGTAAAATAACCAAACCCTATCCCTGTGGAAAGACAACCTGACCAACTGCCGTTTGCCAAACTTTCGGCGAGGACAGTTGTCCACCCCTCCACGTATCCCAGAGAAGCCTGACGCCTTCTACTGCATTCTCAAGGGCACAGGAACGCCCAACAATGCTGAGTGGTGACAATTGGGAGGGCCATGGTCCAGAACTCAATGCGACCAGTCATACCTACGCCACGAAAATGGACACCCAGATTAGGGAACCAGATAAATGAATTCCAGCCAACTGTTTCTCCAACGAGTCGGATTCCGGGATGCTGTGTGTATGCAGCGACTGCGCCACTCCCCTCTGTCAAGTTACCTGGATAGGGTCGGTATTTTGGAGGACATCACGCATGTAAATCTCCTCAATACTTCCCTCCCCGGGGGTAGCGGGCTGGTGAACGAGTTGCGGAAATAATTCACAATCCATGCCAGTTTGACCGTGAAATACTGTGTGAAGAAGAAACTGACAATGGTGGGTCCGAGACGACATCCTTTAGCCGTTTCTTCTTTCTTCTTTTCTTTTTTTTTTCTTTTCTTTTCTTTTCTTTTTTTTTTTAATGTTGTTGAAGGCAATGACGTTTTCGCTGCGATAGGCTTGGCCGATTGATCTCGAGAATGAGGGCGGGGAGAGTGATGACGATGACGGCAATCAGCCAGAGAATGAACCACTGGAGTCCGTAGTTGTTGCAGACTACGGAAGGGTAGAGCAATAGGTTCCCATGACCGGGGCAACCGCCCCATAGCAGCAAGAAGGCAGAGCGTGAGGGCCATCTGGCGGATATCCTCCGACTTTTTGGGCAGTGTAGAGAGTCAGAGGAGGCCCTTTCTGATAAATTGGACTAGACCTATGTTTAGCTGAGGTTATAATGGAAATTGGAAAGATGTTTGTAATTTTTGTGACCTCCTGAGGGCAAATAGGGTCGAAAAGGTGAGCAACAATAGTGAGAGATTAAGTGAGAGATGATGAAGGATTCATTGCAAAGTGACTTCAAGAGATTTTGTGAATATAAAAAAAATAAAAAAAGTATATATATAGTGGAAAAGGAGAAATCTGGGGACAGCGAAGAGAGCCGGCGCGGGGAGTGACCAAGTAATGAAGGGCGGAAACTTTAGAACCAAATAGCGAATGAACGAGTATTACAGAGGTGCCAAGGGTTAAACCGTTTCCTGAGGACAACCCGCACGCCAGATGCCCTGATACTGCCCCGCCGCCAAGAGCCGGGTGGCCGCATAGATCCGCAGATGGCCATTGTTTTCATTGGTCTGATATTGAATAATCTTCCCATTTTAGTGTTCCCTAACCATCTGGCGCCTGAGCTCGCTCGCTCACTCCCGACGAGAAGGCTAGCGGAAAAAAAAAATCAGCATACATGTATCTTGCTGTTTCATGCGAGGTTATGACCTCATTTGAGCTGTAGTAGCCTTCTCGAAGAGCAATATATTTAATGCCTTTCCAAGGATCGCTGCGAAATTCGAGAAAATAATCATCCAGATTCTCCAGCATGCTCTGCTGTCAAGTTACCTTGTTGGGGGGATCATTTGTGAGGTTCTTTTTCACTCACGGTTAACCAGACCCTCGAATATGATGACCTTCCATCTGGCATGGAAATGTTTCTGTCATACATCGGAGGAAGTTGTCGCGCCACGCTCGTCCCATGACGTAGTATCTCGAAAAGGGTATAGACTCTGCATTGAGCCTGAGTGGCATTCAATTGCGCTTCAAAAGCTCGATCCAGGTAGGACTGGTTGACCATTACTCTGCATTGTCTCTATCCTTGCGACGGCGCATTTGGTTGAGCCAACAGCAGGCTTTGTCAGTTGAATTCAGGTAAATGAAAAACTAGTCACCGTGATTTCAATCATATCCAGGAATTCAGGGTGCTTAGCATTGATGAACTTGGATAAAGCCTGCAGGAGGATCATGGAATGTGGCTAATCTAGAGATATTATGATAAATGTTGTGCTGTTGCCATGAGACAGAAAGACAGAAAGACACAATACCTCGCAGGATCTCGGCGATAAAAAACGGAGGTTAAAACATGACAAACGTATTAAGCTTGGTCGATTCCTGTATAGGTTCACACTCAAGTATGTCACAACATTTGACAGCTCGTGGTCTAAGACCTGGCCGATCGGAAATCCCCATACCAGGGAGGATGTTATAAATTCTCTGTTGACGTCATGCTTCGTTTTTTTTTTTTTTTGAAAGGTTTCGCGGTCCTACTTGTAGCAGACATGTCCCTAGGCAGTTCTTTGGGGAGCACGAAGCTCATTTGCTAACTTGTTGGCTGGCCGACTCGCTGAACTCCATAACTTTCGAGACACGTGCTTCTCTGTTGCAGTTTACTGCAGGCGAGGCTTGACCGTAATGCTCCTTTCCAGTTGGTACTCGAAATCGTTTAGTTTCCATCTTCCTCCAACCCAGGTTCATGCCAGGAGCAGGAGTTAGGTCTAAGGTTCGGAAGGACTGGAGATTTCAAGGCGTTTTCATGTAGTTAGTTCTGCTGGATTCCGTAGAAGCTGTCCTTATCTGCGAGATAACAACCAGCTTTAAATCGAAAGCGAGGACTGGTAACTAAGGCGGATAGCCATTTGGTTTTCCATTAGGGGAACATTGGATCCTCCCGTCAGGCGAATTACCATTTGCAACAACGCCCGGATTACTGACTCCGCGACAAGCTTTCCATAGATATGGATTTCATGAAGCCATACAGACGCGTTATTACCACAGCGTGGCTGAGGCTAGAGCTGGTATCAAAAGGTGCCGAACAGAGCGGCAAAATTCATCCATGGATAGCCCATCCAATTCCAGATGAATGGGGATTAGGGTTTAGGATAAAATAAATCATCCTGATCAAATTACTCGATGGTTGTAGAGGCGAAATAGTATGTTCTTGTCGTTGGCCAGGTGCCTCTTGACATGCTATGTGTCAGGCCTATCCGCCTTCTTATGTAATCCGCACCGTATATAACTTCCGCGTAGCTAGCGATCGCTACATAATCAATCAAGCAATCTATCCTTCACAGGTTATGAGACCCGTTTTGCGCAAATAACTGCCAATTTGGGGAATTCTTGCCAAATATAGCATATATTAATCACTGCTTGCTTCATTCAATATAATATTGTCTTATTTTATGTCAATTGATTGATTTGATGCACTCTTATATTATTATTATTTTTTCTGTGTTCAATCTGTTCACTTAGCAGGTGAAAGAAAAATCTGCAACTTGCTAATTTTTCAGTGACTGATTGCACAAGAATGTGTCAATCTGCTCAATCAAGCTTATAGACAAGAATCTCACCAAATAAGATTACTCTGTTATAAAGAAGATTAATATGACATGATGGAATGTATGATGACTCACTTGTGATCATGATTGAGCCAATTCAGTCAATCTGACTGATCTGAAAATGACCAGGGGGCCCTGAGCTCACTGACCCCCCCAGGAGTGTTCAAGAGTTCCAGGATTGGACCTCCTGAAACACCTGGTCAGCAAGCCAGACTGATTACAGCCCCTATCACAGTGAGGCTGATCTGCCTACATCATATTGAATATGCCAATTCAACTCCTTCAGAAGACAGGGTGGAGACACCTGCAGTGATCTCTAATCCACTGCCAGCAACTGACTCTGAAGAATTGTAACTGAGGAGATTGTATCTTGAATGTCAAAAGATTGATTTAGAACTTCAAAAAGAGAGACACAAAGAATTGCAGCTTCAACTTCAATTGAAGGGACTCTGCACTCAGAATGACAGGGCCACAATGCTCACAAATTCACTGACAGGTCAACCATTAGCATGAGATCTGAACTTGAGGTTCTGAATGCAATATAACCTCTATGACTCAGATAGCTGTGTTGACAAGGTGATCAGCCAGTTCAAACAGAATACTAAGTATGTCACCAAGTCAAATGCTCTGGTTGGATCATTGAATTATCTCTTCTGGCATGTGAATATGAAGGCCAAGCTAATTGACACTCAATGCTGAGTTATATTGGAGGACAAGCAAGTCAAAAGCCCTGATGAAGACTCTGAATGAGCTTCTTTTTGAGAGGTCAAAAATCACTGACTTTACACATTTATTTTGAATGCATTGGCAGCCAGCATTAGGCCTCATTTTAATAAGTATGATGAGAGCAGAATCACTTATTTTCTTTGACACACAGTTGAGAAGAAGTTCTCCATCTCAAGAACACAGCTCTGCAGGAAAGCAGTCCTGGCATTTACATCAATGAGTGGTGTCCAAGTCACTGATATACACATGTTTTTCAATAAGTTCAATGATGTTATTATGAAATTGGAAATACTTGATATTTTACTGTCAAATGATATGATATTTCACATGTTCTATTCTGCACTTCTCAATATATGGTGAAACTACATGCAAAAGAAAATTGAGGAGGTACAAGAGTTCAAATCAAAGTCTGTTGTGTTGGACATTCATTCAATCATGGAGGAGATATGCTCTTGATTGAATCTCCTCAAAGAGGTCAAGAAGGCTGCTCAGGCAGCTAATTCTTCAGTCAACATGACTCAGACTGAAAATGTGGCTGCAAGTTTCAATAATAGCAGCAACATCCAAAATAATTTGGCCTGTGAGGGCTGATCCAGGGGACGTGGAGACTATTGAATGAGTGAATGTTCAAATTCTGACCTCTCAATCTGTCTGAAATGCAAGCATCATCATGGTGGGCTCTGCTGGGCAGTCAATTCAGATAGCACTTCTAAAGAATGAAGAATCACCAACACAGTGAGAATAGAGAAATATAATAATAAGAAGAGTAGTGAAGACAAAAAGACTTTATCAACTGCAAATGACAGCTCTGAGACATTTCAAATGATGAATCTAGTGCAGATCATTGAGGTGTCTGTGTACTCTGCTGAATCAATCATCAACTCACTCATCATATGGAATAGCAGGGCTGAATGTCATATTGCAGGTGATTGATTGTGATTTTCTCAAATAACAGAGGTTAGCAGCCCTACAATTCAAGTGGCCAATAAGACTACTTTGAAGGTTCAAGGGATTGAGGTCGCCTCCATTCCAGTCAGGAAAGATTAATCAAATTCAACCACATCTATTTGATGCCAGGCTTATCCGCCAACCTCATATCTGCTGGTCTATTGAAGTGCCAGGGCTATATTCACTGTGATCTGCAGGTAGATGCTGGAAATTACTTTGAGATAATAGCATCTACAGGAAATGACATCTTCTATGCAAATTTGAATCTCAATAATATATATGTTCTATCTGACACTTCCTCTATGTTTGAGGATATTATGAACAATCTGGAGCTTGGACTACTGGCATACTTGATGATCTCAAAGCCCAGGGTGATATCAACAGATTATGATCTGAATGCTGCATCACTGAGTCTTTTCAACTGCAATGACATGGAGCAGCTAATTAATCTGAAGGATCTGAATACTGATACCTTCATTTTGTCCTCATCAACCCAACTACTCATCATTATGCCAAAGCAGCTACTGATTGATAAGTGACACCAGCAATTGAGTTATATTGGTGAGGAGAATCTAATTAAAATGTCACAAGAGTCTCATTTTGGAATTGCCATCATCAGCTCAAAGAAGCTCTCATTCTGCACCACATGCATTAAAGTCAAGCATAAATGTGCAAGTTATAAAAACACCTTGCTACACCATGCCACTCACAAAGGTCTTAAGATTTAGGTGAACCTATTTGGAGGTGGAGAAACACTTGGTAATGAAGAAGATACATCATCTTATGCAGATAAGAAGCTTGCAATGATGATCACTGACAATGCCACATGAATGCAGTGAACCTTTCTATTGAAGCACTGCAATGAGACTCTAAAATATATACAGACCTTCAATCAATTTATGAAGAATCTGCTCAATTGTGATGTTGTGATTATTCACTCTGACTGCAGTGAGTTGAATTCAAACACTGCAGTCATTTATATGATGAGTGAGAGTATTAAATGAGAATCAACCTCACCTCACACTTCATAGCAAGATGGTGTGTCTGAACATTCTATTGGCCTAATTATTGAAAAAGTCTGAATGTTATTAATAGATTCCTTCTCCCCCCCCCCAGATGTAGAGTGAGGTGGTAATTGCAGTGACTGAAATGCTTAACTTTATGCCAATGTCAGTCAAGCTCTATAATAGTGTAAAGGATTTAGATCTGAAGCTGGTTATCTCATATGAAGCTTGGCTTGGAGCCCTGCCCTCCACACACAGGATTCACTGATGAGGGTGCAAGGCTTATTTAAAAATAGTGCTCAAGCCAAATATGAAGATGGCCTCACAATCACAGGAGTTTATATTTACAGGCTATGATGGCTTTATTAATTATAGATTGGTTGATCCTTCTAATAATCACCTTTACACATCAAAAGATGTAATATTTCAAGAAGATCTTCATTTGATGGATTCTCTGACCTCATCTGAGCAAGATATCAAGAATCTGTCTTCTGCTATCTGCATGGCTGCAGTTGCAATCCCCTCCATCTAACATGATTTATCAACAGACAATTTCATGATGGATGAGGAGTTTCTATCTGCTCCTTCAGTATTTCTACACTCTACAAATAATTGATGAATAGACTATGAGATTACTGCACAGATTCTGACATTTTTGATGCAGAACACTACTGCCCTCTCAGAGTCTGCTTTTGAGATGAAGGATTCTTCAATGTCCACTGAGAATATTATTTCAGTGAGAGAGGCCTCAGTGAGAGATTTCACTGACAATTTGACTGATGTCCCTGCAGACTCTGAGATTACTGACTTGTCAGTTTCAAAGAATCTCACCTGGGCTCAGGCATCTGCAGATTGGAAATATCACTTCCATGCCTGCATTAAGGAGATTAATCACCTCAAGCAGATTAGTGCATGGCAGCTAGTTGAAAGGACCCCAGATATGATGATTCTATATGGTCAATGAGTGTTCAACAAAAAGATTAATAATACAGGTAGAATTGAACAATATAAGACCTGCTGAGTAGTCTGCAGCAATTATCAAGAAAAGAATATCAACTATTCAAAGACATTCACATCAGTTGTATCAGCCTCCATCTTCTGAGTGCTTATGACAATCTTGGTATTCTGAGAATGACATGTTCTGCAGATTGACATGGTTACAGCATTCTTAAATGCTCAGCTTCCTGCCAATGAACATATATATATACATCAACCCACCAGGTTCTGTGAGAGATGCAGTGATCTGATATGTGAATTGATGCAGAGACTATATGGTCTGAAGCAAGCAGCACTATTATGATATGAGAAGCTGTGAAAAATGCTATTGAAAACAGATTTCTGTGTCAGTTCTCATGATGCTGATTTTTTCATAAATGACATCTGCAAGGTCTATATAATTATTTATGTGGATGATGTTCACCTATACAGCCTGAATATATTAGATATTAAATGGACAAAAGCCCAGATCACCACTAATTATGAGATCAAGAATGTAAGTAAATCAAATCAGTATTTGAGAATGAAGATTGATCAGAATGCTAAATCTTTATCACTGTCCCAGCCACTGTTTATAAAGAACCTGCTTGAGAAATTCTCAATGAATGACTGTCACTCAACATCCTCCTCTATGGAGGAGAATATTGATTTCATGAGTGATAATGAAGAACTGATTGCTTATACAGTGGAATTTACATTACATTTCTATCAATCAGAGATTGACTCTCTGCAATATCTCACTGTCAATACACACTCTGATATAAGCTTTGTCACTGACTTCCTAGGAAGATTCAGCTTCTGCTCTATCTCAAAGAATTGAGTGGCATTCAAGTGAATTCTTAGATATCTACAAGGCACACCTGACATAAGTGTGTCCTACTGAAAAGACATGAATATAGAACCTGTGATATTCACTGATGCTGATTGGGTGGACTGTGATCTGGGTTCTCACTCCATCACTGAATATATCATTTATATGGCAAGGGGTCCTGTTGCTTGGTGAAGCAGCAAGCAGACAAGTGTTTCAAAATCATCTACTGAGGCTGAATATATTGCATTCTCAGAGGCTGCCTATAAACTTGTCTGTCTCTGGGAATTGCTGGAGGATGCCAGTCTTGTGTCATCCAGGCTCAATAATCTTGATGATAATGACAGCCTGATCAAATCACCAGCCAATAAGCTGGCATATACAATTTGGGTGGATAATAAATCAGCAATTGAACTGGTCAAAAGTGAGGCTATTCCACACCATTCTAAGCATATAGAGGTCCACTTCCATACTCTTCAGGATCTTGTCTGTAAGAATGAGATCTCAATTGATTACATTCCGTCTGCTGAGAACACAGCAGACAGGCTGACCAAGTCACTTGGAGCAACTAGATACACCCTATGACAGCAGATATTAGAAGACACAGTAAGCAGGTGGAAATGATTATATGGAGTAAATGACTGATTTTTCAACAATATGGGTTTTCCAGTCAAATTATGTACCAATACCTAGCTACAGGCTATTTTTTGTATGTAATCTCGAGTACAGTTACATCAGTGAGTGGGGGTGTCAGGCCTATCCGCCTTCTTATGTAATCCGCACTGTATATAACTTCCGCGTAGCTAGCGATCGCTACATAATCAATCAAGCAATCTATCCTTCACACTATGCTGGCTGCCCAAAGAGAGAGGCTCGGCCGTACGCAAACGCACGGCAGCGATCAACAATTTCATTCTCGTGTTAAGGTCCACTTTTCAACCCGAAAAGCTAGCCTTGGTAGCCTCCTCAAAATGGGAACGATAGCATGGACATTGAGGCAAATTTCTTAGGCTCCACTTGATTTCTCCGGGGATTATTCGACAATCTTGTGTGGACGATTGGCCCGCGAAACGAGTTACAGAGAATGTGGTTTGCAAGTTAGTTACATCCAGGGCGGTGTGGGGATGCTTAGTCACTTAACCGGGACAAACTACGGAGGAAATCGACATCTTCCTGAGAAACACTTCCATATCTAAAATTGGGTTGTCTGTGTTCAACGATAAAAGAGGGGTCGCAACTATTTTCTTTAAGGGAAAATGGTATTGGAACAAGGTGATGGCCAAAGAAAAGAATGAAAGAAAAGTGCTCCAGCGATCTTGCACCCAGGGATCAACTTTCGTAGCAATGAAAAGCCGTCAACCCTTTATCGGACGCGGACTTGCATGTGAAACCCCCCCCGCTCTTCAACTGATAGGATTTCCGATCCGGTCTTTTATTGAGTCTAAGAGGAAGCCCTGACGAGATTGCAATACCACTTGAGAATGCGCTCATTGCCAGAGCTGTTGGTTGCCATTGCCTGTTCTACTCTATACATCATTCAAGTCTTGCTACGCAGGACATGCGTCCTCGATTTGCCAACTCTGGCTTAATTCCGCACAGGAGCGTTTATCCTTCCTTGGAAGGTTTTTAGGTGAAGCGCCAAAATGCCTCTGAACCCTCGTTTCCCTCACTTGAACCCAGTGGATATCAATGTCATAGAGCTTTTCAATACCTTGCTTGGATCGGCAGTGGTTTCATCCTCTTCATCCCCTTTTATTCGGGTCGAGGATTGGCCGGTGTTAGTTACAAAGCCATTCGTTGATAGGTCTTTCGAAGACACTCTGATGTTGTGCGTGCAAGCCTCTCTTTTCTTATCTCCTGGAGAACAAAATGATTCGTCATCTCTCCTCCCGTAAGCCGCGTATCAAGATTTATTTCCAGGCCATTTATTGATGGGATCGACTCTGGCACAGTACGATGTCGACGCCAACTGTCACAGTATCCAATTTGTGCCGCCTGGCGCATGCGGGGTACGGGATTTCTCCTCGGCCAGACGAAACGGAACGGTAACCACCCTGGGGCCGTGCGGTCGATGTATATAGAGAATTCTTATATCCGGCCTCACCGTGCTACTCTTGTGGGGTCTCCCTATAGCTTATCGTCTTTCCCGGCCAGATGGGAAACAATGTGGCTCGGCTAGATAGTCGTCGTTCGACTAGTGCCAAGGGAGGACTCAAGAAAACTTCGAACGGAGATACCGTCTGTAGTCACAGCCGTTAAAGAATTCCGAACGTATCGTTTTCTGATCCATTTATTTAGTTCTGAACAGCTGGAACGAGGCGCAAGTATTTAAAGACGACCCATCCATCAACCCTTGATTTTGCATACATCTTCACTTAACAACCTTGGAACTTGACCATATTTCCACCCGAGTCTAGAATATTCAGCAGTTCACACTCTCCAACTTCCAATAACGGCTCCACAAAGATGCGGGGAGACTCCAATATTGTTATAGAGTTGGAACTCCGGATTTAACTACTGTGAACCAACCCTGTTTCATGGCTATCCCAAACGGTGTGTCACAGATTCAAATTCCAACCACGAGGGTTTAGGGTTACTTGCATATCGGACCCCAAGTTTGGGAGGCCGATTTCTGTACCACCTGCTCCTCAGCCATCCAACTCACCAGCAATGGGACACAAGATCATAGAATATGTGAAGGTTTAAGGGAACGAATTCTTATCATCAGCCATCATCGTCCGCGGAATATTCTGCAAAATGCAGCAACCCAATTCCCCACAGCAATAATACATTCTGAGTGTCGGCTGAGGGATTATCAACCTTTATCATCCCTGCTACTCCGAATGCTAATGGTATTTAACCTGGTCACTGTTTAATGGTATCCATTTAGCAAAATCGCTCGTTTGGAGTAGTTCAAACTGATTTCTTCGTACCTACCTAATGATGATCAAATATTAGCTCTCTACATATCTGTCATTGCTGGGCTAGGTCTTCTCCAACCCAGATCAGCGATTTAAAATATAACTACTTCCCATGCCTTATTTTTCTCCAGTAGTGTTCTTTTGGTCCTCCTTTCGCAGTCGAGTTTCAAATTCATTTTCTAGCAGCAGTTATAAGTCATTTGTCATCATGGATGACAAATATTCTCATACCCTACGGGTTTGGAGGAACTGAATATAGACTCTGGAATCTCAGTGCCTGTCAAATCCGAGCTCGCAGGGGCATTGGACGCAGAGCTCCTTGGTCAGTCCAGCTCGTCTTAACGTACAATCGATTTGTTCCGATTCTTAGCCAGCGAGCATGGGTTACAAGCAGAAACTTCGGCGGCAGTATTCCAGCGTCCAATCCTTGCCATCGCATTTAGTATCATGGGTCTTTTACCTTCAATGCGTCAACAGTATCTTTCTCACTCCCTGCTGGACCCGCCGGTATGGTTTGGGTATGATTATCCTTGGGAGGGGCCGTATTTGCGAAAAGCAAAGGTGCCTGAATTGACAGTTTAACGCCGGAATCTATTCGGGATGGTTTACGGCAAGCGGCTTTGTTTTCATTGTCGGGCTTGCAATGGTAGGACAGGGTCCAGTCCGTTTGCATCGTTTCTAATGTGGTTCTTGTCCTAGCCACCGGAATTTCATTAGCAATTGGCAAATCCAGGACCGAACTTGGACTCAATTCCAGGGATTACCTGTTTTCTCGCCACGAGAATCTCACTTCTTGGCCATCTGGGTTGGCTTTCATGATTGCCTGGCTGTCTCTGATCTGTACTATCGGTGTCTTTGACTTGTGCGTCCATACGAGCGAAGAGGCGACAAATGCTCCCGAAGTCTGTACCCCGCGCCATTTTATGGTCCATTGGTGCATGTTGGTTCTTTTGGATTTCTTTCCATGTGCATAATCGCAGCATGTTTATGAACCCAGATAATGAAGCTGTGCTGGGCAGTCCGTTTGGACAGCCAATGGCTCGGGTTCGTGCTGTTCTCAACAGAGAAATAATGCCTCATCCCTCTCGTTCTGTCTCGCTAACCGTAACAGATAAATTATGATGCCCTAGGAAAAGGTGGAGCCCTTGCGTTTTTGGTGATCATGGCTAGCGTTCAGTATTTCATGGGTCTCAGTTTAGTAAGGCTTTCCTGTCTTTAGTCCAAGTATATAACAAATAGAATGCTAATCGGGGGGAGGACAATAAAAGCTGGAGGCCGCATCGTGGCAAAGTTGGGCTTTCTCTCGAGATGGAGCACTTCCATTTTCAAATTTCTTAAGAGTGGTTAGCACGCGTATACATTCCCAGCCTGTACGAGCTGTCTGAGGCTGAGGGATAACAGTATTTTTTTTTTTTTTTTTTGCCTCCTCTGCTTGATTCATAGTGCGGCAGCCAATACCCTTTTAGTTGCTTGCCACAGCAGGAAACGACTTCGCCTGGGGGCGATCCCTTTTCTTTGCCATGTTGCTTGGGGCCAGGTTAAATTCAGGTCAGGGGCATTTTATCCTGGTTGGTTTGGCACGCCGATTGCTATTGTCACACTAAGTTCTCTTTATTTCTCTATTGCGTTCTGCATGTTCCCCACACTGGGGGCCATCGCCATCAAGTAAGCCTTACCATCGCCCCTCACATCCCCTGCCATTAAGGACTCCGTTTTGTGGAGTGAGGCTAATGCTTTAAACAATTAAACTGAGTAAGAAATGAACTATACCGTGTCGTCAATGGGGCACTTTGGGAATTTCTGTGTGATGTGAATGAATTAGACCTTTTGGAAGCAACACTAACAAGTTAACTACCTATTGAGACCATAGTTACCAAACATTGAAAACTGATCCCGTAACCCCCCGTCGTGGTATGCAAGGAATCCAAGTCGCCGGTAAAGCTTTGCGGGCTCCGTTTGAGCAGAATGAAAAACAAACCATGGTAAATTGACGGCAGATTGGCTTGCTCAGGTAGTTACCGCCGTGAGATTATGCTTTTCTCCGTAAAGTCGGCAATGCATCAATCCTAAGTCACAAGATCGTCGACATAGCTTTATCCTTGACAATATCATTAAAGTGTCCTCCATAAGGTCAAGCTGAAAGAATGGATAGAGGTGTGGACATATACATACAGGTTACCTTGGCAAGATACTTACTGTCGGCAAGATACTTTCTGTGTAACTAGGAGTCAATGTTCCCGCAAAACAGCAACGCTGCTCCGCTCGCCTTCGCCCCGCCAAACCAGGCGCTCCTTTGTCAAATCAAGCCTATTAATTACCATGCATGTACACAGTTGACTGGTTAACCTTGGCCATGATATTGCGTTATCCTCACCCTGGGATACGTGCTGTTCTTGGGTGCAGTGACGTGACGTGTAATCTACGGAGTTAATAATATCTCACCGCAGTAACCATCGATCATGCTGGTCTCTGCGGGTTTACATATTGCCCCGGTATCCTTCTGGACGCTCGTTCAGCAGGCCCGTCCTCGTACGCCTTTAAGCTAATTATCTTCTTAGGAGTGAAGGCCCAGGATTCTGGCATCTGCAAGTGATGTGCTCCGCACGCTTTTCCACGCATTATTGATGTGAAATGATGCAATTCTGCTCATCTGCGAGGTAGGCAATTACTGACGGGAGGATATTAGTGGGCTTCTTGCCGCCGTCGATCCTATGATTTTTTTTTATTTTTTTTTATCGGATGGAGTTTTGAGTTGCGGTTGGTTGCCTCTTTTCCGTGGAACTCATCAACCCCAGTTGACATTCTTCTTGTCTACTTTGAAATTCATACCATAATCAAGGAATTGCGGATTACCGTTGGAAGTGACTCTGGAGTCACGAAGCTTCGAGTCTGAAGCAGGTTTGAACCGAAGTCATGGTCATATACCGGAGAAATGAGGAGGATGATTGTCTCAAGATCGCAGAGAAAGATGGCTTCACTTCACCCAATCATGCTACAACGACGACCGACTCTTCTGGTCAACCTGACCCAAATAACTTCACCGCACCCCTGCACCGGAAGCTCAAGTCCCGACACCTGCAGATGATCGCCATCGGAGGTAACTACACAGCTAGGCTTTCTTCACGGCTTCCGTTCCGTTCACGCTAACTCGAGATCACTAGGTATTATCGGGCCGGGTCTGTTAGTCGGTTCAGGCAACGCATTGCACCTAGGTGGTCCGGCCGGAATTTTGATCAGCTTCTCACTTGTTGGAATCATTATCTTCTTTGTCATGTAGGAAACGCCCCTGTTCATTTGGCAGAGATGTTACACACTAACTGATCAAATTGCAGGCAATCAATTGGGGAACTAGCAACAGTGATCCCCGTCACTGGGTCGTTTACTGAATATTCATCTCGATTCGTTGACGATTCTCTGGGTTTTGCCCTGGGATGGGCATACTGGTATCTTTGGGTCACGGTAAGTCGTTCGTCGGTCCAATTAAATTGGGTTGCTATATGCATGCAGCTTTACCCCTACACTCTTGATCTGATTAGCAAATAGGTCCTGGCAAATGAATACAATGCCTTATCCCTTGTCATGGGATTCTGGACGGATGTTGTTCCTCAATGCGCATGGATTATCATATTCTGGGTCATACTTCTTGCCATGTCGAACTTGGGAGTATTGGCTTACGGGGAGGTTGAATTCTGGCTGTCGTTGTATGTCCCTGCTTGGAGCTACCGTGTGTATTGCTACCCATGTATCAAACTGACGACTGCCCACAGAATCAAACTCTTATCCCTCACCATTTTCTTTCTTTTGGCCATCTGCATTAGTTCAGGGGGGATCGGAAATCGCATTATTGGGTTTAAGTACTGGAAAGATCCCGGTGCATTTGCAGATTCCATAAACAGTGTCGCTCGTACCTTTGTCATTGCTGGGACTCTATATGCAGGCACCGAAATGTATGCCAATGGATGATTTCTTGTCCCATCTCATTTACATGCTAACTTCATTTTCCAGGGTTGGCGTCACTTCAGGCGAATCAAGTAATCCGTTGCGAGCAGTGCCGAAAGCTATCCGCCAGGTTTTCTGGCGAATCCTTGTATTTTACATCGGCAAGTTATAATGTTTCCATTATCCTCTCACTGCCCCTACCTTTCTTCCGCGTCAGGGCCTCTAGTTAACATAATGATTTAGGAATGATGTTTTTCATCGGCATACTGATACCTTACAATGATGAACGCCTCGTGTCAGCTAAGTCAAAAACGGGCAAATCACCCCTGACTATAGCTTTGCAGGATGCCAATATTGCCCCGGGAGCACACCTCATCAACGCGCTAATAGTAGTCTCGGTTATCTCTGCTGGTAATGGTTCTCTCTACGTGGCATCGAGGACTCTGCTTTATATGGGGCGTACAGGAAAAGCACCAGCTCTCCTTGGGGTCACAAACAAAATGGGTGTACCCTGGGTTGCCCTTTTGTTTTCCAACGCGTTTGCATGTATTGCATTCATATCAGTATCGTCAAGCGCTGGAAAACTATATGAAGCTCTTATAACCCTCTCTGGTGGTACGTTTGGTAGACTCTGCTATCGGCCTGTGGTTCGAATTGTCCCCCGTCCACACTGCCTACATTATGAGCTCCTACGAGATTTCTCATATATTGTTTATTTTAGTCGCGTCCTTTATTGTCTGGACCGCAATTGGAATTACACACATCCGCTTTCGCAAAGCACTTGCAGCACAGGGCGAGGACCCATCTACGCTCCCATTTAAAGCAGCGTTCTATCCATATGGCACCTACATATCTGTCGCAGCCAACATATTTCTCTTGTTTTTCCAAGGGTACCCAGCGTTCCTCAACCCGTTCAGCGCAGAGGATTTTGTAACTAACTACATCTTACTGCCGGTGTTCGTTGGCTTCATCATGTTCTGGAAGTTTTACAAGAAGACAGAGTGGGTCAAGGTTGAGGAAATGGATATCTGGAGCGGAAGGAGGGAGTACGGGGAAGCCGAATTGGCTGTCAAGAAAAAGACGCTGTTGACCAGGGTGAAGAATGTGGTTGTAGGCTGAATCAGGTGTTTGCCTCATCGTGGGTTCAAAGGAAGTTGATCATTAAGATTAAATCCAAGCGAATAACGAGACCGAAATAATTCATGATGTTCGTGTCCGATTTAACAACCCCTCAATGAGTGAATGCTGATCCATTAAAACAGAAGTAAGCTATTTTTAAAAAGGAAATTCTCAAAGTAGGAGGTTGAAGTAACACAAAAGTACGACGGCCAGCGCTCAATCGCCAGAAGAGAACAAAAACAATTCGTCAGTGAACCCCCGCCCAAACAATACCGTCCCACTTCAGCCAGTTGCGGGTTGGAAACTGTCCAAAATCTGGTACATGGGAGTAATAAATGAAAAGACGCAGTTTTAGCTTAATAAAGAAAGGCAAAGATATAAAACATAAAATTGCATAACGGCATGAAAACCGAAAGAATAGAGTAAAGGAAAATGAATGCATGATCAGACCTAAAATAAAACACTTAGCCAGGAATCAAGCACAACGCACTCAGTCAAGCAAAAGCTCTCTCTCGTTTAACAGGACTTGGCGTTCTCGGGTGATCGGGGCCTCCATACCCTGAGACGGATGCCATGGCTAGACGTTTGGGTTCCCATTCGTCCTCATCTTTGCTATGTTTTCGGAGGTTCATACTGATATCCCGATTGAAGCTAAGTGCGGATGGACGATCGTAGTAGTGGTTGCCATGTCCGAATGAGGGATTCCCCGGAGTGTAGGAGATTTGAGATGGTTGTAGATGCATTGCTTGCGATGGATAAGGCATGTATGTATGGGGTGATGCGGTCGGAGGGTTATTGGACTTGTTGCGGAAGAAAGAGAAGGTCAGGTTGGAAACAGCAAAACAGGACGTTATTGCAGCGATAAAGAAGAACTTTTAGAGTTGCCAGTTAGCATATGAGAGGGAAGAAATTGAGGATATCTAGAGAAAATAGGCAGCATACCATAGTTTTAAAGGTAATCGGTTCTATGAAGCCGTTGAAGATTTCTGCTAGCGTTTGCGCGGAGACTTTGGCTCTACCAACTTTGGCGGGGTCACGGTTCATACATCTCTCCCAGTTGTCGCAGACGGTCTCCAGGGCAGGTAATCTCCGTCCATCGTCGCCACCGCACCGATTTTCCATGTAGTTCTTTGCACACGCAGCCATATCAGCAATTATGTCGGCTGATACTTTCTCACTCTCCCTATCAACATCTGCCTGGATCGCAAGGAGAAATGTAACGATGATATAGAGTGTTAGGAAGGCGAGAACAAGATTAAATAGAAATTGGGCGTAGTATGACAGGATGCGAGGTATATGGGGGTGCGATTCTAGGAATATGAAGAGCCGAGAAAAGAAAGGAAACTCGTGCCCGTGACTATTGATGTGTTGGGAGTCCCTGGAATGTGTCCCGCCTTCGCGATTGATTGGCCTGTCATTGTCCCCGTCATCATCGAGTTTCTGCAGCTTCCTATCTATTTCACGGTCTCGTCGTCGCCTTTTATGTACTCTTGTAACTAACACGTTGGATGATAACTTATTGGATTTCCGTATTTCACCCCGACCAGGACTTGGGGCGAATCTCCCATAAAAATTGAATAGAGTGTTTCTCCTGTCTGCATTCCCTGGTCTTTCTGGTGTCGCTTCGTAGTCCGCGTTTTCAGGGGAAGAAAAGTTTTCGCCGCCAGATGAAAAATCCAGATCTGGCTTATTCCGTGGTGTCATAAATGCCGAGCTTCTAGCTACCGCGGTGGATGTAGCAGGGGTTTGAGAGAATAGGAAAGGCTGGGAATTTGGCTCACGCAGTGCAGGTGTCGATGCTTTTACCGGTGAATCAAATATGCTAAATGGCCCTTCAAATTCGCCAAGAAGCTCCAGTCAGCAAAAAATCAAGTCACATTTCATCTGAAACTGCGATATGATCAATGATCTCACGTTTTTTATCTTGGTGTTTATTTTGATACTGCATTGCGAGCTGGTAGAATGGGGAGGTGGCATCTCCAGGAGCATGAGTCTGCCACTCAAAGTCCATAGGTGTTTCATTTGTCCGTTTCTCCATGGCTGGTGATTCAGGCAGACAATGGCACCGTGCCAAGGTCAAGATATGAAAGAGCGATTTGGAATCAATCAATGAACGATGGGCGAATGAACAAAATGAAATAGATGGATGCCCTGAAGATTCTTCGATCGATGCGATCAAAGATTTGACGTTGTTGTTGGCTGACCCGACAACCGATATTTGGAAATTTCCTAGTCAGGCTTGGTGCCGGATATAGATTTTCCCGTACTCAGCCACACAAGGCCCTGAACAAGCCGAGGTTAAAAGTTTATCTTTCTCATATCTACATCACAATCATCACAGACAGCATTCGGAGGTTGGAAAAGAAAATGTAGGGACAGGTAAAGGGAATAAAAAATACTACAGAAATATTGCTTTGATTGTTCATTTCTATTGCCACAATCTACAACTAATACCTTGGTTTCTCCCTTTAAACGCTGGTTTTTTGCTTTCCCGATTTCCCCCATTTCCTTACCACCCATACAGACTCAGTTCAACAACCTCCGTCACCAAATCCTTGGGGCAACGAGGTTTATCGACTCCATTAGTCCTTGTGCCAATGTTATATCATAATTCTACCTTTCCATCTGGAAGCTGCAACACCTGTTTAACAACATGAATGACTTTTCCAATACATTGAGACTCCCTATCCTTGAAAACGTCCTGTTTGAATAGCTCCGTTCCCGAATTGGTCTCAGCATGTTCAGAACCCTCGGTGGGCTATAGCTTATATCATGGTAATGGCGAAAGACCTCTTTGCCGACGTCATTCCACAGTTTCTCCCAGACACCCGGATGATATGTCTCAAAAGAATTTGCCAGCCACTGGGAATAGTAGTTCAACACAGTCTGATTTGAGCAGTCATTGTTAGCAACAACCTCCCCGCCGTTGAATGTGACAAATTTAAAAAATTTCTTACATTAACCCAGTACAAACCACCTTTCTCTACACACTTAAGCAGAACCTACAGCACACCTCACACCCGCGAAATACCGGTGCTATGTAGAAAGTCAGCCATAAATTTTCCATTCCTCTAAGGTGGCGAAATCCTAACCAGTAATCTGAATTTGGAAAAACGGGTGCCGCCGGTTCATCATTTCTCATAGCGCGTACAAATCCCATAGAAATACCACAGCACTTTATATTGCCAGCAAGCAGTTTGTTCATCGACGGATATTTGGTAAATAGCGGTGGTTATTTTAGTAGTATACTAACAGCGTCGCTAATGGGTTGCCAACCACTTCTGCCTGAGCACGGGCCGTACCATCCGTAGCTAATTTCCCTGACATATATAACTACCCTATTTCGATCTTTGCAAAGATCTAGGATGTCTTCCAATCCCAAGCCATACTCATCGTGGACTCCAGGTCGATATACCTGAACAAATACCTGAACAACAATATCGGCCTCTAATATCAAAGCTCTCATGGTGTTGTGGCCCTCCGATTGTTTGAAATCCAAACATGTGTCCCTCTTACCCAGTCAAATCGCAATGGAGAGAGGAATAATCTGGCAGGTTGGAGCCATTCTCTCACATTACGCTGGTTCCTAACTCGGCTAGCCCTGGAGTAATTGTGGGAGCAGCAATCACTCGGGTAACAACGACGGTTTGAGACCTGCCAGAGGTCTCCGTGCCGATGTCTGGGAGATCCCTGGCCACCAGCATGGAGGCTGTGCGGCATTCAGGAAGTTGTGTACTTCATTACAAACCTACATGAGCATTGGCTCTCCCCTGCTCGCTTTCGTCGTATTCTTCTCTGCTATAGCAAATCGTGCCCGCTTGACGGAAGCCTCTGAAATAAGTTTCTCTATTTCCCCGGAGTCAATCTTGTCCATTATATGGTTTTAGTGTTTTTTCAAGAGTGTCCGCTTCCATGTCATGAGGAAGACCAGTGCTTTCCAGGCTTGGATTGGGTTTCAGAACTGCCTAATCATACGAACGACCTTGGGTTAGACAACATATACATGCACACATGCCAAGCGATGGAGAACCCTATACGAACCATGAAGGTGGAAAAACCTTGGAGTCCTTGGTTTTGTATATGTTGGCACAAGCTGATCTATAAATTGTTACATGCTGGCGATGTCAATCCCAAGAAGGGAAGTATTTTTCGCAGCTTTTCTGCGTTGACATTGGCAGCCCTGAAGTTGGAGTTTGCAACGATATTCTCTCCATCAGGGTCGATAGTCCAAAGGAGCGACGACATGATGAAAAGACTCGCATGTGTTCTAAAACCCCTACATACATCCGTTGTAGGCTGCAGGTTCAAAAAGAAGGACGCTGGGAGGCGCCATGCTTAAATTCAGCAAATGGTATAGAGTAACGTGTTTATTGTAATGTCCCGGGGTTCCATGCCCGTACTTCCGCTCTAGAAGCACATTCAGCAAGTTGCCTTCGAATGCCTTCAACGCGGACACAATCACTGCAAACCTCCAAGTTTATTGGAATCATAGGGTATCAGCACCCTCGAAGTGAATTTCGACCCATATTCTTTAGGAGGGAAGTCCTCTCAGAATGTTCTGGTTTGGAAGTGTTTTCTCAAGAAACACACTGCTTGCCTCCCGTGGGACCGAATAAGTTTCTGGCTCCTCGGGGATAGCCATGTCTTCGTTCAAGAAAAGCTCGATAATTTCAAAAGAAAAGCAACCAAACTTCCCAAAATATGATGGGAATGGCCACCAAGTTTAATTGTTCTCTGCTCTCCGCTATACCCAAGGATGTTTTAAGCACTGGGTAATTTCTTGGTTACATCTAGCAAGGCCCCTCTTTTGCCCATTGCCGTAGCCGAGCAACAATATACCGATTCCCACCAACCACGTCTAAAGCATCTAAAGCAGGTCAACGACTGCTTTCCGTCCCACCAGCGCCGCGGATACTGCCATTTGATCAGGGTTGTAGGACTTCAATGCTCTTCAGAACCAGACACAAGCACTACGCCAGTCGTGAACTTGGATGGCGCATCAACCGTAGTTACTTTCCCTGCATCAGGGTTGATTGTGGCCTTCAAATTTCCACGAAGACACGGCTTATGAACTGCCATTGCCATCGGTTCCCCTCTCTCTTGTATATTCTCGTGGATTCGAGAAGAGAAGTGTCCAATTGTGCCGGGACGAACTTGGGCTTGAACATGCCAATGTTCCCACGGATATGTAGCCTCTGTTGCAAAAGGGGGGGCTTTTTGTTGTCCTTCTTTATGCATCTTGGTGATAAGCTAAAGGTCAAAAGATCTGAACGGAAGAGACGAGATCGGCACCCATCGCCAAATGCCATTGGTTGCCCAAATTCGAGCCTACGACACCTGCGTGACAACACCACCAGTTCACGGTAATCATTTAACAGCTTGCTGCCAATTGAAAATGGACTTCATACAGCAGAAGGGATTGAATTTCGATTCTTCTCCAGGATTCTAGCTATTTTCCTTATATTCGCGCTTCAGCTCAACTCCGATGTTCAGCTGACGAACGAACTAATTGCTATCCCTGCCCTGGTAGTAATCTTCACTTCGACTGGAATCACGGGAATAATATCCCAATAAATGTTACCAACGCGCGGGTTCCCCGTCCCGACCACCTCGAGGAATACTATTAAAATTACGCTGAGCATTGTATTACACAATCAGTGGAACTTCCAGGATTAGATTTCTACGAAGACGCCCTCTAAAAGACGCAATCAATCCCTAACAATGGATGGCGGACACGCATCAAAACCCCAGGTTACGCCTCCAACTTCAGAATCGGGGAAAAGCAAGTGTCGAGCCAAACAATCCTGTATTCCTTGCAGGTGTCGCAAGGTCAAGGTACGGTGGTCTTCCTGCTCCGGGTAGAGATACTGGCGTCCAACTGATCCAATCCTGTCACATCCAACAGTGCGATCGAATAAAGCCTTGTCACTCCTGTTGCGTTCGAGGCCTTCCTTCTGAGTGCGAATATGTCACCAACAACGAAGATCGGTTCCTCATTACCCAGGCTGACGCCGTCGCGAGTCTGAGAAGGGAAGTTGGTCGATTAAAACAACAGTTGCTCGCGCTTGGTCATACTCCTAGTTCAGAGCTTGATACAGCGGATAACGGTTTTACTACCACCTCACCCTTGAAGAAGGGCTCTGGACAGCCCTCTTCACCCCCTGAAAGTCCGCCATGCAATAGAGTCCCATACGGAAAATACGCCACTTTACTAACAATCGTCCATACCATCGCAACTGCGTCCCCAGATGTTGTCGCGAATACAGTTGCTCAGATTAGGACAGGAACTTTGTTGGATAGCACCGCCCTAACCACAACAACCGAACCACAACCTTATAACAATCCTGGAGAATTAAAGACTGCTTCACAGACTTATACACACTTTAGTTCTCAAAGTAGAGGTTTGTCCGTTTCCTCTATGCGCGCGATTAATGGCTTTGGCGGCTTTCTTTATAATGGCTGATGCCAACCATAGCCCTCAGTGCAAGTAGATGACGAGGAACAAAGACAACCCAAAAAGCCCAAGCCTGGATTGAAGCATGAGCCCGCCGATACAGCTAGTGCTGATGAATTGGAGAGCAAGTCGTGGCCTGAACCGGATGGTTTAGCCATCATCCATCCTCCAGAAGACGACAAGACTGCTATCACAAGGAAAGTTTCGCAAGGGTCTGAAAATCCTGCTAGAGGTACTGCAAGCACCCGTATACATTGTATCGCTATGCTGACATTTCTTCAAAGAACAGCACTTTTCGCGAAAAAGGGGTCAAGTCTCATCCGCCTTTATGACCCCGGTATCTCAAAGAAATCTCGTTACAGAAAATTTTCTCGGACGTTTTGTGGACGATTTCAGCCCCAATGTCGACTGTGAAACTATTGGAACTTCTCAGACCATCCGTTGTGCCGCGGGGATGAGAATGTTTTCTCCGGTTCTCTCTGAGGCTTTTAACGCAGTTGCCCTCACGTACTTCGGACATAATTTCGCCGATGAAAGAATAGAGAGAGCTGGTTCCCAGATACATGTTCTTGTGCTTAGGAGATTACAGGAAGATATAAATCATATCGAACATGCCAACTCTCAAGCTATTCTACTAACTGTCTGTCTTCTCATGTGTTTTGAAGTATGACCTACGTTTTCTACTTTTACTGCATAATCTTCCTCTCGACATATCACTGATATATGTAACATATTCTAGAGTTTTCGGCGCACAACAAGTGAGTCACTTGTACATCATGCCAACGGAGCTCTGAAACTCTTGGAGTATCGAGGTCCGCAAAGCCACATGTTCGGAATCGATAATTCGTGTTTTGCTGAACTTCGTCCATACTGGGTATGTCATATCCGTCCACTGATCGGGGTTCTCTCTCTATGAAGATTGGCTGGCTAACTTACATATAGGTGTTCCTCGCCCTGGTCACAAGAAGACCCACATTTCTAGCGAGAGAAGACTGGAAATCGGTACCGTTTTTAGCTGGTTCATCCTCCAAGGATCTCATGCATCATCTCCTAGATCAAGTCGTGGACATCCCTGCGTATCTCGCCCAGTTTGACCGGCTCATTAAGGGACTAAATTCGGGCTACATAAATTATACAGAGGTAGCAACTACACGAGGCATGCTGTGGTCATGGGTAGCTGATCTTGATAATCGGTTACGTCAGTGGAAGAAGGACTGGATCGATTCAGTTCCATCACGCCAAGCCACTGAGGTAACAATTCAAGGCAGCGATCCATTTCCTATCTTTCGATGCCGTGATCTTACCACGATGGATATAATTACTCCAACCACTCTCGTCTACCCAGACCTGCGAATTGCCCAGACAATGAGTGTATATTATGCCTCCCACCTCATCCTTTCCGCCGCTGATACAAGACCAACTCCGTCTCTGCAACCTCCGCAGCAATACGAGTTTGCATGTAATATCTGCCGGAGCATAGAGTATTTCATTCGCAAGAGTCCGGGCAAACTTGTCAATCGTATGGCGTTTCCTCTTCGCGTTGCCTTTGATGTGTTGCCAGAGTCGGGTGTGGAGCGGGAATATGTGGTCGAAGTATTTCGCCTGGTGAATGACCGGCACAAGCTAAAGCTTTGGGGAACAACCATCCCGGAAATATCATCGAAACGGAGAGATGTATGATACCAGAGCGGGCCAGTGTAATTCCTTCCAGCATGACAGAGTGTTTTTAGCAGGGTATTTTGTAGGAGGGAATCTGGCAGGAATGGGTTGCAGCTGTGAGCCTGATTCCTTGGTTTGTATTTACCACATAGTGGTGTCCCCTGTTATACTGTACCATCCGTGACAGATCTGATTTGCTTTTCCCCCCGAAGCCTTTTTGATGTGGATCATAAATTTTTAAGTCCGGTCGATTCCAGTCCGCGTCCTATCTTATATCTCGAAATATTTCAAGCTTTTTACAAACTAGCTTCAGATTTACTTCCTGCTGCGCGTTTGCTACTAGCGTTATTTTTGTCAATTAAATTTGATTAAATCGAGTGGTCGTTCATGTATGATCGTTCGATTAGCGCTGGAGAGTTTCGATTCTGAATAAATAGCTTAAAAATGATCTATTCTATGAGTAATATTTCTAAGGAACGAACAGTTATGGGCAATCTAATGTAGATATATCAACTCAATCACCCTTAATCGAAATAAAAGGGAAGAAACGCCCGACTCAAGTCCCGAAACTCAGACACTGAAGAAAGTAAGTATCATATTTCCGACCTAACCAGTTTTGAAATGCTGGTGCCACCTCTAAAACACACCATTTCTAGCGTGGAATGAGAACTGTCCACAAGTACCAGTAAACCACAGCGAGAGCTGATCTGCAAATCCCTTAGAAGGCCTGGAAAGATGATGGGGAGCCAGGAGGAGAAAAGGGACACATACATTCCGACACCAACAATCGCATACGTAGCGTAGAAGAAACTCACATCCTCTTTCCCGGGGGGAAGAAAGGTGTGGCGAGGAGTCCGATGGAGAGAATGATCGATATCCACAACACAAACGTCCAAGATTTGGAAGGTCTTGGTTAGTCTGGAGCTCTATGTCTCAATATCAAAAGGCCAATTGAGAGTGTCAGTATGACGATCTGGGCCGGGTAACCTTCTACATCTAGGATAAAGCTGTATACATCATTAGACGGGGACAAAACGGTGACTAGAAATGAGGGGATGTAGTGGACTATGAATCTTTCTGGGTGGAGCGTTGAAAGGTTGTGATGTCACAAGAAAGAGCGCAAATGGTAAGAAACCCTGTCGGGCAATTTCTTGGTTGAGGCGAGCCTATCACCAAGGATTCATTATTATGAGATCATGCGGGCCTTTGCTAGATTATAGAGAACAGAAGCAGTGAGTAGAAATCCTCAGGTTGCATTAATGACATACCCGCTGTGAGCGAAACGACCTAACGTTTCCCGCAGACGAAATTGCAATAGCAAGTGGCAGTGCGACATTTCCCAAGCCGGATCCAAACACCTTCTCAAAAAGAACGCAGCAACAATCTCTCCACTGCGTTTAATATCGTCGAGGGGTATCACACAAAAATAAGCAATGTTGATCAGTAGATATAAGACGTCGCAGTCACAAGAGCCGCGGGCGAGAGCCACGAGTTTCAACGTAGGTATAGGATTGTTGACTTCGTTTAGAACCGTATTGGCTTTGCCCAACCCGGCATATGCATACCTAACATTGAACACCGCAATTGACAAAGTCAACATGCCCCAGTCCAGATGTCTCTATAGAAAGTCCCAGGAAAGTCCAACAGCGCAGGAAACAGGATCCGAATTATTTCCTTTGGGTTGACACCACGACATAGATGCCGGTACACGCGATGAAAAAGACCAGGAAAATCTTTATCCATCCAAGGGCGCTCTGGATCCAGACTGCAGCTCGAAGAAAGCATCCGTGAATAATGACAACGGCTGTCAATAAGCGGGCAGCAAAGAATTTTCGTCTGAAGTCAGTTGCGTCAATAACCCAAAACAAATATCAAATAACTACTGGCCAAACACAACACAGTTTCCCGTAACGAAACTCAACAAAACCGCTTGCACAGCAATCAACGTTGAGATGAGAAATCATGGATACCGATATGTGAACTCAAGATAGACTTTATGAGCTCCCGAATGCGGCAACATACGGCGATATTCTAACCATACAGCTAGATTTGTGATGGCAATGGCGGCACCAACTAACCACAAGTTAAGAGATTGAAAGGCCAATGCTGCCAACGGACTCTGCGATCAGGCCCGGCCTTGCAAAGATGCCCGCGCCAAAGATATCAGAACATATAAATAGCGTGAAAACCCCCTTCGAATTCCTATCATTCGTAACATCATTACTTTGGCGCTGGTATTTCTCCTTGGGAAACCACATCATTGCTCTGCGGAAATTCAGCAGTATCTCTGGGCCTTAGGACAGAGGCGCAGGTTCAGTATATGTTCAGGCAAGACGAGATCGATGACCTGGCGGGCGTCCCCTCTTCCCTAGCCCCCGTGTTGGGCTGTATTAACCAGCTAGCAAATTGAGTCGAATTGCGAGCAAAACCAAGCTCGAAACCTTCCTATCGACACCAGAAAACACATCTAACCCAGCAACACCATAAACAACGGCTGCCACCAATTCATCGACGAAGTCACCTCAATGCTCACGGCACCTCGACAGCTCGATTCCGTCCCAGGTGTCGGCCGCATGCTGACATCCAGTGCATCGGAGCGACTTTGCCGCCCTTAACGAAACTGCACCACCATGTGGCTCTCCTGCAGTTATACCAGCTCATGCTCAACCTCCTATCATCCAGCCCCGCCGCGCAGAGTTCCGTCGACCAGATCATCCCACCATCGATGCATTAGGCGGGGCGTGCCCGGGAGTAGTGGTGCTGCAGCCGCTATTCAGTGCTGGGTGCGACGCACATCAAGCAGGGGATCGAGAGAATATCTGTAGGCTGTGGTACCCGGATGCAGTTGCAGTGTCGAATGGGGACAGTGCGGAGTGTACTTGGATTTCTTGAACAGTTGAGACTCGGAGGGGAGGGTGAGGTGGGATGTGGGATGAAGTTTATGGATATGTTCGCCAATGTATCTATCTATTTACTTTATTTATTTTATACTTTTGACTCGCTCTTTTGATCCCTGTTTCCGATTTGGCTGTTTTACCAATGGAAAAAGAATCGGATATAGGTGACCAATTCCAATTTCTGGAGCCTTAGATTCCCCGTGTTCTATAGGGGTTGTATGGCCCAGACGGAAAGGCGCCACTGCTCTCTTGATGTCGATATCGCAAACTCTGCGACAATGCTACCAACCTTTCAGAACTATGGTTGAGAGCAACCCCATAGAACACGAAAACTTCCAAATTTAGTTATCGTCATCCGCAGGCCCATTCCGCCCGGGGATAGAATTTGCATTCCCTGCACAGATTGTGCTGGAACTAGGCAGCTGAAGCGCAAGGCTGTACGAATATAAAACCGGAGGGGCAAAACTGTGATCTTATTTCCGCACGTAAATATGCTCAATGCGCGTGGAGAATATGGGATATCATTGTAGGGTCCATGTGGAGAATGGAATATGAGTTGTTATTTGTTCCCTTTCATTAAGAGTGCGCCTATTTGCTTATTTCAAGCTTTGTGGCAACTACTGGTGCATCAAGGATGTTGTGTCTTTCATGAGCTCTAAATTCCTGTACTTATCAATGTTGGAGAATGATGGTGCCCAAAATTTGTTCTTCATGTGTGATAATGTCAAGAAAGATTATGGATTTGATGATATACATAGACATTATATTGCGCTCCATAAATTAACCCAGTATAACTTGTAGGAAATAAGTGATTAAGAGAGAAAGCAGAACTTAAAAGAGAACTCATGTACTCATTTCATCAATTTCCTAGTCATCAAACACAAATGCAAAACAAGCGATTGTTTCAAAGTTCGAACAAATGAAGATTCCAAAAAATATTTCAAAATAGACCAGATATTCAAAGAAAGCAGAAGAAAGACAAAATTAGAAAAGAAAAAATTATATATATCCAGCATGTATCATATATGTTTCATGTCCTCAAGAAGCACAGTGCGCCGGATCGCTTCTCACATCATGCTTGTCTAGTTCCAATCCCAGTCCCATGCATACTATGTTTATATATTTAGGAAACAATGCGATAATCAAAAAAGGAGACCACCCCAGTAAATTCAAACTCCGGTGGTGGCAAACGCCAACCTCAACACAAAAGGGTCGACCCAACATTTCGAGGTACCCAACACCACAGTTAAGTAACGTGAAAGAAACTAAAGATAAAACCAAAGAAGAAAATTATGTAAATGAGCAATCAGGTCAACTGTTCAGTGGAGACATTTGATGAAAACGAATGTGGAGCTAGCCAGCCCTGCTAGGACTGGGGAGGTTCAGACGGAGAGAGCCGCGGGACGCTTACCCTTTTACAGGTCCGCACTGTTGATGAGCTCGAAGTCGCCATCATCAGCTGTGAATCCATCATCACGATGGGGAGAGGCTTCCTCAACTGCGACGAATTCATACTCGCGGACGAGCTTCTCCGTTTCCTTAGCTTCGAACTTCTTCAAGGCGCGAGTGAGCGCAACACCAAGAACATCGGTGCCCTGAATGGGACCAGTACGTGCGTCGAAGGAGTAGAAGACGTTCGGATCATCAGCAGCCTCGTCGGGTTCAGAAACATCGTCATCAGCAGAGGAGTCGGAGTTGTGGTGTTCTTCATTCAGGAACTGGCCCACAATATAGCGGAAATGGGACATCTTTTCCGCTGCCTTTTCGTCAACAAAACTCTGCATTTGGATCCGGTTGATCTTGACAGAACTAAAAAAACATTCGTTAGCATAAATTGGCGCAAGGAAATAACTATGAGGGGAGGAAGTTTAGCTTACCCTTTCCCAACGTGGCTTTCGGGTCTGTTAGGGCGAACACGAGTAGTTCCAGGGATCTTAACCGTTCCGGTCATCCAGATGTGAGTGTCAGGACGGATTCCCAAGGCCCACTTTGCTTTGTGATCATGGACACGCTTGGCCTCAGTAGCTGAGCGACGCAGGTCGGATTCGGGAAGAGGGAAAGATTCAGAGGCCATGAAGACGTCCATTAACAAGGTTTCACTTGGAGGAGTACAATGGGCAGTAGACTAGCATCAACTAGATGCGCGCAACGAAGGGTAAAGCCGCAATGAAATTATTAAAGAGAGTATTTCCGAGCCACCAGTGACTACAAGAGATGATTTAAAATCGAATATACAATAATTGTATGCAAAAGAAAGATTAGCTGATAAGAGGGTGATTGAGCTTCTATGAAGCGGGTCCAAGGAGAGGTAAGATAAGAGAGAATGGTCCACGAAGGTGATCAGCACACGTATTTTGAAGCTAAAGGAACGTCGATATGGAGGTTGTATGCGTGAGGCTTATGGATGAAGTTACTAAGACAAAGAACAACCATCAGAGGATGATGATGAAGCTGGGTATATATAGAAGTTGGGGAGGAAGGAGTCACCAGACTGAAGGACTGTATTATGTCAGCCTTATCAGGCACAATCATAGAGTCATCGCCAAGACTGCCGGTACCGTCCCAGAACAAGTCTAGCGCCTTGCTAACGGGCCGCTGCCTTATGTACTGTACCTTGGGAAGGCACTGTACTGTATGAGCTGTATCGTATGGTATGGTATATACATACATATAATACGGTACATTTTCGTTTCTTTCAGATAAGGTTTAGCACAATTAAATAGACAGCTTCGGGGAACTGAGACACACTCTTCCTGACGCGATAAAAAACTCTATTTAGTAACCCCTATTGACTTGCTTCATATAGTTGTTTGGTTTTTGCAAGATCACGGTTATAGATGAACTTTGTATGAATTCAGATTTTATTTCCCTTATGCTATTTAAAGGAAGTGTGTGTTATTTAATAAGGTCTAATAGATTCTGAGTTTCCATATCTGCTTGTCTCTCAAGGTACGTCATGCTTCGTTACGGTGGGGGTCGAGGAAGAAGTCCACGTTTATCCATGGAATAGAATCCACTGCACAAGAGAGTACCTTCAAGAAGGTAGCAACCTTTTTTTTTTTTTTTTTTTTTTTTTCCAAAATCAGCAGCCAGTTTATTCGTACGACCCCGCTAGTATAATGATATAGACTTGCATGAGGAATGTTATACAGCCTGGCAGCTGTTCACTGGGCTTAATCCCTGATGTTCAATAGCTAACAATAACTAAAGCAGGTAAGGTAAGTTGATTTGCACTCATAACTGCTGAATATATGCTGAGATATGAATGTACTAAGGTTGAAGCTGCTTTATTTTAATTATTGCCCCTTAAACAGAACTATATCGCGTAGGGAAGTGTCTCAGTTAGTGGAGTGAATGTAGAGGATCGAATAAATAGAGCTAATGAGCGAATGTATTGCTATATCTAACTGAACTAAGTCACTGATTGTAATGAAACGGCTCGTTGGGTGAGTATGACTCATAGGGAAAAGGAAGGCTGTGCCAAGCCGGAAGTAGTTATTCCGACTCCGGACAGGCATATGAAAGACTACGTAGAAGAAGGTTATAGCTTTATAGCTGTAACCAGTGAAATAGTGTGGGATGGTTTGATTTTGTATTGGAGGAAGGATAGCTAATTAGCCTATATATACTCGGAATCACGTACGGGGCGGCCGATCGGGGCGGCCGCTCGCCTACTCCGCCCTGGCACCGCCGTGCGGAATGTCAATATACGAAAATTTATCACTCTCCCCCTATTTCGCCCGTAAGCCCTAGCAGTTTGTAGAAACGTCTAAAAGCTACTATGCATGGATGTTTCAAAAGAACATTAGCCACCATATCCTCTGTGCGAATGTAATTCAAAAAAAGAAAAAAAAAATTAAACCTCCCTATTCAACTGTGTACGCGAGTAATGAAAATGGGTGTGTCGAATCAGAATCCGTGTAACCAACTGGCAGGTAGGTGGCATTCACTCGTGAATGGAAGAACATATCATGGAAGAAGTCCTCCATGCTGATAGGCAGTTTTTTATGCCTTATCATAAGACAATGATACTTCCGTTGAAATGTGAGATAGTCAGTACCTTTAGTGTGCAATGTCATCAATTCTCTTATGAAATTTGTACACTCAGAGAGAGAAATGACATATTCTCTTATTTTCTGCCAAAGAACCCCACTGTTGTTAGGTTCCAATATTTCAACTGTCGTCTGAGCAGGTTCTAGGAGGGATTGCAACATCCTATGATATAAGGCTTTCATACAGACTGTCCACTTCTCCTTTTCCAAGGCTGTCCCATCTCAAGGCGCTGTGTGCTGGTTTTCCATCGAGATATCAGTCTCATCAATGACCTTCACATCCGCCAAGATCTCAACCTTCCACGCCTGATAGTTGGATCCATCGAATGTAGTCACAGTTTTTCATCTCTGATGACGCCTTAACCTCCTTCTGGTATTCACGGACCTTCTGCTTCAAGTCATTTACAGGGGCACCACTGTTGTTGATGGGAGAATCCTGGTGCATGGTCATCATCATCTGTTGGCAGAACGCAAGCAGATCCACAGCAGTCATCATAATTGTGCGTTTGCACTATGCATAGGCAATGAGATAGGAATTGTAGGACAGGGTATACTCTCAGGAGAGTCAGTGGCTGGCTCGCAGCCGTGACCACTAGGGCCCTCCATTGTGTATTCTTCCTCAGCCATATCAAACTGGGAAGGCTCCTCGTCCAAACCCAGACTGATTTTAACGTCTTCTTCAACTGTTGAGATTCTAGGGTCGCTCAAGAATGACCCTTAGTGTTCACTTTCATTCGGAATGTGGAGTAGCGGGTATACCACTCATCAGTCTCTGGACCTGAGTACCTTATGGAAAGACACAAAAAACTAGAATAGCTCACGGGGCGATCTCAGAGGCCCACTTTTATCCTGCTCATGCAAGCCAAAACAGATCCCCTTAGAACACACAAAATAATGAGATTTCTTGCAATTAACTGCCCATCTCCTCTCTAAATTGAACTCATCCGATGTTCACGCAATGTTGTTTTATGAGAACATTTATTCAGCAGTATTTCACTTCTCAATAGTTTTCTACTTTGTTTTATTGATCTTTTTTCACTGAATCTCAAGTCTTAGAGCTTTATACTCAGTTATCTTCTAAGTATACTGCTTTTTCTTAAAAGTATATTGAATCTTTGCTTCAGTAACTTTATTAATCTTATACTGTTTCTCAGTCTCTAGATTGATAGTCTGTTAATAAGTAATCTTCATCTTAACAGAAGAGAAAAATTGTGTCTGACTGATATATGTCACGGCTTCAATCTAGGCGCAGGTGAAACAGGTGTTTGATTGCCAGCTAGGTAAGCTATCTAGACGAATACTAAAATGGTTCCTAAGAGATGGGTTCGGGGAAGGCTCTGTTTATATAGCCCTTTTCCTTAGCGCCGTTGCTAGGCGGTTCCCATGTTTACGTGTTATTCATATGCAGGGTAATTGTGGGGTTGGTTGCTATGCCATTGCCTAGGCAGTTGTGATTACTGATCACCTTGGTCTGTGGCCTTACGCTGTTGAGAAGGCTGGACGGAGCCCATTCTACGCCCTCACATTACCACCCCCCCCCCTCCCCTTGAAGCCTAGGCATGTCCTCATGCTGGCAGGTTATCATCTACTTCATCTGCTAGGTAGTCATTCTTTTGTCAAGCCTCCAGTCATTTACTTAATTGCTTTGGATGTCCTGCTTTCATTGGATTTTCAAATCAGATGTAGTGATCTTTTAAGATATTGAACTGAATACCATGTTGAATCATCATCAAATTCTAGCCATTTTACTCACTATTGAAGCTTCTTATGAGACATACAGCTTGCTAGAATATTCTCAATCTCTCATTCATTTTCACTCTGTATCTTTAACTGATTCTGATGTCTCATTTAATTATTCTGATAGAAGATTATTTATAGTTTTTCATAGTTTGTTAGAAGAGAATATTGAGTGAATCTTTATACTGTTTGATAGACTTTGTCTATAGCTGTTGTCAATCTTTTTAATAATTTTAAAAAAGTTTTTATTTTGCTCTATGAGTTTTCTGCTAAGATGTTAAATTCTATAGTTCTTGAGTGATAGAAAGATCTTATATTCTATCTCAAAGTTTGACTTCTAACAGTACTTGTTGATTTATATTTTATAATATTTTGTATCTTTTTTATATTATCAGTTATTAGCTTTTAGATTTTCTTTATTTGAATGATATGCTGTTAGTTATCTTCTTATTTAAACTTCTTCTTTTTAGATAGTGTTTTCAGTAGTAACTTTTAATCAAAGAAAGAATGTTCAAGATTTATATCTGTAAGTAGTTAAAAAAAATATTATTTCAGTTAATTCATTCTTCAAAGCTTCACCTACATGACTCATCATTAACAATCACTCATTTCAGTTATTCTGATAGTAGTTTATATATGAATAAAACTTAATTGCTAGATATTGATTGATAATCTTAGTTTAATTATCTATTTATATATAATAAGCTAATAAAAGCTTTAAATTAACTTCTAATTATTTGATAAACTTATCTCAGAAGTTTGAAGTAAATTGTGATTCACAGTCTAATATAATTAAATTTGATACTTCATAATACTCATAGTAGTATTTTAAAAACAGTTTTATTAGCTTTTTAATATTTATCTTTCTTATAATGAGAATAGATACAAACTTTTTACTTAATTAACAGATAATTATTAATATCATATAATAATTTTTTTTTATTATTGAGTTATTTATAAAGTTTATTAATATATATTGTCAGAGTCTATTAGAAATTGATAGTAACTTCAGCAGCTCTGAAGTTTTATTATTATATATATTTATTTATCAATATATAAAAGAATTATTTATATATTAATTAATATTTTTAATTTAGTCATTTCAGTAGTATCTCATCTTCAATAGTGAGTATAGCTTTCCTTTTCAAAATATGCTGTTAATATATACTTATGAATCTTTTTTAAAAAATATATCTAAAAAGTAAAATCTTTCTCAATTGATATCATCAAGTACTTTTCAAAATATTAAAGTTTATTTATTGACTCTCAGAACTATTTTCTCTATTATACTTTCTTATATTATAGTTTTAATAATTCTGCTTCTTTGTTTCTTATCTTGATTTTATTAAAAATATATATATCTGTATTCAGAGTCTTGATCTCAATGAATTTTTTAATAAGTTGTGAGTTTAATCTCTTTAATTTAAGAATAGTTGCATCTAAGTACTTTTATCATCTTTTTATATCTCTAACTAACTCAGTATATCTACTAGTATATTCTGATATTCAGATTAATACTGAATTAAAAAGTGGAATCAGAAGAGAAGCTCTACTCAATATATCTATCAGATATTGAAATTCTTAATTATTATAAAGTATTTAAAAGTTTAATAATCAATTAATATTTTAAATATCTCTATTCTCTAAAAATCTTTCAGCTCAATATATCATTCTAATAATACTCTCATAATTATCAGTATCTTCTTATCATAAATTTCATAGTTTTTTTCTACTTTATTTATAGAAATTAATTAGAAAATAATTAAATATTACTATTTATTCTTTTATAACTGAATTAAAATATTAACTATAGTATTTTCTGAAGTATTTATTTTTACATAAATCTTTCAATTTAGATTATAATAATAATATACTAAGATTTTAGACAAAGCTCTTTTTATTTAATCAAAAATCTTTTGACAGATTTTATCTTCTTCAAATAGATGATTTTTTTTTGATAAATTTAAATAGTAACTTTATAATTCAAATATATTTTTTAATAAAATGCTAATAGAAATTGTAAAATCTCAAAAATGATTAAACTCTCTTCATTATATTAGATATTGTTTACTGTAAGATCATAGTATTTTTCTTCAGATTAACTTTAATATCATTATCTACAATAATAAACTCTATATACTTGATTTATTGAATATAAAACTCATATTTTAAGATACTTATCTATAGTTCAGTTTCTTGTAATCTGATCAATACTCTATTAATATGTTTTTTATATATTTTTAAGATTTTATTATAGATAAATAAATTATTTATAAAAGTAATTATAAATTAATTCAAGTAATCAAAAAAGATTATATTTATAAAGTATTAAAAGATTATTGATTTATTATTTAAATTAAAAAGTATGATTTTATACTTATAAATTTCATAATATATTCTAAAAGAAGTTAAATCTTCTATCTCAAAGTACATGTATATTCAATAAAAGTTTTGATAAATATTTAATTTGATAAATAATTTAATTCTATTTAGCTATTTCATAAGATTATTTATTAGTGACATTAAATAATAATTTTTTCTTAAGATTATAATAAATTTTTAATAATTTATATAGAATCTCAATTTATCAGTGATATGAGTAATAAAAATTAATAATATAAATAAGAAAATAATAAATAAGATAAAATTCTTTTTTAGATTAACTTTGAGATACTGCTTGACTATCTTTAGCTCCTTCAGACTTATTATATATAAATATGTATGATTGATAGTTTTATTAGAAATAGTTTTCTTCTTCAATTCAATTTTATAGTTCACTCTCTTATAGAAGAGTAGTAATTGATCAGAAACAGTTTTTGAGAGAATATTATAAATTTTCCTATAATTCTCTGACAGTAGTTTATTAATTATTTTTTTATTCTTTAATTTTATGTCAATAATAATTTTTTTCTTTCTCTTAATGATTCAGTTTATTATACAGAGACTAAAAATAAAAATCTCTGATCTTTTACTTTTCTCATGATAATAAAAAGCAATATCTTCAATAAATATTATCTTCTTTAAAGTCTTAAAAGTTGATTTTTTTTCTACATAATTATCATATCTGTGATCTATATGATTTATCTATCTATTGAGTCTTTACAATTATTTTCTCAGTAATTTTATATCTGATTTTTTCATTGATAAATCTATCTTAATAATCAACATTCTGTTAATACTTTGACTTAATTATTAATCTTCTTAAAACTTTTTTTGAATTATCATATTATATTTTTCTAATATTTTATTCTTAGTTGTCTGTATATTTCATCGAAGTAGATATTATCATGGCTCAACTAGAGTCAGGATGATAACAAGACAACAGCTTCAATTCATCTAACTAGGCAGCTGCGACCAGAATACTAAACTGAGGATTAGAATGTGGAATGAACGAGCAGCCAAATATATATAGTGATTGAGAATTGGATCAGATCAACCTTCAGAGCATATATGGTTGAGAATCGGATCAGATTAACATGAGTGACCGAATATGGTTGAGGTCGGAACGGATCAACCTTTAGAGTGTAGCGGGGTGGATCAATCTTATTCCATATACAAGCAGCTGCGCCGTAACAGATATTGATTTTTTATATCTAGTTATATTTTCTGCTTTGTTAGTCAGAATCATTATAAAATCATATCAGTGCTTCTCAGATCTGTTATTAGTATTGATATATTGAAAAATTTTTATTCATTTACTCACAAATGCAGAGAGATATTTTCTATAATTGAAGTTTCTCTCTAATTATTGAAATCTAT